TAGACTCCAAGAACTTGAACACATCCTCCAACTCTTCCTCAGAGGCAGAGTGGGCAACACCGGAGTAGGAATGGAACTTTAAGTTTTTGAAGCCAAACTCCTTGATCATGATTTCGGAGGTCATCTTACCGTACTGGTGGGCGATGAGTGGGTCGACAGTGCCATGGCCTTGGAAAATTGGGGTGTCCCTGTTAACCAACTTATCATTGCCGCCAAATTTGGCAACGCTTTCATGCACACTGTCCTTAATGGTCATGAAACCAGACAACGCTACAACCCCACCGAGCTTGACGTCGTTGATAAGCGGCAAGCAGGCCAAGGACAAGGCAGCACCCTGGGAAAATCCGCCCAAAATAATGCGTTCTGGCTTAATCCCCGACTCGATGGTCTGCAATACCAATTGTCTGACCTTCTCGACACTGGTTCTGAACCCCTGGATGTCTTGCTTGGCGTTTGGGTTTCCGAACTCGAAGAGATCGAACCAACCCGGCATCACGTAGCCACCATTCTATCAGTGTTAATAAACTTGAGAGTGGTTCCATTCATACTATACATACAGCTGTGATTGGAATGTCTGGGGCCTGTGGGAAGATGAACTTGGCGTTTTTATAGATTGGGTTTGATCTGGCCAAGGCCATTTGACGGAAGAAGGACCAACCGTTGGAGGTGTCACCCAACCCGTGGATGAAAATAATCGCAGAGTCAGCGATACCCGATTGGGCTGGGAACTGGAGTGCTTTCAACGATAAAGACATGGCTGTGTAAGTGTAATGATAAAGAAGTTTAATAACGTTGAAACACCTATATCTGCATTTAGTTTTCTTTAACCTGTAGATAACCCCGAGTAATGTCGAAGTGGTGTCGAAGGGCCTGAGCCGCACCAGCTATGGAAGGATCTCGGTTCAAGAAGGAACGGCTGAAGCGATTATCTGAGCATCTCTTGAAAGAGTGAACGGTTTTGTTAAAACTTCAAGGGAACGTTTCTAAGAAAGGATGTGCTTCATTCATATTTACCAGTATGTGTTTAACCAAGGCTTCATTTCGCATAACGAATGATTATCTGTCGACATGGGAGACATATATTTCGCTTCAAACTGAACTAAACGTTATCTTAGCTAAAAAAAAACGCGCCTATATGCTAGGTTTCTCTCTGATTTATTGTAGAATATACCTATAGTATGAGCTAGTGGCCTGGGGAGCAGAAGTTCTGACAGTGGCAGTCACGCACATATTCAGAGTTGCGGTTATGTATTCTTGGTACTGCAAGCCATCCATTTAATTGAATGTGGAAGCAATATACAAATGCCAAGGCTTGTAGTATATCTGCTTACATACTGTACGAAACGTAAAGTACAGTACAATTGATATATTTATATGTAACACACCGTGCACGTTATAACATTGATAATATTAATTATTAGTTCAGGATTTACAATTAAGTTTAATATCATGTAATGATAGATAATTAGTAAAAGTAGAGCCGTATACCCTGAAGATAGTATATATACGTACATAAACCAAACTGGATATACAGAGATCAGAGTTGATTATTTAAACCTCTAAATATTTATATATAACCTTTGCTAGCCATTGCACATATAATAGCTACATGCATATATATATCGCAATATCGACATCATACCAATATATGGTCAAATATATCGCTGGACATGTATATTCTCCAATCCCAAGGGTAAAAAGGAAAGCTAGTACTCAGGATTGAACTAAGGACCAACAGATTTGCAATCTGCTGCGCTACCGCTGCGCCATACCAGCTTTCGTAGAATTCTCACACCGGATTCATAATCTTTCCTGGTATGTATGCCCTCACTTCCTGGGAAATTTTGCTTGAGTTTATACAATATACTGATTCCAGAATGAACCGAGATTTCACTCAAACATGCCCATTCTTACTGGATTTGTGACCCCATTCTATGCGCAAGCACTTTGCAAAAGCATAATGTAGGACACTGACGATGATGTTAAGCTTTGAAAATGGATTGACCTAAAATTCCGTCCATCGTATCGAAACAGCAATTTTTAAACCCAACAAATAAGTTTCATTTCAAGCACGCCATAAAAAGAAAGCGCAATAGCTTCAAAAATAGAACCCACGGCGAGAGTCGAACTCGCAATCTTTTGATTAGAAGTCAAACGCGTTAACCATTACGCTACGCAGGCTACCCGATGATGTCTCGAGGTTCAGGCACGTCCTCCTATCCTTCTGACATTCGCAAGCCTTGGACTTTATCTTTCTTTTAGATGAATCTCATTACTATCTATACCTAAGCTGATACAACAATTTGTTATTATATATGTAAACTGATCGTGTCTGATCGTATGGTGGGTTTGCATACCACTCTCAAACTCGGCTTCACGCTAAAACTGTAACCATAACGCCGAGGTTAATTCAGCCATAAACACGATACATAGCCCCTACCTTAGCTACCACATGACTAAGTCCAATATTACATCTTTTATAAATCTATCTGTGTCTTTTTTTCATTTAAATATACCATTATCATATTCCAATAACCATTCACATCTTTCGCCCGCCATACTTTCAATTATTTCATCCACATCTGTCTGTAGCACAACACCTACAAACCATCTCAGGTCACCTATTTTGATATTACGAAAGTAGCATTTATAGCACAATAAGCCATGCTTAATTTTGTCAAATCTCTCTATAGTGTTCTGTATTAAGCTCGGTAAGTCGTGATACAAATTATAGTGCTTTATAATTTTTATTCTCATGACTAAAAAAACTTGAGGATCCTATTCTAGTAGGAATGGAACTCACCTTAATGTTAACGTGCTTCAATTTACTAACTGACTTCACCATATTAGAAGATACTAAGTCTTGTGCTAGGCGAGACTCCCACACGAGCAATTGCGCTAGCTAAAACGATCAGCCCAGTATTAACACGCTTCCTCGCATTCTAGACCGCTGTGTGCTCGATACTATTCCCACATCGTCTTTACTTATCCCTGAGACTCCAAGCGCGGCCGGATGCTGCCTAGCGCACCCCAAACAGTTTTCCGGTGGCCTCAGAAATACATAGGTACAGCCTGCACCGCTTAATGCCTGCCAAAGGGGTAAACCGTATTTGTCTCTACTCAGTTTGTTTGCTCTACCTATAGTTTATAATACCCCGCTTGCTGAAACATCTGATAAGGGTTAGTGGGTAATTTTGGAACGGCTTTCTACGGTGGCAAGGCGTAATCCCATCGGTTTGTGAGGTGATAACTGCGGCTCAGGCAATTTTTCCCACCTATAAATTGGGAGAAGCAAAAGCGGCAACAACTGGCAGACCCTACACTCAGTTACGACATGGCCTCCCAAGAATCCTTAAACAAAGTCAAGACTTTGATCGCCGACAACCCCTTCTTGATGTTGTCCAAGTCTTGGTGCCCGGACTGCCATTACACTTACAAGATCTGGGACGAGTTCGGTGTCCGGGACAAGGTCCACATCATTGAATTAGACAAGTTTGCCGACCAGACCGAAGCGGCCGAGTTGGAGAAGGCCTTTACCGAAGTTTCGGGAAGAAAATGGGTTCCTACTATCTGGTTCAATGGTGAAAGATTCGGCACCGAGCAAGACTTGAAGCAGTTGGAAAAGACCGGTGAGTTGGAGAGCGCTTTCAAGAGTGCCAAGTTAATCTAGGTTTAATGGACGTCTACAGAGGTGGTAAGAAGTTCCAAAGTTGTATAGAATGCAATAACCTAATGTACAGGAGTAAATAGACCAAGTTAAAAAGAACCGACGGATAGAAAGGATACAAGAATAAAAAGAATGGAGGGGTGGGAAACAGAGCGGCGGAGTCACGATCAAGGAAGGGTGTATTACAGCCCCCCCACCTCTCTGTCTCCCCTGGATATAATGCATTTTTGATACAACTCCAAGGATAAAAACCAAAACCAAGCCAAGACAAACGATTCATGATCGGTGAAAAAGCCGATCCTGGATTCCAGATTTTTGATTCTTTGAGATTGTCGCCTTTTATTTGCCATTCATTTTGAATGACACTGGAAAGTACGAAGGAAGCATACTCTCTAAGAGTAGGTTTCGATAAGGGTGTCACGCAAGTTACCAGAGATGGCTTCTGGGTTGGAGTCCTGGAGACGGAAGATGGATTCAAGAACGGAAAGTTCTGGGGCGGTGGTGTCTAAACCGGCAACGGCCAACCAATCGTTGACAACCATACCGGCACCAACGACGGAGGAACCTCTGTTAACGGTACCGGCGACGATTGGGACTTGCAACAAGGAAGAGAGTTCTTCTTGGTCCTGGACGGAGGTCTGTGGGTGGACTAAACCACCCTGGTTAGACAAGGAACAGTAAGAACCAACGAGAACGTTACCGGACACGGTGGAACGGAACACTTCGACCCCCAAGACGTCGGCGATCAACTCCTCAGTCTCTCTCTCGATATCTGGGTGGACAAGAGCCACGTAATCGTTGCAGCAGATGACGTTGCCCAAAGCGGAAAGTCTCTCTTCGACTCTTTGGATTCTGACAGAGTCCGGCAAGCAGTTTCTCAAGTGCATCAATTCTTGATCAGAGGTCTGGGCTGGGACCAACAAACCACGACGGTTACCAACACACATACGGCCCACGATACGGGTACCGGCGATGGTGGTGTGAATGATCGGAATAACGTCACCTAATTCAGCCTCAAAAACGGAGTAAAAGTTTTCGGAGCCACCGACGGCAACGATACAGTAGGCGTTGGTCAACAAGGAGAAGACACCAACCTCGTTAGAGTTTTCGAATTGGGTTCTAGTAGCCATTTTATCAGGGTAATATGGGGGAATAGAGGTAAAAGCAGAGACCTAACTGATACAGCAATAGCGAAACTAGTTATATAAGTAGTTGCGTGCTTGCGATACTTGTTGCAAGTTTGCCCGGTATGTGGCAAACGATTACATGCAGCCGATGTGAAAAAAAAAATTATTCCAACATGCTAAAATTTTTCTTAGGGGAAAAAGAAATAAAACATGGGTGTGCTTGGTAAGCGCTTAGGTAAGCATCTTTCATGACTGTATAATTGCCCTTCTAGTACACCATAGGGAGGGACCAACTACTCAGTAATGCTATAGCTAGGTCATTAAATGATGAAATCTTTTAATTATTCGAATAAACTGTCAGGCGATAGAGGATAGTGTATGTTTGGATGCTGATATGGAGATTCTGAATAATTAAAGGGTTTGATCATTTAATGACTGCCTGTATGGTTTCCGGCATATAACGCTATAATGAGGGGAAACGCAGCCATCAACTAGGGACGGCTACATGTTTGCCACCGCCGCTGGTCCGCTTTTGCTACTATCAACAGCTAACGCCACCCAAGATGCTTGCCAAAAGCGCGACCCGCCCCATATTCAAACCCATCCTCTATCGCGGTCTTAATACCCTTCTGACCGCCACCCACATCTTGACGTGCCCGGGGCAGGCCCTTCCGCCAGGGATAAAGCTCCTTGAGACGTTCGAACCATTTCGGAGGCACGTGAAACCGTTATTAGACGTGCTCGATGATGTTATGGAGGACTCAGAGTTCCACACCTACTTGTTTAACCCTCCTAACCCGGAATTCTTCTCCCAAACCTCAATGGCCCAACCGGCCATTTTGGCTACCGGTGTAATCATCAGTGAGATCATGCAACGCGAATTTGGCATTGATGTTATGAAAAACGTGGACATTACGTTAGGGCACTCCTTAGGGGAGTTTACGGCTTTGGCGGTGGCTGAAAATAGCCGTGCGGGGGTGTCGAAGGAGCAATCGTTATCGCTGATGTTGAAGATTGTTCACCAAAGAGGTAGACTCATGGAGGGGGTGGTGAAAAGTGCGTCCAAGCAGGGAAAAAAGTTTTCTATGGTGGCTGTGATACCCGGCGGAAATACTGCGCATGAAACCATCATGATGGCCCAGACCTTCTTTGGCCGCCATCGTATGCTCTCCAACCTTAACTCCCACCGCCAGATTGTCATCTGTGGCGAGGAGAGGGAGCTTAACGAAGCGATTGCAAAGTTCAAAGCTGAATTTGAGCCGGCTGAGTGGAAAAGCAGGCGCGTCGCTTTTAAAGTGTTGCCTACCGACATTCCGTTTCACACTCCCTATTTGCGGGAGATCGAGCCGGACTTGGCAGCGTTACTTGCGGCATCCGGACCCAAGGCCGCCACCCTTGTGAAACCGATGATTGCTAATGTGGACTATCTGGTGGTTGCGACAATGGAAAATGCTTTTATGGCCATGGTCAGTGCAACCTCGCGTACCGTGAGGTTTTCTGAGTGCATTTCCCGTACTCTTGAAGACCAGACCACTGAGAGTCTGGCCATGGCGAAGCAAGTTGATCCATCGGCATGCACGAATTTTGTGCACATTGGGCCAGGAAAGGTGTTGAGTGGACTTGTTGATCGTACCATGGTCGGAAGCTATGTCAATCATAGCTTGAACACCTTAGAAGGTGTTGAGAGCTACACCAAGTATTTGAGGGATGTGGGTAAGGTCTAGAAAGCCGCCATTGTATATAGACTGGATGTATGCCTACGAACTCTTGACTTGCCTAGGTAGATTTGATCAGTTCAGCCTTCTGTAGCAGGTGTAGATAGCTTTCATTCCTGATCGATAGTCTTTTTGTCACACGTTTAAAATGACCTAGTCCCAGTGGTATGTGTACTTTCAGAAAATTCTTCGAAATGGCAAAAGATCCTCGTCCGATTCCATTTAGTGTAGAGCTTTAATGATTCTGTTGTGTTTAGAAGAGCCTATGGCTCCGCACTATCTTTTTCACCAGTGGTTCTTCGAACATGGGCAAGTGACCCTTACGGCTGTAAGGGGGATCTGTAGGTTGTTGTCCGAATGTAAAGAGGGTAAGAGTACCGCATGTGGTGGCTGAAAGGGTACCATGGGTATTCTGGTACGTAGGACGCAATATTATTTTACAGGTCTGAACCACGCTAATGACAACCAAATACTTTCAGCCATCTTGGAAGCTCTATACAATCACTTGTTGTCCGGTGGTGAGACATTTCAGAGCTTGAATGCAGGCCGGACACCGACGAAGTAGGGGAAGAATCATTAGGCTCGAACTGATAATGATTGTTAGACTTTCATAACCACTCATCCCATTTGTGGACTTGTCAGTAAGAGGTGGAATAAATGTTTGTTACCGGTGAGTGGAATGAAAGTGTGCTTGTGAGATGAAATGAAACGTTGAGATATCTCCGCTTTCGGACGTAAGGACATTGGATAACTATAAACACCAGGGTCCGATATATGTACAAATATAGCACCTAGGCTAGGTCACGCTATGACGCTACGCCTTTCCCGTTGATAGCCATCCTAGATTCTGCGATATCCGGGGCAGTGGATACTCTCTAGTCGGCTCGTCGGTGTGGGGCCGAAACGCATGCATGTTAGTCGGTCTCGGAGTTGCCAGCCTTTCTAGAATCCTGCATGCTATCACATGCAAGAAATCGCTACGTTCCGAGATCGGACACCGCTTTCTGACGCAGCCAATGGGAGGCTACTTATTATACTATGCACCGGATATTCTTAATTTTAGTGCCCCCTGAACTGTCAGTAAATTCGGAGAGATATGGAGGCTCTGCTATAGCAATTGCAGGTTTGGCGGTAGCTAAAATACCGCCCCGCCCGAAGTATCCTTCTACGGATGAATTTAAGCCTACAAGATACAGGTGGCAATGAAACTGGTGCTTAGAGAGCAACCGTTAAGTGGGCACAGTGTCTGTCCTGTGGTTTCTTTTTATCCCAATTTCCGTAACAGAGCCGCAATGCCGGAGAAAAGGCCGAGGGTATCCAGGACATACTCCGTTCTCTTAACTGCCCCACCTACCATCTCTGTGCCCTTCAATTGGGTTGTGCATTTACAAAAATAGACACAGATTTGACTAGTAAACTATGCTAACCTTGTTTATGCCAGGCATACGTTCTGGTTAAAGATAAATCCTCAAACCACCCTGTATACTGCGTATGAGGGGCCAGAGAGAACCCCGGAACACATGGGATCTGCATAACTTTCCACGTGATGCAACGGCTAAATCGCAACCGACAAATTTCCGACCGATTCTCGGCGACCGTATCGGGCCACTTTTGGCACAGGATTGGAAATTTGCGAGCGTCAATTGGCTGGAAACTAGCCGACGCAACAGGTCAGCGACTTTTTTTTTTGCAGGTCCGATCAAGGACTTGGGCAAAAGCTGACGCCCAACGCACTCGGCGTGATATATAACAAAACCGCACCCCCTATTTAATCCTTCTTCCTTTCTCTTCTCTTCTCTCTCTTCATCAAAGAACTAACTAGGAAATATGTTGTCCGCTGTTCGTAACTTGAAGGTATGCTCAATTGTTGGAGAGAAGTTTTGGCATGTGATCGGCATGTCCCCAAACTCTTGCACCATAGACTCCTACTAACATTCTAGACCCGTGGTATCTCCGCTACCCGTGGTTTGTCCACCATCAACTTTGACTCCAAGGTCAACATGAACTTGTTGGAATCCGACACCTTCATCAACTACAAGTCCCAATTGGAGAACTTGAAGGTCGTCAAGGCCAGATTGGGCCGTCCATTGACCTACGCCGAGAAGGTGCTTTACGCCCACTTGGACAACCCACACGAGCAAGAAATCGAACGTGGTGTTTCATACTTGAAGTTACGCCCAGATCGTGTTGCCTGTCAGGATGCCACCGCCCAGATGGCCATTTTACAGTTCATGTCTGCCGGTATGCCATCCGTCGCCACCCCATCCACCGTCCACTGTGACCACTTGATCCAGGCCCAGGTTGGTGGTGCTAAGGATTTGAAGAGAGCCGTTGACTTGAACAGAGAGGTCTACGACTTCTTGGCCTCTGCCTGTGCCAAGTACAACTTGGGTTTCTGGAAGCCAGGTTCCGGTATTATCCACCAGATTGTCTTGGAAAACTACGCTTTCCCAGGTCAGTTGTTGATCGGTACCGACTCCCACACGCCAAACGCCGGTGGTTTGGGTCAATTGGCTATCGGTGTCGGTGGTGCTGACGCCGTCGATGTCATGGCCAACTTGGCTTGGGAATTGAAGGCTCCAAAGATTATCGGTGTCAAGTTGACCGGTAGAATGAACGGCTGGACTTCTCCAAAGGATATTATCTTGAAGCTCGCTGGTATTACCACCGTCAAGGGTGGTACCGGTGCCATTGTCGAATACTTTGGTGACGGTATCGACACCTTCTCCTGTACCGGTATGGCCACCATCTGTAACATGGGTGCCGAAATTGGTGCCACCACCTCGGTTTTCCCATTCAACAACTCCATGGTTGAGTACTTGAACGCCACTGGCCGTTCCCAGATTGCTGAGTTCGCCCAGGTCTACAAAAAGGACTACCTTTCGGCCGATGCGGGTGCCGAGTACGACCAGGTCATTGAAATTGACTTGAACACCTTGGAGCCACACGTGAACGGTCCATTCACTCCAGATTTGGCCACCCCAGTCTCCAAGATGAGAGAAACCGCCATTGCTAACGACTGGCCATTGGACATTAGAGTCGGTTTGATCGGTTCTTGTACCAACTCTTCTTACGAAGACATGTCCAGAGCTGCTTCCATCATCAAGGACGCCGCCGCCCACGGTTTGAAGGCCAAGACCTTGTACACTGTCTCGCCAGGTTCCGAACAAATCAGAGCCACCATCGAGAGAGATGGCCAGCAAGCCACCTTTGAAGAGTTCGGTGGTGTCGTTATGGCCAACGCTTGTGGTCCATGTATTGGTCAGTGGGACAGACAGGATATCAAGAAGGGCGAAAAGAACACCATTGTTACTTCCTTCAACCGTAACTTCACTGCCAGAAACGATGGTAACACCGCCACCCACGCTTTCGTTGCCTCTCCAGAAATGGTTACCGCTTACGCTATCTCCGGTGACTTGGGTTTTAACCCAATCACTGACAAGTTGGTTGACTCCGAAGGTAAGGAGTTCAAGTTGGCCATCCCACACGGTGACGGCTTGCCGCAGCGCGGCTACGATGCCGGTGAAAACACTTACCAGGCTCCACCAGCTGACAGAGCTGCTCTCAAGGTGTCTGTCTCCCCAGAATCTGACAGATTGCAGGTTTTGACTCCATTCAAGCCATGGGACGGTAAGGATGCCGAAAAGATGCCAATTTTGATTAAGTCTGTTGGTAAGACCACTACCGATCACATTTCTATGGCCGGTCCATGGTTGAAGTACAGAGGTCACTTGGAGAACATCTCTAACAACTACATGATTGGTGCCACCAACGCTGAAAACGGTGAGGCCAACAATGTCAAGAACTTGTACACTGGCAAGTACGACGGTGTCCCAGCCACCGCCCGTGCCTACAGAGACGAAGGGATCAAGTGGGTTGTTATCGGTGGTGAAAACTTTGGTGAAGGTTCTTCCAGAGAGCACGCCGCCTTGGAGCCAAGATTCTTGGGTGGTTTCGCCATCATTACCAAGTCCTTCGCTAGAATCCACGAAACCAACTTGAAGAAGCAGGGTTTGTTGCCATTGAACTTTACTGATTTGTCCGCTTACGACAAGATCAACCCAGAAGATCAGGTTGACATCATCGGCTTGACCGAATTGGCCCCAGGTAAGAACGTTACCTTGGTTGTCCATCCAAAGGATGGTTCCGCCACCTGGTCTACTCCATTGTCTCACACTTACAACGCTGAGCAAATCGAGTGGTTCAAGGCCGGTTCTGCTTTGAACAAGATGGCCAAGAACTAAGTTTGACTTGTTCTGACCGTTTGTCTATATTATATAGTTATTTATTTTAACCAACATTCTCTTACAGCGTTTGTAAACCATTGGGACTAGCATTTTAGATCAAGTAAAGGCAAGGGGGGTGGCTACCAGTCAGTCCAATAACGTTGTATGCTTGAATCTATTGCCCAATCTGTAGAGATTGCCAAATATTTTTCTCTAACCTTGAACTTGTCTGCGTGCATGTTGTAACTAGTGTTTGTGAAACAGTTTAAAGTCTAAAAAGATTACTAATCCATATAGATGCCGGTTCTGATGATATAGATCAGTGGAGCTAATACAGCATGGCATTATCTTTAAAAATCATAGGTTGCTACATATATCCAGCTTATGTGAATATCCTTAAAAGCACAAGTTTCAAGCTGTAAGTATGTCATCACTAGCCTGTTTTAATGGTAGCCCCGCTTAACGACGCACGCAATACAGGTACCAATCACTTTATATTGTGCCGAAAAAAAATGATATTCATTTTTTACTGTCAAAATTTCATAAGTTCCATCGATTTAATATCTACACCCCATGACTAGACACGAATCTCATTTTTAGACTTGAGCCCCACCGCGCTGAGCACACGTGCCATTCTCCGTCAAAACGCTCCTGCGTTCTAGACCGCCGTAAGCTCAATGCACGCAGCCACGCCGATACTTGAACAAAACATAAACCACCCGTAACCCTCTCATCTGCTTTATTCCCTACACACAATGGATCGGTCAGCCTCCCCCACACAGTCGATCTCGTCCGCTTTCAGCGACATCTCAAACTACGAGGGGACGCTCATCTCTGCGTCGGTGGTCGCGGCAGGCGTAGCGGTGCGCGCAACGTCTTCGCAGCTCCAGCTCGTATCCGCGGTGCTGGTGAAGGAGTGGACACCCGCAGACGTGGCGGTATACATGCAGCGCGACTTTCCCGCATACGCGGCGCTTTTCGAGCAGCAGCGCATCAGCGGCGACCTCCTCGCCCACTTGACCACGCGCGACCTCCGAGACATGGGCATCGTGGCGCTCCGCGACCGGCTCGCGATCAGACAAAGCATTGGCGAGCTCACGCAGCACAAAAAGGGTACGTCGACACTCAGCCCGGACGCGTGGGTATACGAAGAGACGCTCGACCTTACAAACACGCTTCTCAACGAAATCTCCATCGACCTCGGCAAGAATGCAGCGGCGCTGAACGTCAGCAGTGTGCATCAATCCACAGCCAGCGAACTAAAGCGCATGAATGAGAAGATCCTAAAGCTCAAAGACGAGATGGCAAAGAGTATGCGCGCAAAGCCGCTGCGCTTGACACCCGCCGCGCTCGCGTCGCCGGTAACGCCCGCCGCTCGCAGCCCCGCCACTCGCAGTCCCGTCGCTCTGAACGTTCCGGAGGCTCACACGCCCCCGCGCAGACCGGACTTTCTCCGGCAAAAGTCAAGCAACACCACTATTACCACGACGCTCGGCGCGGCGTCGCCCAGCGCCGGCCACTCATCGGAGAACCTCGCGCTCCTGAGTCTGGTCAACGGCGGGCGCGCAAGCTTTGTGAGCGGCGCGATCGCGACACAGACCGCCACAGCGCCCGCGAATCCGAGTGCCCGCGCACCGTCCACGCCCACGTCTGAACCCTTGAAGCAGTTGCGCGCATCCACCGGCGACGCGTGCTATAAGATTCTTCAGCAAGCGATGCGCCGGCACCGCTTGCCGTTGGAAGACTGGCGGAAGTATGTTCTTGTGATCTGCTACGGCGACCAGGAGCGGATTTTGCGCATGGATGAGAAGCCCGTGGTGGTATTTCGTGAGCTCCGCGAGATGGGGCAGCATCCGGCGATTATGTTGCGACAGGTGGATAATGGTGAGGATGAGGGCGAGTCACAGACCCCGGGTGGGAAGCTCTAAACGAGGTAGGCTGATATGCCAGGCCTGGGCCAGAGTCGCTCATGCGGTATCACAATTTGAACTGCCAGTGCAATGTCCTATCAAGCAGTTCAAAAGTCAATGCCACTTTGGATCAAGCAGGTGGATAGCTGAGTAGAATTAACCATTGTCTCAAATTTCAGTTCTGATGGATAATATCCTCGAAGTGGCATTTAGATTTTCTCAGCTTCCGGTTAGTTTTTATCCCATTGACTCCATAGATGCTAATATACGGGTAAGCTATGGTGTAAACAGCGGGAGGGCAGTAAATGAGAATGCCAAAGGTGATTTAAAAGTGCCCGAAAAGGTCAGAGCATAGTAAGGTATAAGCCCTGTAATTTAGCAAGTCTTTCAGGCGACTTGTTTGGGAGTACACTGGTAAATAGCTGTCCAAACAGGAGAACGGAACCGTTGAAACCTTTAACATGTATTAATAAACCTTTATCGTAATGTTAAATTTTAAACTGCCAGGGACACCTCCGACTCATTCTTGAGGTATCCCCCTTGCTCGCACAACGAGTAGAATAAACTGCTCTTGTCAGCCAACAACTCTGCCGGCGGCGCAAACTCCTTCACCTCGCCCTTATCTAACACCATGATACGGTCACTGTCCATGACTGTGTCCAAGCGGTGGGCGATGGTCAAAATGGTCCGGTCGTTAAACTCGGTGCGGATGGTTTCCTGTACAATCTTATCCGTCTGGACATCCACGGCTGCTGTCGCCTCGTCTAAAATCAACACCTTGGAGTCGTTCAACAATGCCCTACCGAGACACATCAACTGGCGCTGCCCTACAGACAAGTTCGAGCCACCTTCCGCGACCTTGCTCATCAACCCGTCGCCCATAGAGCGGATGTGCGCCTCCAAGTGAGACAAGCGCAACACGTTCCACAACTCATCATCCGTGTGGCGCTGTAGCGGGTCGAGGTTCTGGCGAACGGTACCCTCGAACGCCTGGGAGTCCTGGGGAATGATACTAAGCTTGCTGCGCAAGTCAAAGAGGCCCATCTCGCTGGTGTTAAGGCCGTCGATCAACACATATCCCTCCGTCGGCTCGATCAAGCGGAAAATAGCGAGCGCAAACGTAGATTTACCCGCACCGGTACGCCCCACAATTCCCACTTTCTCACGCGGACGGATCTCCAACGAGATATTCAGCAACACCGGGTCGAGATTTGCACGGTACTTGGTGGTGTAGTGGTCGAAGCGAACAGACCCCTGCGCCGGCCAATTGTGCACCGGGCGCTTCCCTTCCACCACCGCCGGCGCCTCTGGGGATAACTCGCAGTATTCAAGAATCCTCTCGACGCAAACGACTCTAGTCTCCACCTCTACCGACAGTCTGACAATAAAATTGAGCGAGCCAGTTACCTGCAACGCGTAGCTCATAACCAACCCGACCATCCCGGAGCTGAGCGGAGACGCAGTTGTCAAGGAGTAGAGCACCGCGATGGAGGCGGCAAAGATGATAATGGAGCCGAGGAGCTGCAAGCGGAACGAGAGCCAGCGGTTGATGGAACGGAACACGTACGACGCCTTGAGGTAGAAGTCGATGTTGGTATAATTGAGGAACTTGAAGCGTGCCTCCTGCTTGTACGCGCGCACGGTGTCCACACCGTTGAGGGTCTCTTGCAAATGTGCAAAGATGGGGCTGTGGGTGACAGTGACAATGCGCTTCAACTCGCGCGATGTGGCAATGTACATCATCTGGTAATAGATGTAGACCACCATGAGCAAGAGGACGATGACCGCGAAGGACGGCATCGCGGAAACCACAACCAACAACGTAAAGGCCGCGCGGATGCACGACGTGAAAAAGCCCGCAAATATGCGCGGAAGCCCCTCGTCGACGCGGTTCATGTCTTGGGAGAAGCGGTTCATCACGCGGCCAATGGGTGTGGTTTCAAAGAAGGACATTGGCGAACGCATCACCGCGCGTGCCATGCGGTCATGAAGCTCGCGTGACGCGCGGATCGAGCAAAAGCACCACATAACGATCTGGCGCACCAACGTAGCCAAGCTCGAGCCGATCCCGAGCACCGCATACATCCCCACGTTGCGCCATACGTCCGTGTTGCTGCCGTGGCGTGCGTTCTCCTCAGACCAGTGCTTCAACCAAAAGTTACTCGCGACAGAGATAGCCGTGGTGAGAATCATCATCGTGAAGAGGAGAATCACCCCAGGCACTGAGCATGCACGTGCATACGCAAAGTACACCGACCATTTGACTTTGCCTTTTGCGGATACTTCTGCTAGCTGTGCCGTTCTGCGCTTGGGCGCGTCGCCATTAGGTGGAAGCTTCGTAAAGGAGGCCATACTTGCGCGTCTCAACGTGGTGTGACTGAGCTTGCGAAGCAACGGAACGCCATGAGATGTATCAACCAGTTCTCCAAGCCAGTCGGATTCGGGGGAATGGTTTGGCAGTTCCATCATGTCAGGTGCTTCCGAGGAAAGTCTTGGGGCGGTGTCAGCTTCTGAGGAATGCTCCACCCCTGGAGAGTGCTCAGCCAGCTTTGCTAGCTTCACCAGCTCCAGCTCCAGCTCCCCGCCATACTCGTTAATCAACTCATACACCTCACCCTTTTTCGCCATAACCTCGTCTAGCGACCCCCGCTCCACGGTCTTCCCCCCGATGAGAAGTAAAATGTCATCAGCAATGGCCAACACTGACACTGAATTCGTCGCAAGGATTTTGGTTTTCGAGCACAACAATCCCGACGAGCTCAACACGTGCTCGGTAATGTGCTTTCCCACGTGGGCATCTACGGCCGACAAGATATCATCCATGAGATAGACATCCAGGCGGGAATAAACCGCTCTGGCGAGCGAAAGTCGCGCCTTCTGACCGCCCGATAGCGAAATGCCCTTCTCCCCCACCTGGGTCTCGTCCCCGTCGGGAAGAATCTCAATGTCCGGAAGCAAGGCGCATGCCGCGAGGGTCTGTGCGTAGAAGTCAGCATCGTAGCGGCACCCGAAGAGGATATTCTCCTTGACGGTCGCATTCATCACCCACGGCACCTGTGGACAGTAGGCGATAGAGCCGGATATGGCTATTTTTGCGGGGTTTACACCATCAGCACCCGCAACGATAAGCTCACCGAGAAGCGCCTGCAAAAACGTGGACTTGCCGCTGCCAACACGGCCGATGATGCACGCGAGCTCGCCCTTGTTGGCGGAAAAGTCTACCGCGTCGAGCGCCACCTTGGACTCATCGTTAGACCAGAGAAATTTCGCATTGGAGATCGTCACCGCCTGTTCGCCCATGCGTTCGGCCTTAGGAGCGTATTGCACTGCGACGGGATCAATTTCACCAAGAAGGAGGAACTCCTGGAGACGTGCCAACGAAACAGACGTTTCGATCATAGCCGTAAAGACCGCTGGGAGCGCAAACAACGGCTCGGAGAGGATGTTGAAGAGCGAGAGTGCCGGGAACACAATGTCTGGGGACAAGGGCCGGTCCTGGGTGGCGGCAAAGATGGCGAAGGACGAGCACGACACCAAGAACGGCGCACAGTTCCACGCGAAACCGGTACATGCACCAAAAATACCAATCTTCTGCAAGTTGCCAAGCTCCTTGACGTTTCTGGCGTCGTCAAGCTTGTCGAGCATTGGCTTTTCCCATGCGTATAACTTGATGGACTTGATCAGCGAAAGGATCTCAGTCATGATGGACGTTCGCGTATCCTTGAACTTCATCTGGGTCTTGTGGAGGCTCTTCATCGAACGCATAAGCCCTGCGCTGAGCGGAATAAGCACCACCATCACGACAATCCCGCCCATGGTGGCATTCCCGAGAAGCGAGTAGAGCGCCATGAGGCACAATACGAGCTTTACCGGCGCAGAGATCAACATCTGGAACTGCTGCGACATGTCTTGGACGCGCGATACATCCACGGAGAGCAAGTTGATGACGTCACCAGTTTTCTTCTCGAGACGCGCGTCCGGCGAAAGGCGGAGTGCCTTCGCGTAGAGCAATGCCATTAGCCCCGACTTGCAGCTTAATGCCACCTCAAAGATCTTGATGAAGAAGATGTTGTAAACGGTGGTCAGGATGACTGAGACGGTGAACATACCGACAGAGATGAGAAGTCCGATAATTATTGGAGGGGCTTCCTCCCCGCCGAGCTGTGCGCGCGCGGCATCGTTCGCAAACTGGATCAACCGGCGAAGCAAGAGCGGCTGCGCAAACGAGATCACACAGTCTGCGAGTTCGAACGTGCCCGCAACGAGAATCGGCACGCCAAATACTTTAACAAGCACTATGAGTAGCGACGGTGTTGCGCGCGCTTTGATTTTGCGGTTGTATTCGTTGAACCACGCGCGCGACACCTTCCGCGCACTGGGGTCGATGAGCATCGCCTGAGGCGGGTTTGGGAGGTCGTCAAGCTTGAGTGAGTCTTGGGTGTAGCCCTTATGGATGAGCTCGTTCATCCACGAGAAGGTGATTTTCTGGAAGATGTTCAACTCGGGCTCGAGCGCGTTGTAGGTGTAGTATTCCCGGAGCTCGCGTGACGGCATCCACTGGAAATGCTCAAGGTAGAGGATGTGGCATGCATTTACGAGAAGGAGGCCGTGGATGGAGGCAAACGTGCTGCCCTCGATGAGCGGCCAGTCGGTAAGCGACTCTTGGAGTACAAGCACGAGCTGGAGTGCAGTACTGAGCAACCAGAAAAAAAGGTTTGTGCCCGCGGGTACCACCGCACGCGTTGGCTCCATCATGTGGAGCGGGAGTATCACTGCCAAAAGGACGAGGCCCATCGCGAGGAAACCCACGAGTCGGATGTCAAAGGTGGAACTGGCGGATGCGAGCACAAGGTAGAGCGTTGCCTGGAGGAACACAAGACTGAGGCGCACAAACTGGAGCACACCCACAGAGCGTATCGTGAACGTGTGCCCGACGCGCTCATGCGCGTACATCTGCACCATCTGCCAGAGCCCGCACACCAGGAACGTTACGGCAAATCCCACGAGGCAGAGCAGGAGAAAACACGGGTTGAAAGCATTGGCAGTCCCGTCGCCAGCAATCGGATTGGTCGAACCGCACGAATTGAGCCAAGTCATTGGAAAGTCAGGCATCATGGTTGAGGGTATTCTGCGTGAAACAGGGGGGTAATCAACGTTCGCAAAGGATAGGTGTAGGTGGTGGAGATAATAAGCAATCAGTAAAGGAGGTTGGTTGTGAAAGGTTTGAAACACGGCACTGAATTTGGTCTGTATTTCAAATCCAGAGTGATAGCCAGTAAGAAGTTCTCCAAGGAGCAAGAAAGGTCACAAGAGTACAACGGCAACTGCGGATAGCGGGGTAAGTCTCAAGGGAGAACAAAGGGGTTCTGAGAGCAAAAAGGGAAAGTCTCGGTGATCCGTAGAATATGCTGAAAATGGATTCTCGTGAACTTGGATGCTCAACGGCAAGTATATCTCTTTGCTCTCCCGGTATTGCCAATCGGTAAAGGTCGTGCGCACCCACGGGCTATGCTACGTATAGCGTGGACGGATGTTGGGCAACAACATTGAAAATGTCGTGGGCAGAATCCAGGGGTGGAGAGAGGTTGGAGCCGATGCTCAAGCTCTTTGAAAGCCGAGTTTTCAGAGCTAGCTATGACTTGTATCATATAGTGTGTGGAATTTCACTATATAGTGTTGACTGCAGTCTGAGGGTGGGGAATCTAATACACCTTGCATTCTTTCTGGAGAGCAGACTAAAGGTATTTGGCCAAACTGAAGTCTACTCATATTTACGGAGGAGCATGCTACAGTAGCCTGGCATCTCCTCCCAACCATATAATTGCCTTCCAACCGTCAATAATGCAATTGTATGTGTCTAGATCAGACAAGAAGAACTCGGCCATACACAGGAGGGCTAGCAAAAGATAAATCACAAGTTTTTGGAAGTTATCGGACATTCTTACAACTGTCAGGTACCAACCAGTTACGGTTTGTTAATGTAACATACGATCTTGGTTTTTAGGCATCCCCATTCCGTTCGTTCCGTATGCACGATCCGACTAAAGACCTGCGAAACTCTCCACCCCCACCATCGGTGCGTTGCATTACATTTCCCTAGGTCTGGTCTAAAAGTTGTTGCCGTATCCCCCGGAAAATTACACTGTAAACCCAGAGATACCACAAGCAGGTATACTATCACACATTGCCCATCGGATGATAATAGCTCATCACTAGTAGGATTCTCTCGTAGAAAATTACCCGGTACCAGACAAACGTTGCACCTTAGTTCCGGCACCTCAGTATGCAGCTAAACCACTCAGTGCCGGCCCATCATGCCATCTGATGTCACAGCAAATGACCAAACAAACCTTGATTTAATTTTAGTTATTATCTAAGCTGAAAAGAGTATATTCTGGCACCGGGTAATTTTCTACGAGAGAATCCTACTAGTGATGAGCTATTATCATCCGATGGGCAATGTGTGATAGTATAACCCCGAAGAGCACCATGCGGGGAAAGCCAGTATATTCGGTAATAAAGCTCAGCAAGAATAATCCATGGGTAGAGTTGCAGATGCCCAACCGAAAACTCCGTCCAATTGGAGCAGTAGTACACTACAGAACTGATAAAATTGTCGATTAGCCTCAAAAATAAAACAATACTTACGAGTAACCCCTCGGTGTCCCTTTATCTGCCCTCTGTATAGTCGCAAGCCTGCTGTCTGGACCGTAGCCTAACTCTGTCACGTGCCACCTCACGCCACTTTCTAGAACCATCTCCGAGCTGCGAGGTGCTCCTGGATGCCCCTCAACCCAGGTCGCAATCGTTCACCATGCAGGACGCATATGCAATTTTCACTTATATAAGGACCCGTCCCCTACCTCCCCCTTTCTCTTTCCTCACTTGCACAAATTACGATTACACACATACATAATGGATGAATCACAATTTACAGATCACGCCTTGGCGATTGTTACCGAGGCGCAGAAGCTCGCACAGGAACATGCGCACGCGCAGTTAACGCCGCTCCACTTTCTTGCGGCGATGGTGCCTACCGCAGCGGACGAACCGTCATACCTCCAAACGCTCGTGGAAAAGGCACGTGGCAGCTGGCCGGACCTCCAGAAAGCGGTGAACCGGCATTTGGTGCGGATTCCGTCACAGAGTCCAGCTCCGTCGGAGGTGCGCCCGTCACATGCCGCGGGCCAGATTCTCACCTCTGCGGTGAAAATCAAGTCCCAACAAAAGGACTCGTTTGTGGCGCAGGACCACATCTTTTTGGCGCTTCTTGAAGATGCCTCCATCAAGGCTGTCCTTAAGGACGCGCAGCTCAATCCAGAAACACTCAAGGGCCAGGCGTTGGAATTGCGGGGCAATCAGCGCATCGACTCGCGCCAGGCAGACTCTTCGCAGAAGGCGGAGTTCTTGGCCAAATACGCGATGGATATGACGGAGCAGGCTCGCATGGGTAAGATTGATCCTGTGATTGGGCGTGAGGAGGAGATCCGGCGCGCGATCCGCGTGTTGGCGCGGCGCACGAAGTCTAATCCCGTGCTCATCGGGGATCCCGGTGTGGGTAAGACCTCGATTGTTGAAGGAGTGGCCCAGCGGATCATTGACGGGGACGTTCCCAATGTTCTTGCGGGATGCAGGCTCTTCTCGCTTGATCTCGGGGCGCTCAAAGCCGGGGCCAAGTACCAGGGTGAGTTTGAGGAGCGCGTAAAGGGTGTGTTGAACGATATTGAGCAGTCCAAGTCGATGATTATCCTTTTCATCGACGAGATCCACATGTTGATGGGCGATGGTAAGTCCGATGCCGCAAACTTGCTCAAGCCAATGCTCGCCCGAGGGTCGCTCCACTGTATCGGCGCAACCACCGTGACTGAATACCGCAAGCATGTCGAGAAGGACGCCGCGTTCGAGCGTCGGTTCCAGAAAATTGACGTGAGAGAGCCAACCATCAGAGAGACGGTAGCCATTTTAAGAGGTTTACAGCCAAAGTACGAGATCCACCATGGGGTGCGTATCCTCGACTCCGCGCTCGTGACTGCGGCGCAGCTTGCGTCGCGCTATTTAACCACCAGAAAGTTGCCTGATTCCGCCGTTGACTTGATCGACGAGGCTGCGGCCGCGGTGGCTGTTGCACGCGACTCCAAGCCAGAAGAGCTCGACTCCCTTGAGAGACAGGCTCAGCTTTTGAACGTGGAGATTAAGGCGCTTGAAAGAGACGCTGACGCAGATTCCTCGACCAAGGAGCGCTTGGACCAGGCTCGCCGCCGTGTTGCGAGCTTGGAGGAGGAACTCCGTCCGTTGCGCGAACGCTTTGCGCAGGAGACCAAGGGCCACGAGGAGCTCACGGCGTTGAAGCGGAAGTTGGACGAGTTGGAAATCAAGGCGCAGGACGCGGAGAGGCGCAACGACACGCTGACGGCTGCCGATTTACGCTACTTCGCGATCCCAGAATTGAAGGAACATATCGCACGCTGCGAGGCACAGGTCGCGGCGGAGGATGCAGACGTCTCCGGTGATAAAATGGTACAGAATGTCGTAGGTGCCGACCAGATTGCAGAAACCGCTGCTCGTCTCACGGGGATCCCTGTTTCCAAGCTCACCCAGGCTGAAAACGCCAAGTTGATCACGATGGAACGCGAGCTTTCCTCCGCGGTAGTCGGGCAGAGCGAGGCCGTGCGTGCGGTGTCCAATGCCATCAGACTCTCCCGTTCCGGTCTTTCAAACCCGAACCAGCCGTCGTCGTTCTTGTTCCTCGGCTTGTCGGGGTCCGGTAAGACGGAGCTTGCGAAGAAGGTGGCCGATTTCCTCTTTGCGGACGAAAAAGCGATCATCCGGATCGACTGTTCTGAGCTCAGCGACAAGGCGTCCGCGTCAAAGTTGTTGGGTGCTGCACCGGGCTACATTGGTTATGAGGAAGGTGGGATCTTGACCGAGGCCTTGTTGCGCAAGCCATACTCGGTAGTGCTCTTTGACGAGGTGGAAAAGGCTGCGCCAGAGGTGCTCACCGTTTTGCTCCAGATCTTGGACGACGGGAGAGTCACTTCTTCCGCGGGTAAGTTGGTCAACTGCTCAAACTCCATCTTCATCATGACGTCGAACTTGGGTGCGCAGTACATCAACGCCGCGTCGGGCGCGAAGGTCTCGGACGAGACCAAGGAGCAAGTCATGACCGCGGTGCGTGCACACTTCCGCCCAGAGTTCCTCAACCGAATCTCCGCCACCGTTGTCTTCAACCGCTTGTCGCGTAAGGCCATCGCCAAGATTGTGCTCATTCGCTTGCAGGAGATTCAGCGCCGTTTCGAGGCGAATGGCAAGACCATTGCCTTGGATATGACTCCGGAAGCATTGGAGTACTTGTGTCGCAACGGGTACTCTTCCGATTTGGGTGCGCGGCCACTCAACCGTTTGATTCAGAACGAGGTGTTGAACCGTTTGGCGGTGCTTGTGTTACGCGGTCAGATCCGCGACAAGGAGACCGCGCGCGTAGTGCTTGGTGAGAAGGGCTTGGAGGTGATGCCAAACCACGAGCTTGCCGATGAGGATATGGATGTGGATGTGGATAACTGGTCTGATGGGGCGGACGATGATGATGTGTTTTCCGATACCCCTGACATGGACTAAGTGTGTAGTTTATCTTTTAATATTTAAGTTTGAAAATGGCACTGTAGAGATTTTAATAGATATTAGGGAGTGGGAAGCAATTAGGGCTGGAAATTAAATGCTGTTTAATTGGGTAGGTTGGGCTAGTGAAGTAGCAGAATGTTCATATAAGCGGGATATTTTTTATATCAACCTGTAAATGGTGAAAGGTGGTGAAGTTCAACTAAACCGAATTGATATCGCGGTATAGTAAGCTACGAACATAGATTAGAATGCTACGAGAAGAATATTATGTCATCAATGTTTGTAATTTCTCACCATTGAAGTGCCAATCCAAAGACTACACAGTATGATTAACATACGTTGCTTACACCCTACCCTTCACTAACAAATCACTTTCTTACAACGATTCCTCTCCCTAATAAATGACTTTGAATAAACTTTATAAAACCCAATTCCAAGTCGGTGACACCATTTTCTGTATCTGGAACATTTCATGAGGGATTTTCCCGCGGATTTTCACAGGCCTGCACGGACATGTTTATGCGAGATACCCCACGGATGATTCACCACCCGAAACTCTTCCCCAGAATTTCCGACATAACCAACGTGCTTACTTGTCAGTCAAAGAAAAGTGCCTGACACTATGCAATACCCCATTAAAACTCTTTAAAAATCATTGTTTATTACCCCTCCATTACTAAAAAGGCAGCGTCATGTCTTCTGAAGCTCTGCCGTTATTGGCACCCCCCGAACCCAGCCAGCTCCACGAAACGGTTTTCGATGTCTCTACTTCCACAGCGGGTATTATTGCCAACGAATTAGCCCACGATCCCGAGTTTCTCCCCGAAGTTGAATCAAATGGATATCCCCACGGATACGGAAGTGTTGGTCCCGCTACAGCCGAGGAAGGCGCGGACTTTGCATTGCCTCCTACCCAACTCTATCCCGTCTTTGCCTCGTTATTCATGTGTATATATTTAGCCGCCCTTGATGGGACGGTGGTCACGACCCTCCTAACTGTAATCTCCTCCGATTTGAATGCCGTTTCCAACATCTCGTGGATTGCCACTGCCTATCTTTTCTCCTGCGCCGCTTTCCAGCCGTTGTTTGGCAAGTTGTCCGATATCTTTGGCCGCAAGTCTTTAATTATCGTCTGCAATATCTGTTTTGCCGTTGGCTGCTTGATGTCAGCTACCGATAATGTCTGGACCTTGGTGGTGGCCAGGTTTATCACCGGTATTGGTGGTGGAGGGATGACCTCCCTTGCCACCATCACCATGTCGGATTTAGTCTCCTTGCGCAAGAGAGGACTCTGGCAGGGCATTGGTAATCTTTTCTTCGGGCTTGGTGCTGCCAGTGGTGGGATTATGGGTGGAGTTGTTGCCGACGCTTTGGGCTGGAGAGCGGTGTTTCTTATCCAGGTCCCAGTGGCACTTATGAGCGCGGCTTTTGTCTACCAATACTTGAACTTGCCAGAGGGCTCCCCTGGGTTGGGCTCCCATGGCTCCGATATGATGACCAAATTCCGCCGCGTCGACTTTTTGGGGTCGGCGTTGTTGGTTATATCCGTGGGTGGAATCATGGCAGCGGCTTCCTTAGGGGGCAAGGAGTTTGCTTACAACAGCTATCTGTTTGTAACGTTGTTGGTTACTTCCGTTGTTTTCTTGCTATTATTCGTCTATGTTGAGCTTTATTTCTCGCCCGAGCCAATCATCCCCGTGAGGTTGCTAGCTGACCGAACGGTGCTATGCTCCTCCTTTGCAAATTGGTTCTTCACGATGGCATGCTTTGTGGGCCTTTATTACGTCCCAGTCTTTTTTACCTCGGTTTTGGGCAACACTCCCACCCAGAACGGGATTAGATTGGTTCCCAATACGATTGCTGCCTCCGCCGGGTCTCTAATCTCGGGCATCTATATGAAGAAAACGGGAAAGTACCATCGGTATATCGTGGTTACGGGGTCTTTTTCAGTATTTGGTATCTTTTTCCTCACCCAGATGTCCCCTACAATGTCCAATTTCAAACAGTACCTCGTTTTGATTTTGCCCACCCTTGGATACACCAGTATGCTCACGGTGACATTACTTGCATTGATCGCCGCGGTACCTGTCTCTTACCAAGCATCCACCACCTCCATTCAGTATGCGTTCAGATCTACGGGATCCACCTTGGGAGTTTCCATCGCGTCGGCAATCTTCCAGCACTTGCTTAAAACGCGTATCGTGGTGAATTTCGAAGAACTCATCCGTGAGACCCCCGAGTTAGCGGAAAAGTATAACACTCTGCAGATCATTGCCAAGTCGTTGAAGAATATAGATTATATCTATGAGGCACCAGAGGAGTTCAGAACCGCGATCAGAATGGCTTATAATTCTGGCTGTCACGGAGCATTTTATTTTGCTTTCGGTGTTATCCTTTTGGGCTATCTTTCGTGTGTTGGTATGCGCGAGCACATGTTGCATACCTCCATGAAAAGATCCTAGGTGAAAAGTGAGTTGACTTGACATTTGGCTTACAATCCGAGATAGGTTTTGCTTTGGCATATGCCACTTCTATTTCATAGCGTATCAATGGCTATGAATTCCTCGAATATACGGGACTGGGTCCAGGTGAGACTAGAAAATCAGATACTAAGCCCAAATGAGACCTAGAATATCCAGGATGTGTTTTTACATTGAATATATAATTTATAGACGAATATCTACCAGAAATAAGGATTTACCATGAGGACTTATCTAAGTCATATGAAATAAAAGACCTCACACATTTACAGCATTTAAACGACCCCACCCACAAACGACTCTTAAGGCTCATATCTTGAGGGAAACAATGAGATGTATATGTAAAGGGTCCTGGTACGGGTTTGGTGGAAGAGATGAACCTCTAGGACTGGGTAAATCCTTATAAACTTTGTGATCCCCTCGTTTACTGTTCCGTTGGCAATTCAAATGAATTTTGGCACATATATCGGATAAAAGATTAAACTTCTCGTCCACTGTCTGACCTATATACATATACCTAACGCTTTAGGGTATCCCACCCATTACAATCCTAGACATGTTCCATACCCTTCCACAGACTACACCCCAGGGATAGCTTTGTTTAAAATAGATTCTAAGTAGAGTTACACGCTATAATCTTTCCCCGCTAAAGCCTTGCCTTGGAATTGGCGGTATTTCCCCTTGCGAGATCCGCGGCATACTGCCCAAACGGCTTGTAGCTCTTGGCCACCTCCGCCGCTCTGGCACTGCTGGCCTTTCCCAACTTGGACCGCATGGCAATACCCTGGATGATAACCGATACTCTGAATATTCCAAAGACAATCCCAGAGGTGAAGTACTTTTTCAACCCGCCGTTTGCATACTCCGGGTTCGTCCTTTCATACAACAGCAAAACTTCATCGACCCACTTCGGGTCCTCCCGTACAGCACTTGACTGGAAGTTGGCCCAAATCCGCTCAGGGATAGAGTATGGCTGCAACAAGTTTGCCAAATCGAACAACGGATGTCCGAAGGTGCAGAGCTCCCAGTCAAGCATGGCGAGCACTCTTGGCTCTGTCGGATGGAAGATCATGTTGTCGATCTTGAAATCACCATGGATGAGAGTGAGCTTATCCATTTTTGGGCAGTTTTCCATAAGGTATTTGCACGTATCCTCAAATCCCGGAATCGGGTCCACGTACTCGCTCTGTTTGGCAGCAACACGTGACAAGCCGGAAACCTGTCTCTGGAAGTAGTTTGTATCCTTTGATACATGAAAGTACAGCCCAGGGATGGCTGCGATCAATTTTTCAGCTGGCATCTGGTGAATCTCCGCTACCGCTTCTACCGCAGACTTCCAACAGGCGCGCTTCTCGGTCTCGCCCAACGACGGCATCGCCGGGTCGTGGAAGATGCGGCCTTTAATGAATTCCATAACGTAGAACACCGCACCGACGACTGACTCGTCCTCGCAAAGCATATACATCTGGGGCACCTTGGCATTCCTGTCCACGTGTTTGAGTCCCGCCATGAGGAAGAACTCTCTTTCGACGGCGTGCGCGGTTTTGCTCGCAAGCGACTTGTTGGGACCCGGCTTCCGGCGCAACACAAGCTGCTTTCCGGTATAGTCGGTGATGAGGTAGGTGGGGTTGGACTGCCCAAAGCTGAACTGTTTCACGATGAGCGGCGTCTGGATGAAGTTCCACGACACGTTGGGCCCAAGCGTAGTGCCTGTCGACGGCTGCGCAGCGCTGAAGTATCTTTCCAAGGACTGAAGATCGATGGGACTTCTGATGCTCGTGATATCGGTTTCAGAGTCGACAACAGACATGATATAGATGAGTGGGTTAGGGTGGATGAAAATGACAGCGCGAAAGGCGAGGGGAGAAGGCTATATTTATACTTGTGGAGAAAAGGGACTTCCGAGCAACGCGCGCATATGCGGAGAAACCGACTGGGGTACTGGCGCGACCGAACGCCGGCCGAACCCCGCGCGTGCGCGTGCAGTCCTCCCTTGTTGTATTGATGGATGATTTTCCGTTCTGAAATTATAAAAAGTACGATACTTTTATTTAGTTATAAACGTAGTAGGTTGGCAGCTCCCTTGTCGTAGCTTGGTCACACCTAATCCTTGGTTGTATATGTGTTTGGTTCAGCGCGTCACATTAGCTGTTCCCCGCGATTGGCACATGCAGGACTTTCACCAGGACTGTTTAAGAGAGGTGGATTTATTGCCTATCCTTATCTCTAATATAATAACTAGCAGCGCATGTTGTTATTGGACTCAGGGTATACTTAAGAGAGATGATATAGAACCGGGAAAGGTCAATTTTGAGCACCATACACAGCAAATCCCCTGTCTTATCTGCTATTATAGAAAGCTCAACAACGGGTAAAGACCGAGATGGTGTCTTTGGAAGGTCGATATACTTGTCGGAGTGCTGCAGCTTTAAGCTTGAGTGCGGCATTTAGTACTAGGCGGCATAATATCCCGTCAGGAAATAGCTTGTGCCTTTAAGACCTTGGATTATTTCTAGAAGTGGTGGATGTATATTCACAGGTATGCTGCCAGTTGCCGCAATTAAAATGGTCTCAGTAAGGCACATGTGTGTCTTAATCATCCTTCAAAAACCAAGAAAAAAAGATTGCTGAATTCATATACGGTGGAATCTGAGGCATCTGGAAGAATAAATCTGTCACTGTTGCTATTGCTTTATGTTGATTTTCTTGCATTAACACCAAGATTACGGGTGGGCTGGAGGGTCGCCATCTATCCATCATGTCACGTTTAGATCTACGGAGTTCCGGTTTGGAAAACGTGCGCAAATACCTTCTTTGGTAAACATGTTGTATTGTAATATTAATTGTGTACTTTTAATTCAGTCGATTGGTTATAAATAGTTTCTGAAATTGAACCTATCTCGTGGAAAGTACAATGACTCTGAGTCGCTGAAGCCGCACGCCCAATACGCATGTAACGGTTCAGCTTCTGAGTCGACTTTATAACTGTCGACCGTCGGAGCCTCTCTCTGCAGTTCTTGCAATAATCTTTCGGGGTTGTTTAGAAACTTTCACGCACTTCTTTCGTCGGGTTTTCCTTTTCCTGGTACCGTCACTCTCACATCTCTTTGCTGCCCAATGAGCCAAATTCTTGTACATATCATCGTTGGCTTGTCTCTGATTCTCTCACTAGCCTACCTCTTTCAAAGACTCAAGAAGTTTGATCATACGCCCTGGGACTCCTGGGCAATCCGAGCCATCAACCTTCTATACCGCCTCAAATACTCGCTCCTCCCACAATGTATCGTTGTCGAGAACGGCGGAACGATTGCCAAAATCATGGTCTACCCTGTCAAATCCCTCGCGCCAGTTTATCTCGATAAATGCTATATCGATGAATTTGGGTTTAAATACGACCGGATGTTTATGCTAGGTCGATGGTCTGAGACCAAAGCTGCCTTTGAGTCAATCACGCAGAGACAGTGCCCACGGTTATCCCTCTGCAAAGTTACGCTAGACCAGGAAAACGAGATATTGACCGTGTTTTGGCCTACAAAGAAAGAAGAGAGGAACTCTTCAAAAAGCTTCACCATCCCCTGCATACAATCTTCCAAGTTTAAAGAATATCCAGTGGAGCTCTGGGGAGTGGGCTTCCACACCTCCATCATCGATATCCTCCCGGGGGAGTTTATCGCCGATATGAACCTTCCTTCCGATACAAAGCTTCTTTTTTCGGAAAACGGTAAATCTGTGAAAAGCAATTCCCCGGGAAAGGAGGTTATATATAATAGTTCCACCTCTCGGGAGTTTCGTTCCACTCGGTTCCAAGAATACTTTCCCTCGCTCTTCCTCACGGAAGAAGATATCTCGGATCTCAACAATCGTCTCAACGGTCTTGAATTCCCCTTTCAAGCCACTGAGGTGAACTTCAGAGGAAATGTCATTCTATCGGGAACTCGAAAACCATATGATTCAGATACCTGGTCACGGATCCGAATTGTAAATCCCCGAAGGGTGTCACACTGGCACGTCACTTCCAAGTGTCCTCGGTGTACCATTCCTAACATAGACCCAAGTACAGGAGAGATGAGAGATGACAGCCCGGTAAGTAAGATGTTGGCACGCTACAGGCGAGTAGATTCAGGACAGCGGGCCTACTTCTTCTTTGGGATCCATGCCATTCAACTAGGGGAGGTTGGCTATGAGCTTGAAGTGGGGGACAGGATTGAGGTTTTGAGCAAGAGAATCAACGTATATGAAGGATTAAAATAGCAAGTTGGTTGGCAAATGTTATATTCGCTTCTCCTGGTTAAACTACCGCATTTCCGAAAGCCAAAGAGTGCATAAATGATTATCAGAAATACATCACTGGATACACGTATATAAGCCCATACCTATATATTGCACCGGTTGGTGTAGAGATTATTACACGCTTTACACAAAGGATACGTGAATAGCTACGAAGCTATGCTTAAATATTCCTGCCTTTATTCAAAAGAAAGAGCCTGCTTCCCCGACTTGTTATTGATAGCAGTGAGCAAAATCTTCAAAAGAGCATCTTTATCATTATTCTTTTCGTACCTCGCCTTGCTAAACGACGGTGCCTTCAACAAGCCCTGTTGATAATACCGGTAAACCTTCTCCAATGTTTTGATCTTCAGCTCGGGATCACGCATGATATTGGCAGTCAACCAGTACCCAGTAGCGACAATTCCTTTGAATACAAACTCTGGGGTGGCGAACGGAATAACCAGATCGGCCCCGTTCAACGCCCCGTAGGTGACAAGGGTCCCACCCTGGGATAGCTTCTTCACTAATGCACTGGCAGAAGTTCCGCCAACACAGTTGAAGGCGATCCGAACGGAGGAGTTGCCAATCCACTCGGCCACGGAAAATGTGAGATCCTGGTTCTGTGTATCAGTAATCACCTGAGTGGCTCCCAAATCCCTCAACTCCTCGGCGACACTCTCAAAGTCCTCTCGTTCACGAACTACAGATATCGTGTTAACCCCCATAATCCTGGCCATTTGGGTGATGAGCTTTCCCACCGCGGAGTTCCCGCCATTCTGAAGCACCCAATTGCCTTTCTGTAAATCGACAAACTGGGTGAGGAGCTGGTAAGCTGTTAGCGGATTCACCCCGATTGTCGCTGCCTGCTCGACGGTTAAACTAGAAGGAACGCAGACTAAGTCGGTTTGGTCACACAAAATATGGGTTCTCCAGGTGCCAAGACCCGGAACGCGAGGAATGCACAAGTCACCGGCCTTCAAGGGTGAGTCTTTCCCCACCTGGAGCACGCGAAACAAGCCCTCATTACCACCAACGGTAACCGGGTGGTCTGTTCCTAATTTGGTGGTGGCTTTCTGTTTGAAGGGGTTGGCACCAGTGACCTGGCGTACATCGGAGGGGTTGATTGGAGAGCAGACGGTTTCGGCAAGTACCTGGGTGCCGATAGGGACTGGAAGGGTGTGGTGAAGAGCAGACAATGCGGTCTCTACCGGACCATTAGAGGTGTAAATGATAGCTACAGCTGGGGTAGACATTAGGGATCGTACTTTTATAACATGTTGAAACCCCCATTATCGGTGAGAAGTGAAATACCCATGTGAAAACAGACAAGCAATGCAGGATGCATCGGATATTTGACCCGATCGGATATGAACAGCTACTTTCCGATACTGAAACGTGGGGTCTTCAATATGAGATGAGCCGATGAGGAAAGAGAGGCAAAATCTCAAGTCGAAACTTTTTAAATGCTATAACTCTGTGTGTGATCACCAAAAGGTGAATGGGGTATTGACATCGTATGGTTAGAAGTGGATGAGAGTGCACATAGCGAGACGATGATTGAGGCGCCTTAGTGTATGCAAGAAAACCGGTTTGAATGTTGGGTCCAAATTAAATGCTTAGCTTGCACACTTGAATCCCGATGATCGAGCTAATTACGTAGCAAATGGCGGCCTTTGCGATTGATCCACCTTGAGAACTCACTTCTGTAAGACGCAAAATGAGAAGTATGCAGAGTCCAGTTTAAATCTTATTTGACCAAAGTTGTTTGATATTTATCACGTCAGTGGGTGTGTTAAATACCCTATCTTGACAACCCTCAATGGTTGGACCTTTCCATCTCTTATCGAGCTCACTACAAAGAACCTTGGTCATGTGGGTCACATGACCTGCTAGCTTCCTGCATGCCCGGGCCTACATGCATGAAAAACTATTTATACAATCAGTAACTTCAACGGAATTGCCGCCATTCGAACAGCTAAGAGATACTACATCCTTCCTTTGGGAGTATCACTCGTTCGTCCTTTACTTGACACGATAGTTCTTCTCGACTGTTCCACCCAAGGCTCTGTTTATGGAACACCTTAACCATTACTCCTCCAGCGACTCTGACTCTGACGAACCAAACGTGCCTGTTCAGCCTCTGCGCAAAAGAAAGCTTCCTCCAGTTGCCCCTGAACTCCTTGACAAGTTTGCCAAATCTCCTAGAATCTCCACATCTGATATTCCGGCCATGAACCGTGGTAACTCGCGATCCAAGTCCTTCCTCCACGCGTCCAAGTTCTGGCACAGTTTCTGTTTTCTCGAGTGGACCCCCACCAGAGAGCAACGCAGTCGCCTTCTCCCACTTTCCCAACACCTAACCTCCTACATCAGCAACACCAAGACACGATTTTCCCACTGTGAGTGGCAATCGAACTTGATAAATACCTTGGGCTCGCACCTTCCACTTCATGTGTCACTCTCTGACACGCTCTTACTAAAAAACCAGCAGCCTGAAACCTTCATTAAGCACATCCGCCAGGGCTTACGAGAGTTGAAGGTGGTTCCAGATGGTAAAGGTGTTATTTCAAATGAAATATCTATAAGATTTAATACCCAGCCGAAAGTGTACACTAATCAATTTGGAAACAAACTCTTCTTGGCCATCGCGTTGGATGGACCTTCTACTGAAAAGCTCGCCCGCCTTGCAGATATTATTGATATAGAGGTGGTGAGGCTACTGAAAGAGAATAACGACGCCTTGTTGAAGCCATTGCGCCGAAGCTACCACGTTTCGTTGGACTACTGCATTTTGGATGAGCCGATAACTGAAAAGGAATTGGCGGAGTTGAATGATGTTATTGGGAAAGTTAATATTTACGAGCGGTTCAAGGGGGTGAAGAATTTACCACTGTTTCGACTCTCTCCCGAAGAGTTGGACTGGAAGACGAGTTTTGTGAAGGTCCAGAATGGGAGACTGTTCTGTACCCTAGATATCGGAAAGGTTTCATTCTTGTGACTGCAGAAGGGCAAAGCGAAAGCTTATTTGGATATATTTCAGGTTAGGGATATCGATAATAACAAGGTTCTGTACCAATCGATGAAGCGCATGGTTCTACGGGCAATGTTACGTTGAGGGCATGCAAGTTACCTGGTATTAACACAAAAGAGCACCACTAAATATTTCTTCTACAGTATTGGAAGTGTTATTGAATCCCACACTAGTCACCGACAGATTTCAGCTCGCGTCCGATTGAGGATATTCTATACCACTGGTTATACGGTATTTCGGTATCGTGTCCTCCTCAACACGACGATCTAAGCTCCTCTTTTGTATATATATTTCCAATGAAAAGCACTTTCAGCTAACTATATCTACTATTCCTTATTAGATACACCGCACTGACTACAATGTAAACTTATTCAAGTTTTCTACCAGATATGGTTAAACACAAGAAATAAGTTGTCACTGATCACATGAAACGAAACTCATAATCTGTCTGTATCCTAAGCACACTAGGACTGGAAGTAATCTCGATGCCGGGGGAGTGAAGTCTTGCCACTTTGGTGATGCTTAGTAACGCATATATTCCTGTCGAGGTCTAAAACAGATATCCAAAATACAATATAAATACTTGAGTATACTCCTAAATTGCACAACAAGCCGAGCCATCAGCAATTAAGCGCTCAGTCAATTCATACTGCCTCGAGACTCTAACATCTTGTCAGCCGGTATTACTCCTCGGGCGTAGGAGCTTTTAACAGGACTGTGACCATAGAAATATATACAAACACGGAGATGACACACAGTATCCAGTGTACAACCTGAAACACAATATTCTTGACTTTGAGAGTGATAAAAGGGCACCATTGACTAAGCAATCCCATACAACACAAAATAATAATCGCGGCCCACATAGGGCACGCCATGAGCAAGGGTGTGTGTGCGCAGTATTCCTCCACGTTGTCACTTGCAAAGAAATACAAAAATCCTGCTAAAACAGCTGCCAGAAGATAGCTGGTGACAGCGTATAGCAATATTGATCTCATAGACTCAGGAGGATTATCATGGTTCTGACCACTCTCAGAATCAGAGAGAGAGGAGCGCTTGTTGTCTTCAAAATCTTCCAAAAGCGCCTGCTCCAAATCTTCATCACTGCGGCTGGCTGTATATGGAGCCTTTTCATAAGCCAGATAAACTCATTGTGAGGAAGTAGTTTTGACAGTGTTTCAATATGAATTTAGGAACTAAATTTGAGGGGGTATAGAACTTTGGGAAATCTAGAAAAGAAAAAAATAGAAACTTCAAGAAGAAATGGCTCACTTGGTTTATGAGAAATGCGTGTTGAAATGATTCTAGCTCAGAATATAACACATTATCTGACATTAGGGGATCGTCAGGGATTGCAGATAGGCGCGCAGGGTAACTGCCTCACATGACGCCTTAGCTAAGCTTTTCTTAGTATGATAGCGTATCCCTGCATATCGAATCGCTAAATTTGGAATTTGTTTCGTATTAAACGACTGCCTAATCTGTGATCAATCTTCTACCAAAGATTTGTTCGTTAATAATCCTAATTAAGGTGTCTATTTGGGGCTCTCAGAATTGTTTTCAGTCAATTTAATAGTGCAAAACATTCCATTATCAAAGAACTCCTTTATTGAAAGGATAAAGGCTCTTGTGATTACTCCCTGGGGTTGAGGCTAATCAACCTGGCCCATTCTTAGACAATAATAGATAGATATTAGACTGGTGAAACCGAGGTTTCTCGCCCATCAGTACCGTGGACCTCGGACTGTAATCATAGTAATCCGACTGATCAGGCGAGTTTGCTCTTGGCGCTTCCCGAGTCCACTTTGAATGATGAAAACAGGAGTTAGCTAAACAGACATGTTGCCTTTAGTAACTGTAAAGTGGAACCTCTGAGTGGAACCTTGTCTCTGAACGTAGTATAGCCTGTAAAATGGTTCTTCATGTCTCTCCAATGGCGATAACAGATCCAGATTTCTTATTAGATTCGGTTAATCGCGAGAAATAGCTCGGCTAAATCAAAATTCCCGAAATAACATGCACAATTATTACTAGAAATAGTCTCGATTCTAGATGTGTGAAGTCTTGCCTCTTTAGTGAAGATTCATAACGCATACATTCCTGCCGCCGGTTTCCCTGTCACGGTCTAAAATACATATCCAGAATATAATATAAATACTTGTATAGCTTCTAAAATTGCATGGCAAACCGAGCCATCAGTAATTAAGAGTGCAGTCAGTTCATATTGCCTCGAAACCTTAATACCTTGTTAGCCCGAATTGCTCATATCGGTATAGATGCGATCGAAAAAGTTCACCATCCAAGAAATCATGGAAAATACGTAGAGGACAGCCAGTACCCATAGTAGGATCCGAAAAACAATGTCTGACTTTGAGAGAGATCAAAGAAGGGTATCGTTGATAAAGTAGTTCCATACACTTTAAAATAGCGATCGAGGCCCACATAGGGCATAACAGAATCTTGGTATCATGTGCACAATATTCCCTCACATTGTCACTTGCAAAGATATATAAAATTCCTGCAAAAATCGTCGCCAGAATTATTATGGCAGTATCATATTGCAATATCGACTTCTGCGACTCAGGAGGATCATCATGGTCCTGACCACTCTCAGAATCAAAGAGAGGGTAGCTTTTCTTTGTCAAAATCTTCCAAAAGTGCCAGCTTCGAATCTTCATCGCCGCGGGCGGTAGTATATGAAGCCTTTTTATAAGAGCCAGAGGAGCTCATTGTGAGAAAGTTTTGACAGTATTTCAGAGTGAATTTAGAGACTAAATTTGTGGGGATCTAGAGTTTTGGGAGATCTGGAAAAAAAAATGGTGGGAACTTTAGGATGAAATGACTCACTCGGTTTATGAGAAATGTATGTTGCTATCCATATGAATATTACAACAAGGATCGACTGGGTTTCGGTTAGGTGCAGGATAACGACCGTGAGAAACTAGTATCTGACGCAGGCACAACTTGTGTATTCCTTCGAAGGTTAACCGGTGTCGAGCTGACAATGATAGCATGAATACAGTTAAATAAAGAGGCAGGTCGTAATGATTTATTTAATTTGTTCTGGGTGATAAATACAAACTGTGGTCAAAAGATTGAGTTTTTCAATAGTAACTATAAGGTGCTCTATAGGAGCGGGTCTCATTTTCGAGCTCAATGACACCTAGAAAGTGCTCTCTTACTATGCTACCACAACATTAACGTTCTTAACATTCCTATTAGATTTGACTAAACATGAGGAATAAATCGATAAAACTAACTCGAAAAGAAATACCCAACTGGAGGCAATTTCGATTCCAAAAGATGTGGGGCATACCACATTGGTGCAGCTTAAAGCATAAATACCAGACGCTACCTCTACTTTCGGGTCCAAACAACGTATCCAATATACAATAAAATTGTACGTTTAGCTCTCAAACTGACACGTCCAACCGAGCCACTGTTAATTCATATTACCCCGAGACTCAAATACTTTATCAACTCGTACTACTCCGGCGACATAGAATTGCTTGTCAACAAATAATCTAGAGTAATCAAGATTGCATCATGCCTTAGTACTAGCCCTACGACTAGAAAGACGATATTGAGAACTATAAACGCGACTGAAGATGGGTTTTGTTCACCAAGTATTATCATGCACCAATAAAGAACGAACGGGGCCAGTTTAACCCAGTAACAGGCCCAGGAACTATATGCGCAGCATTTCTTCAATACGTCACTTGCGAGGAAATACATTGATTCCGCCAAACAAGAGATGAAAAGAAGCTGTAAGGCAACCACTACCAAGATTGATTTCCACGCTGGTACCAGCAAGTTACGAGGAGCTTTATCATGGCCCTGTCCACTCTCGGTATCAGAGAAAGCAGACAGCTTCGCATCAAACCCTTCCACAGCCACCGGCACTGAATTTTCGCCATCTCGGATACCAGTATCCAGAGCCTTTTCATAAAAGTCAGAGAGGCTCACTTCTCGAAAGAAGGGAATCTGAGGAAATGATTTTGGCACTATTTCAGGGCAGCGGCAAATCAGTCAAAGGGGCTTAGAGTTTCGGGAGGGCTAAAAAGGTAGAGGATTGAAACGTCGGGAAGAAATAACTCACCCGCATGACCCAAGATGGCTTTGGAACGATTATGGAAACTATCCGGGTATGACGCATTATTTTACAACCGGGATCCTCTATAATGTACGTCATGCATTGGCCCTCCCCAGTGGCCTGGTTATCGTCAATACAAATGCCGATTTATCCCCAGACTGCCTAGAGGATCTAAACCCTTGATTTACCTAATCTCTAACTTTGTTTCCCAACTGGCTATCAAAAGCCCAGCGGGTGTATGTAAAAGGTAGAAGCTTCTCCGGAAAGAACCACTTACTGGGACTCGAAATATTTTCATCTTAACCAAATATCCGCAAAATTCTCCTCCAAATGTTCCAATAAAAGTCCCAAGCTTCTATAATAAAAGGTAAAACACCACAGTGCCAACCACTATATCCCCATAAAAATCGGTTCCTTTGGTTTTTCACTAGTCGTCCCCCTACCGTAAACCTGAGCCTGTGATAAACCAAACGTCAGTCCTTCAAGATAAGCCAAACACGCCTCTCCCGTCTACCAGCTACATTCACACGCCCTCATGATGAACTCCAAACGACAGAGAGTCCGCTCCAAGGTGGCGGAGCCGGAATCCCGGGCGGACGAAACGATGAACATCCACGACGAAGCAGACGTGATGCAGTTCCGCAACATCGCAACGGCACGGTTCATCCGCAACCAGGAGTTGCTTGAGATGGTGTTGGAGAGACAAATTCCGCTTGCAAACATCATTCCGCCTGCGGCGTTTCCGGCAATCACCCCCAAGGATGCAGCGGTGACGCCAGAAGACGACGTGTGGTTCGGCGACATCCAGCGGATGCGGCAGAAGCTTGCAGAGTTGGAAGCGGAAAACACGACTTTGCAGGCGGAACAGACCCCACAGCTCTTCAATGACGAGTTCCGCTACCAGCGAGAGTGTGCAGAGACGCTAAAGTCTCAGGCACAAGGAGTCGTGGAAGCGCAGCGCGAGACAGAAGCGATGTGCGCGCTGTATCAGCAAAACTTCGGCAGACGTGTAACGTCAGGCGTACAACACCGCAACTTGTCGCATCTTAATCCAAACTCCGCACTGGCACCGCCAGGGTACGTCCCTATGCTGCTTCCCAGCGCGCCTACGCTTCTCGACACCTTCTCTAACGACCACATCGCGCCGGTCTATGGCTCGGACGTCAACTCGCACATCAATGCGGGCAGTGATATGTTTGGGAATGTCGACATGATGATGGAGGATACGTTTGGCGGGTTACAGTCGACGTTGGACGACGATTTCTTAAGTCAGATCAACCACAGCATGGAGTAGTGTATAATACAGTGAGTTATAGCGGTGTTGAAGGAATAGGTTGGCAAAGGATCTGGAGTGTAATATACGAATGAATCTCAGAATATTCGCTAATGTATGTCAGATAAATCACAGGATAGGCAGAGAGAGCTGTATGGGGTCGATGTACTATGCGGTATACCCCAGGCTAAGTTCTAACCGGTAAATAGCCTCAGCCTCTCATTTTAGTAGGCTACTTTAGGCTAGGTTTTGGAAATTCCAATGGTTACGAACTGTTAATTTCAAAAAACCTCTTGATTCTTCGGTTTCAAAGCTTCACTTTATCTATTCACTTCGTGACGATAGTCCTGGTATTTGGTCCACATCAGATCACCATCGATATTTGGATCCAGTCCAATCTAACCTCTTCTGCTTACTATGGTTTTTTTCCTACTCCGATCGGCAGGAGATTGATCTAACTTCTGGTTTATTCGTTTGAATATATACATCCACTTGAGGTAGACCAGAATACGTCTATTAGTATCGGGCGATGCACCGGGATCTCGGTGCTGTTCACACATGGGTCTTGGCGGATGTTTACCTCTACGAGTCATGATATCAGCATATTCTTGCCTGTTTAGTGGGTGACCCACTTACTCCCGCGGAATATGTATAACGTTGTATAGAACTTAAATAGGTGTATGATGGTCGCAAGTAAAACCAGTGAAGCAGAAGAAAGTTGGGAATGCAGGGTAAAGGCAAAATAAATGCCAGAGATGGTTGATTCAAAGAAAATATAAGGTTTGTGACGAGAGGACAGTTCAAAGCAATCAAAGTATGCCGTTGGAAGCGAAAACAACTCCAGGGACGGTTGCAACATCTAGATTAGAGTCAATCCAACGCTCAGGAGCGCATCAAAATAGAAAGCCTTTGTTAATTCCACGCCAGGACGTGATCAGGCCATCAGCCTTCGTCAAGAGCGACAACAAATACATTCCATCAAGTGACAATTGTGAAATGAAAACCCACATTCTTCATATGCAAGGTAGTGATTGAAATCTTAATTGTACAAGATATTTCTTAAGGGCAGAATTCAATCCAACACATTCCATCGAGGCACAACCGAGTTCAACCGGTGGGAATGTAATGTCTAGACTGAAATGAGTACTCCAAACACAGGTCAAGCAATGAATTTTCCGCAGAGGTGGCAAGGAGAAATCCCAATCAGCGGGTCTTTAGAATGGCAAAAGTATAAACAGGAGAGCTTCCGTTTGATTGAAACAAACACAATCCCTTAATCTTTCTCCCGTTACTTCCCAAAGATCTTATTCACAATCCCTTAATCTTTCTCCCACTACTTCCCAAAGATCTTATTCATCTGCTTGACAACTCTCCCGACTCCAAACCCAAATACCACCACAATCATCACCGTCGTCGACACCAACACTATCCCCCCCATCATAAACCTCGGTGCAAAAATCTTCCAGACCATCAAGTGACGGCGAAACACAGCCGCAAACACCAACGTGCTCAACGTGACCGCTGTTTGGTACATTGCAAACGTCGCACAACACTCCGCCGCCTTTGCCACCAATGAGATCGGCTTGGGGCTGGGCGGAATCTTCCATAACACAATCAACGGAAGGAACACGCACACCACCACGTACGACCCGAATGAGTTGAGGAAGATGTTGAGGTGAGTGAACGGCATGGTGATCTCGCGGGTGGTCATGGAGCCAACCTCCCATTGGATAGATGAGAGCGTTGCTTGGTGTCCAGTGCTGAAGAAATGCGCAGTCGCGAGGAGGCCAAACACCACCGGTGCCGCGAGCGACTTGCGGAGGCTCAAGACGTCAAAGAGCTCGAGGAGCGTGAGGAGCTGGTTGATGAGGATGAATATGGAAACAGCACCCAATGGCTTAGAAACAAGCATCACAACGCTCGCAACGTTGAGCGCAAAGAGTAAGTAGCTTGCGCCGTAGACGTTGCCGTAGCCGAGAATCGTCGCGCGGCGGTCACGCGCAAATTCTAACTGGATGCACAACGGACCACGTGCCCATCCAAAGTTGGCGGCACCCAAGCCCACGCCCATGACAATGCGCGCAACAGTGAGCATTGCCAGCTCGAGGACGGCCTCATCAATGGAAAATCTCGCAGAAAAGTGCTCGCCTGACTCAAAAAAGTCCATCGTCCAGTAGAATGCGTTGAGGAGGAGCACTGCGGTGAGGCCACGGCCGATCCAGAACGGCGCCGCAGATTGGTACGAAGATGTGAGCTTCATAAAGCCGCGGACAGACAATGGCAATGCAATTGCCACCACGTAGAGCAGCGCGACCGCCCACCACGAGAGCCCGAAGGTAGGGGTGCACATCTCGCCTTGCTCCTCACGGCAAAGGGTAATGAGGGCCGCTGCGCGCGTAAGTGCAAGAAACACGAGCGCATGGTACACTGCAATAACGCGCGCGGTCTTGTTTGTGAGTTTGACGGCCTCGACAAGGCATAGAAAGCCGAAAGTGGAGAGCAAAAAGGTGATAATTTTGTCCTCCCAGATCGTGAAAGAATTCAGCGCAAACACAAGCACATGGAGCACGATGCAGAGCGCACCAAAGAGCGACCACCAGTCACGGAGGTCGCGCGCCTGCGCGAGAAGCCAGAGGAGCGAGTAACGATCGAAAATCGGTGCGAAAAAGCCGAGCACGATAGCAGTGGCCACGCCGAGAGAGAGCGACCACGCCCAGGAGAGGTTCTCCGGCTTGATGATCGCGTGGATCGCACCGAGCACGACCAAGCCAAGGGGAAGGACGGCGAGCATCGAGGTGACGAATTCGCCGGACATTTGCGAAATCACGACCGAAGGGATGAGACGGGCGTAGATGGTGAGGATGATGAGGGAGAGGGCGATGAGGGTAATACCCATGAGGATTAGTTTGGCATCAAAGCGCGCCCAGAGGTCGCGGCAGCGTTCGAGGGAGGTGTGGTGGTAGACCGAAGCAGCCTCAACAAAGGCGAGGCTAGCGGCAGGGTCAGCCGCGAGGCCAGCGGCGACATCTTCAGTTTCTCCTACGATGTTTGACCACATCTTCTCAAGTCCCCTATACATCCCGTTGATAACGTCATCTCCTTGAAGAATGTCCGTGACTGCCCTGTACTCGTTAATCTGGCGGGCCGTCATATAGTGCGCCACGGGGAGCTGCTCCGGGCGAAACAACTCGTCGATGGGCGCCCCGAGATTGTTAAACGGAATGGGCAACCCGAGCAAGAGCGAAAGCGTCGGGACGAGGTCGATCTGGTTCACCGCCCTGTGGTTTCGCCCCTGGAAGGCTATATCGTAGTTTTCTGGCAGCTTTCTATGAATAAACGGCCTCTTTGCGTGGAAAAAAACTGCCGCCTCGAGCTCTTCCGGTGAGTCACCGCCGTGATCGCCGGTGCGCGTCATGCCGTGGTCACCCAAAACAACCAAAAGGGTGTCGTCGTCGAGCTCATCTACAACCTGTCTCAATATCTCGTCCATCTGAAGCTGTTTCACCCGCATGGAGCTGTGTTTTGGCCCGAAGCGGTGGCCGACGTGGTCAACGCCGAGGAAATGCCCGACGAGCACGTCCCAGTGCTGTGGCTGGGCGAGAAGCGGAAACAAGTGCTCAATAACCCCGTTGTCAACCGTGTCCAAGTCCCTGACGTCAAGCGAGGGGTACGGAAAGCTCATGTTCGCCGCAAGGTACGGGCGAAAGAGTGCATCCCACGTGTCGTCGCCCATGAACGCGACACGGCTCCCGCGGCGCCAGAGCTGCGCGATCCAATTGTCCTCATCGATAACATCGCCGTCAAAGTTCAGACCTGCATCGACAAACGTTGGTAACGAGCCGGTGGTGAGGCCCTTAAGGCGCTGGAGTGTGGTTGTGGGTGGGTCCGCGAGAAACTTGAGGAGCAATGCGTGTTCAGGCAGGTCCTGGGCAAGCTCGTGGAGGAAACGGAGGTTGTTGTGATAGGGCTCGCGTGAGCCCGCGACGGGGATCGCAAAGTCAAAGCGCAATGCGTCCACCACAAGCACCACCGCACGCGAGAAGGCTGGCGCGAGGCACGCGTCATGCGCACACGTTGCATTAAAGTCTAGTACCTGCCGCGAGAGTAGGAATCCCTTCGCGAAGAAGCCGATGCCAATCGCCTGGAGGAGCCCGAGGCTGAGGAGACACACGACGTAGAGCGCATGCGTAACCCGCAACTTGCCGTGTTTCGCCTCAAACTTAGGGGGCATGATTGTGTAAAAATAGTGGGGACGATAGGTATCGGCTTGATGTATGGGTATGGATGGCCAATGTCTAGTGGTTTGTTGCGGTTGAGGTTTCGGATAAACTACAATTAAGCGCGTAGATTTTTCAGGCCACGATGCCGGAGTCTGCGGCTAGGCCGGGCAGATTCCGCGAAGGGAGAGGAGCAGTGTAGACAGATATCCGCGAAAACCCGTAGGAAACGGCGGCAGGTCAGAGCAGGGATGGTATTTAAAGAATTTAGATGACGTTTCAATGCTTTTGTCGACGAAAATGAAGAAACTCGGTTAGTCTCGGCGAGTCAGTGTAAGAATTCAGCTAGAATGTATCCATGAATATCCTCGGGTACGAGGCGCCTTGCATCGTTGTCTTGACGGCTTTATGGTGAATCTGTGGATTTCCTGGTAACAAGTACATAGCCGAGCTAGCATTCGAAGGAGGGTTTTTATAAAACCCTTATTATTTGCTCCCTTGGCCAACGTTCTCAATATCGCAGAGTGTAGTTCGGTTGGATTCTTATCAGTGATTGGCGATTACTAGCATTTTATGTTATGGCGTGATGATATACTAAACCTGAGTGTCAAATCGGGTAGGGTCGAGCTAGTATCAATCTCAAGTCCAAAGATGTTTAACCACCCTAAGATATTGGCGGTTTCGGACACCATATAATCTTGGCATCACTTAGGCTGAGATTGAAGTCATTCCGGGATGGTCCGTAGGAGGTTAATCGCCCAGTACAAGCAGTGCTCTACAAAGTCTACACACATTAAAAGGTAATGGATTGGGATCTACAGCAAGTTCCAAGCGCTTTTCAATTTTGTCCACCGCATATATTCATCCCATTATCGGTGATGCTCCGACTATGCCTACCAATGCTTGACAGAAATGATATACTCCTCGGTGGCGGCAAGAAGCCGCCGCAACTCCTGCCGTGACAAACCTTCGCGCACCAAAAGTATTTCCAACGGATGCTTCCCGTTAAAGTACTTGAGCAACCGGTAAAACAAGGTCACGATCTCGGGCAGTTTCCCCTCGAGACACTTCGCAACCCATCTGCGCTCGATCGCCGACGCTCTCTCGGGATCCAACAAGATGGTATCCCCCTCATCTTCTATGATGAGCCTGGCGGTGGTATTGCTGTCCGCGCGGGCAACCTTAATTGGCTGCTCTTCCTTCTTGGAAGAATTATCCGTCGAAACCACTTTGGAAGAGTTGTCCGTGGAAGCCTTTGGGTTTGTCTTTTGGGGCTGTCGGGTGTGGTTCTTCATAGCTTCGTTCTCCAACTCCTCGTCCACCTCCATCTTGATCTGGCTGGAGATTTTGACCCACACGTACGTGTGAAGCTGGGTCACATAGCCGTGACGGATCAACCACGCGATAGCGCCCAAGTACATGTCGCGGTGGTCGTGACTCGGAATAAATGACGAATACTGGCGTGGCTTACTGGATGAAAGAAGCGACAAAAAGCGCGACAAGGACGGAAGCGCCTGGAACTGCTGTTTAAACAACGACATGTCGTGTTTTAAACTCGAAATCGGCGCCATCGGCGATACTATGTACACGTTTCGGGCCTGAATCGGCGGGATCATGCGCGCACGGCGCCAGTAGATCAAATGTGAGGCAAACGACTGGATCTGCTGTATGTCCATCCCGCTCGCTGCGGCGAGCCGGTTCAAGCTTTCGGTGGCCCTAATGGTGCGGATAAAGTTTGCCAACACGCTCTCCTTTTCCGCCTGGATGTCGCTGATGATCGTCTCCGGGTCGTCCAAGAGGAGCAATGCGAGATGCACCATGTCGTCGTAACCATCAGCAGTGCTTTCGGTCTCGGTATCGGCTGTGAAGGGGTTGATAGAGGAAAGGTACGAGCCAGGAAGTACCGGAACAGTGGAGGGGAGCAAGGTGGAGAATTCAGTCTTGATAGGAATCTGGAACGAGCGGAGCTTTCCGTTGATTTCGAGGTTGGCGATGTTGGAATTGGAAATGGAGTTGTAGCACGAGCTTACGGCACGCGCGAGCGAAGAGTGTGCTATAATCCGATCGCTTAACTCGTGTGGATCCATATCTCCACTCTCCTCCTTGACCTTGGAGATCGCGAGCAACTCGTTCCACACGTAATTCGACTTGGCCTGTTCGTAACGGAGAATCAAAGATAACCGCGAAATCACGTAGTGGAACATCTCGTCGATGCGCTGGTTGTACTCCACAATCGGTGGATTCATCACAAACACGATGTGGAACATATGCATAGGACAGTCGTCTCGGGGTTCTGGTTTGGTGAGTGTGGGCATCTCCAAGGTTTCGTCTTCGGAGGCCTCCGGTTCGGCTGGGTTATCGCTATGAGCCGAGTATACGCCGCTGACCTTGGATGACGATTTCTTGGACTTTGAGCGCCGCGACGCGTTCCCAGTCCGGCGCCACGTCCCGTCGTCATTCACATGGATCGGTAAACCCACAAACGTCATGTCGTCCACGGAAAGATCAAACCGGTTATTGCAGATCAGGTGCGGGGGATGCACCAATTCGCTGAGAAAGTCCACGTCGAACCCAAACACTTTTTTGTCATCCACTTCCTGTTCTGCTTCCTTGTGGATGCTCTCTGCGTCGTGGGATGTTGTTTTGGCGAGTTTGGCTTGGAGGGCACTGCGTTTGGCCGCTTTGCGGCTACGGCGGCGTTCTTTCTCTTCTATGAGCTCTAAAAGGGCCTTTCCTGACACGTAATTTCCTTCTGGGAGATTGCGGAAGCCGACGGAGTCAGTGGTCATCGAGCAGGTGGTGGATGAGGCGTCGCTCTCATCGTTCCTGCCCTCGTCACCAGAGCTGGACGACGAAAAGTCGTCAAAATATTCGTTTTGAAGGAGTTCCTGTGAGAGCTGCTGCGACACCGGCGTCGCCTTGTAGTTGTGGGCCTTTGGTTTCGGCGGGTAGTGATACACAAGCAGCGGCCCGCTGTGGGTTGAGACCGCCACGAGAATGCCTAGTAAGCACGGATTGGGGAGGAATAGACTCATTATGGTTGTATCGGAAATGATTGAGGTGGTGGGTTATCTAAATAGTTGGCATGGGATAGAAGAAAGGCTTTGAAAAAGGTTAAAAAGCGGGCAAAATGCTATGCGTCAGATAGAGCAAGAAATTAGCTGCGCCGCACGGCCTACAAGGAGGAGCGAAGGCTATCGGTGAATGGATATAACCCTTTATTCTAAACATATATGAAATTGTTTTGCATTTGTTGATTATTGTTATTATCCTTTTTATCAAACTTTTTAATTTCCACTTTGAGGAGGTTTGGTATGCATTTAAAGTGTGGGATTGTCAAGCAGAGCTCTGGGGAGTTTTCAATTTTATGGAGTACCGAATAACATAGAGTACCTGATGTACTTGAAAATAGCATGTAATTAGTGGTAGACTATGTAGAAAGGAACCTTATAACCTAATATAAAACTGGCAAGTCTGAGCTTTTTATGTAAGTGTGGGATGTTGTGAGAGAGTGTCAACAAAATGAAACTTGGTTTGCCATTAGTCATAGTGGGAAGGCAAAGCGCGGAAAGTTGGCTTAACCTGGTATTGTGCTAATATATACTGGCTTTCATTAATATACGTCGAAAACATGTTCAATACGGCTGTGGAGGGTAGACGCATTTCAACGACTATTAAAATATAAAGGTTAAATCAGAAATAGGATTCTTCTAAAACCTCATTGAATGAATTTCTGTGAAAGACTAAGCTTCAATTTTGTGCACATTATTAACGGTCCTTAAATCCCCTCACTCCCAATGATTTAATTCAACACTAACAAGCACCTACATTGCTCTCCGAGAAATTTAAAATACATTCCAGACAATGCACACAAACAAATTAGGCTAGCCTACGAAACACGTCTGTCAGCAAAACTTGGGAATGTAACAAGCTCGACACTAGTCGTACTCCCAGTTAGATCCATATCCGCAAAGTCTCTAACTTGCCGGCACAATCTCAACCGTTGGCCAGCTCTGTTACAGAGCCTTAGATGTAAGCTGCACGATGGATTCTACAGCCAGTCACATTCTGTAACGTTTATTCCTATAAACTACACTCCCGACTTGACCTCGAAGAATCTTCTCAAGAAAAAGATCTGGAACACGGAGTTGGCGGCGACAATGACTAACTGGAAGATGGACCACCACTTGACTCTGGAGTTGGTGGACTCGGCGGTGTTTCTGTGAGTTCTCTCTCTGACAACCAAATAACTCTGCTCATTCTTGACATCGACAGTCAACTGAGACAATCTTCTAATGGCGTAGTCCAACGCGTCGCCCTCTGGATCGTTTACATCGACATACACAACCCCGTGGACGTTGAAGGAGATATCCTTTTGCGCCTCGCTCGACTTTTCGTTAGAAAAGCAGTACTGATATCTACCGTCCACAACGGCTCTGACGGAGATGTCGCCGTGGGCAACATTTTCCAAGGTCTTGACGATCTGGCCCTGTGGAGAAATAACCTGTGCATGTCAGTAGCGCTCAATCGCTGGGCTCAACGCCAATGGTTCGAGCTTAAACTCAATGACTCCGAAGATACGTACCCAGAAATCAGCGGTGAGCTGTTCGGCTTCCTGTGCGTTTCTACTCCCAACCTGGAAAGAGACCGCCAATTCGTCGTTCTTCTTCAACTTTTCAAAGAAACAGGACTTCCTATATGGCGACAACAACACATTGTGCGCGACTGTGAGGTGGAGGAACGTGAAGACGCAGAGCACAAACGAAACGATACTGTACTTCATGGTGTGTGGTGAGTTACAGCTATGATTGTGGAGTCGCGTTTTGCGAGTTGTGAAATAGACGCCGAGATCAACACGCGTCAAGTTCGATTGAACACGGTGGAGTTGTTCATGCTTATGTAAGCAACGCGTGGCTATTTTTAGGCCCTGTACGACATATGGAGGGGATGATAGTTACACGCTCGGATAATACATTTGTCCCGTACCACCGTGAGGTTCTCGGTGTTGATATATTGCATTTAAATTTAGCCAGGTGGTGTATTTTCTTGAATATTTCAATTTTACTTGTAGTCAATTCTTTTCGATAGCTTAGAGCAATGTATCGTTCGCTCTGGTTCGAAAGTCAGATCTAGTCACCTTGTCCGGTGCTGAGGCCAGTAATGGCTGTTATTAAGCCAATGGTGCCCGTACTGCATTCCAGTTTTAATAATTTCGGTGTTTTCTAACAAATAGCCTATACTGGTAACGCAACTAAACCTTTTAACGGTGATTATTGTTGTAAGGTTGGCAAGATGCCTGCAGTCCACCATACACTGCGGAGATGCTGCAGCCACCTGGGGATACAAAAGCTCTTGACAAAGGTTCAGTTCCATTTCCGGCTCTAGCCAGAGGTTTTTTTAACTTGGCAATTTCATTATACGACACTGATGCGTGGTAATTGACACCTACATGTTATAAAGCGCAGGGTCTCGGCCGTTACACGATTCTCACCCCACTCGTGTAATTGAGCCAAGTCGGAGTAATTTCAACCCACATATTGAATGGTATTTACGCCATCATGCAGGGCTGCAGCTATCGTTTTTTGAATGTAACGATTACACAGGCTTGTTGCTTGGGGCGCTTGGGAAGAACCCCTCCTGGTGAAGCGACTGGTAGTGCTTCTTGGTCTCAAGCTTTTTCAGGCGCTGCTGGAGTCTGGCTCTATAAATATGGGCCACTAGCAGGTAGGTGTTCTTCTTCTGTGACGCTGGCAACGTTTTGTCGTTCAATTCTTTCAACTCTGCTTCAAGAACACCCAAGTTCTGCCGGAACTTTAGGATTTTAGCGTCCTTGCTCTCTGGAGAGCTGGCGGGTTTTTCTTCCAGGGGTTTCGAGCTCCAGGTTAGTTTGCTCCACGCATAGTCTTTCAACGACCCTTTTTTTGAGTCCTCTTCTTCTGCAATCCATCCTTTGACTTTGGTGATTTCTCCCTGAAGATATTCTACTTGCTTCAAGTTCTTTGTATGGGCCTCGTTGTGTATAATAGTGGCGAAGTTGGTGTCGGATAAGTGAGTCTTGCAGGCATAGAAAAAGTCCGGGGTTCCGCCGGCGGTGGTGATTAGCACCACTGGTGTGAATTTATAGCAGATAAAGCAAGACTTTGCATCGGCTGCTGCCACTTGCTTCAACTGATAGGAATTGGGGAACGGAAGGGTTTGTTGTGGCTGAGACATTGCAAAGACTAAGAGTCACTGTTTGGGAATGAGTGGTGCGCGTTTAACGGTATTGTTTATAGATGGTTTGAGATAGTTTAGTGTTATCAAGGAATGCAAGCTCGTTTGTACGTAGAACCGGCGTAGCCTTCAGCTTTGCGTTCATGTTTATCGAATCGAATTTCCCTGCATAATGGCCTTCAAAGATAAATGCAGGATCCTCAGCTTAAGCATCTACAGAAATTCAAATAAGCGCCTTGTCTCTCGTTCATTCTTCATTTGCGTAAACCAAAACGTGACAGTGAATTGAAGATTGTTTGTATGCATATTTACATTCTTGTCTATATGTATTGTATTTCAGGAAACGAAGCATTTCATTGAATCAAGAATATATTTTAATAGAACGATATATATATCGTGTGTATATTATTCAAGAATATAAATTCTCCGGGGTAAATATACATGGACTAAAGTATTGAGGATAATATAATAGCAGAGATGAATATTAATTATTCATTCTTTACTCGCAATATGACATAAATAAATTTAAATATTGGACTATTGATCAATAAATATAACATAGTATATTCCAATATCGACACTACAACAATCATATACTATAAATGTTGTGTACACACACCATAAGTAAAGTTATATCGCGTACCGGTAATTTCCCGGCATCATCAATAACCCTACTTAGGCCTATAGGTATTTTCTAACCAATTAAAATACTTGCATTAGCCCCAATATGGTTGGTCTTGCCGTCGACTATTTCCCGATACTACCACTTCCATTCGAAATCAATCCACTGGTAGGAATTAAATGTGGGGAAAGGCCCATCGGATGCTGCGTGAATAAACCTGTAATGCCCATGATGTCAGGCTCTAACCTGCACCGAAGCTCCTCAGCACTGCCTCGACGCGCCGCATGAGTTGCCCCGGGCGCTCGACCGTATGGATCTAGACTGCCCCTTTGGAGGTCTACATGCTTCTTTTTTCCGCATTTGGTTTGAAATATACGCGCTGGCTATTCTTCTAGCTCATCCAAGTAAACAACCTTCCTAAAGGAGGAATATTCAAATGGTCGTCAGACGCATCCCGGGTGGGTTGCTACACCCGGGATGCTGAAACGTTTCTTTTTCTTAGGTGGCTTTTCGGACCCGGCGGCAATATCCTCTTGTCGCCACGTTGATTTTTCGATATCCCCATTTCGAAATCGCATATTTCTACCCGCCCTTCGCCTCCTGTTTGCATTTTTTCCCTCCTGTTACCACCCTTTGGTTCCTTTTACTCTCTAACACCTTTCGTCAGCACACACACCCAGGTCAACCTCTTCCTTGACACTAGTATATACTGATTTGTAAGACCTAAAGAAGCTATCTATCTAAATATTAAATCGTCTTTTTTTTTGTTTTAGTAAAACTATTCAACTGTGAAAGACTCGCCCCCCTTCAAGAGTCTCCCCTTTACAGTTACACTCCTGTCTTTTTCCCTCACCTGTCCATCAGCCGCCGCTGCCCCCTTTTTCTTTTTTGCCTAATCGAACCACTTCAAAAAGCAAATAAGAACACGCCCTCGGTTACGCATACTTCACCCCACTCATTGACCACCTTCTTTTCACTAAGAAGCCCATCAATCAAGTCCCTTTGATATATACCCCCGTTCTCTGCATTTAAAGTTCCCGTCTCACTTTCTTGCACCTGTGCCGTATATATCCAAGCAAGCTATCCTAAGAATTGCCCATTCTAGTATACTTCTTTCCCCCCATCCATTAACCGATTGACCAGTCCAGCAATGTCCGAGCCACAAGAAGCCGACATCGACTCCATCGTCGACAGATTGTTAGAAGTCAGAGGCTCCAGACCTGGCAAGCAGGTCACGTTGCAGGAATATGAAATCAGATACTTATGCACAAAGGCAAGAGAAATATTCATTCAGCAACCGATCTTGTTGGAACTAGAAGCTCCTATCAAGATCTGTGGTGACATCCACGGCCAATACTACGATTTGTTGCGACTTTTCGAATACGGTGGCTTCCCCCCAGAGGCCAACTACTTGTTCCTTGGTGACTACGTCGACAGAGGTAAGCAATCCTTGGAAACCATCTGTTTGTTGTTGGCCTACAAGATCAAATACCCAGAGAACTTCTTCATCTTGAGAGGAAACCACGAGTGTGCCTCCATCAACAGAATCTACGGGTTCTACGACGAGTGTAAAAGAAGGTACAACATCAAGTTATGGAAGACCTTCACTGACTGTTTCAACTGCTTGCCGATTGCTGCCATCATTGACGAAAAGATCTTCACCATGCACGGTGGTCTCTCCCCAGACTTGAACTCCATGGAACAGATCAGAAGGGTCATGAGACCGACCGACATCCCAGACGTTGGCTTGTTGTGTGACTTGTTGTGGTCCGATCCTGATAAGGATATCACTGGCTGGTCCGAGAACGACAGAGGTGTTTCCTTCACATTCGGCCCAGATGTCGTGTCCCGATTCTTGCAAAAGCACGATATGGACTTGATCTGTAGAGCCCACCAAGTTGTTGAAGATGGTTACGAATTTTTCTCCAAGAGACAGTTGGTCACTTTGTTCTCTGCCCCAAACTACTGCGGTGAGTTTGACAACGCCGGCGCTATGATGTCCGTTGACGAAAGCTTGTTGTGCTCCTTCCAAATTTTGAAGCCAGCTGAGAAGAAGCCAAAGTATAACTACGGTAACATGGGTAGCAGCAGACCGGTCACCCCTCCAAGACAGCAAGCCAAGAAGAAGACTGGCGCCAAATAAGAATCCCACCCTGAAGCATGACGAATGAAACGGAGAGCCTGTGTGATGACACTTTATCAATTTTAATAGTAAATACGGAATACACCTTTTTATCTCAGATCCACGACTATCCCTCACACAGCGCAAAGGGCGAATGCGATGACTCTGGTATGGCTGCGCTAGCCCTAGATACACCAACCCTTGGCCAGGTCTCAATGCTACAGTCTCCAGCGAATCTCTTATGATCTTTCCGGTCTCGATTCTACGCTTTGGAAACTTTGAAATCGTGCCGACCGGTGGGATGCCTTTATGGAATCGTTTACCGTAGCAATCTCCTCCCGGCCCACTCCACGTTACTCCCACCTAGTTCCGTTTCCTTGTACATCTCTGCTGCATCATTGCCTTCTTTCCACCAACGCGTCATTGTTTTATTAGTTCTCGTTTTCAATATTTTTTTTATCTCTACTTATTAATTTACGTTTATTTCAGCACCTAATTGCTTTTTTTTTTTTTTTACCCCACTCGTCTGACGCTCATGTCCTTAGTCTACTCGTTTGAAGTGCCAGACATCCGATACCGAAGTAAAACTAACTTTGCGATGAGCCTTAAAACTTTATCTCCCCACACGCGAGCACAAGGGGATACACCATATAAACTTGACCCTATAGCACTGGCCCTATCTGTGGATGGAGGTAGTACCGTCACTTGGACTTGATCAATATGGTAAAGCTAATGTTTCAAAATTCTGCTCCAGCAAACTAGAACCTTACACCTTGATTATCGGATAACGCACCGTCGGTAATCGATAGCGCTTGCCCCTTTGGGTAATATTCCAGATTAGACATGCGGCGAGATCGCCGAATGGAGGAGGTTAGAGAGGAGGAAAAAGCAGTCACGCATAGAGTATGTCTGAGATGCTGTAAGCTAGGCGCACTCTTCTGTGTAAGTCTTAGACCGCCGCGTAAATAATATACATCCGGTGTGTCCTCCACAGGCAAGATTTTTTTTCCAGTTTTCGCGGTCGCCTGACAAACGGTGTGCACCACACGACCATTAGAGAGAAGCGGTGTAGGGGTAGTGGGTCGTGCACCGCACACCTCGGGTGTGCGATCGCCACTTTCGTTTCCACGGTATGGCGGGTGTCACCGGCAGGGTAACCATGAGGAACCATGTGAGAGGCCTCAGTGAGAGGCGGCCACAGTGTGCGTGTGAGGGCGCTGCATACTCGGAATCTCTAATATTAGTGAAGAGAATTTTTCGCGCTATATAGGAGTTTTGAAACTTTCCCTTCTCCTTTTGGATTTATCACACACACATTAATTAGACAAAATGGTATGTCAATATCATAGAATGGGTTACCGGCGAACCAAGGCGAGTTCACCGTTGAAATGTGTTGTTGAATGACGGGCAGAGTCCCAAGTTTAAAGTCCAAGAGGCCCATCGAAAGGCCAAGCAACCTTGCCACGCCCAGTGATTGCCTTACATCGCAGAGCCCACGAAGAGGATGTAAGAGAGACCTTATGCAATGAACTGAAGGATACCACGGGATACATAAGCCCTACCAGCGTGGTTATGGATTCTAAGAGAATCCGACATGTTCTTCTGGATTGGAACGATTATACTGATCCAAACCATGCCTTGGAATCTTGGCTCTTCCGGGACTCGTCCAAAGGGGATTTCACGCTATACTCTTAACAGCTATTCATACAACACATTTATGCTCAACACCCGCCCCTTTTGATACAGCTTACTAACCCATTTATAGGTTTTAGTTCAAGATTTAGTAAGTACACGTTCCTCCTAGGAGAACCTCTGCCGAAATTTTCAACCCCGAGCGGGTTGGAATGCGACAGATTCTAGAGCCGAGAAAGCAAGCCCTAACGGTTCAGTTTCATACGCTTTAGAATGTGTCATTCTCGTGGCCCCACGATTCCGAGTCCCTATACTAACATATCTCTAGTTGCACCCAACTCAGGTCTCTGAAGACAAGAAGCACAAGTTGAAGACCTTGGTCCAATCCCCAAGATCTTACTTCATGGATGTTAAGTGTCCAGGCTGTTTGAACATCACCACTGTCTTCTCTCACGCCCAGACCGCCGTCACCTGTGACTCTTGTACTACTGTCTTGTGTCAGCCAACCGGTGGTAAGGCTAAGTTGACTGAAGGTTCTTCTTTCAGAAGAAAGTAAATTCATTAATCCAGAAAAAAATGATGAGCTGAATGGGAGCGTTGGTTTTATGACGCCGGTTTATTCCAGGCTGCTGGTTGTCTCCCATTTCTGTTAAATTGTGTTATAGTTGCTTTAACTTTTGCAAGGTTTCTCTTAATGGTTTCTTTCTTTCTCTACTTATAAATATCCGACGATGTATATCATTCAATGTACCTAATATCTGTCTGTATCACAAGCCGAACGCACGTATACGTCCTCTGCCAGAATGGAGCCTTGTTCCCTCCATGTAGATGTACGCACCGCTACTAATTCATCTAGATATGTGAATATGACCATAAACTTACAGACCGTTTCGGTGGAAAGTTTTATATGCAGGCTTAATAACTCACTGTGGAGGAGGATAAAAATCAGCGTCACACCCTTTAAAGCTCTTTTGGATTTTTACTCCAACCCCCCCACAATGGAATTATCTAGCATCGTTATCTTCACATTGGTGTTGGGTATTATCGCTACGGCGTTAGTGTACCTTTCCCAAACCTTTTCGCTTAAATCCTTAACCACCAAGGCAGGCAAGCCAAACTTTTTGGTCCTCGGTCCGAACAACGGTGGGAAAACCACGCTCACCCAGAGATTGGTGGAACATTCGCTCGCCGCTGTGAATTTGGACAGCCAGTCGGAGGAGGATGCTACCGCGTTGAAAGACCAGCAGCCCACCAAGTTCCAAACTGTGATGACCACGGAACCCCAGACCTACAAAGTTCCGTTCCCGATTGCCGGTACTTCGGGCATGAAAAAACAGGTCTTTAATGTCATTGACTACCCGGGCCACGTCTCCCAGAAAAACTTGTTGCTAGCTAGTTTGAGAAAGACCCTTTTACCGACTATTAAGGGTGTCGTGGTTGTGATTGACTCCACCTGGTCCAAGGCTGAACTTGAGCAATTGTGCGCCAACTACCTCATTCCGTGCTTGCAGATCACTGAAAGCAAGTTCGGCGGCGTCAACTATCTCTTTGCTGTTAACAAGACCGATTTGTTCAACTCTCAGTCCGTGCTCAAGCTCAAAACCACTCTTGAAGCCGAAATTAACAACTTGTTGAAATTAGCTGCTCAGAACGTCAACACCATCGCCGAAAACGAAACCAAGAGTGCGATCGAAGACGACGATGCCACTGGCATCACTGGCTTCCACTTAGCAGCCGCGGGGAGCTTCACGTTTGACCAGTTGGACGGTAACATGGACTTTTTAGGCGGCTCGGCCTTGAACGGGGAGACATTCAAGTGGGAAGACTGGATGGATGAGAGGGTCATGAATCCTATCTAGTGAGATCTAAAGCGGAACCTGCTCATCCCTAGCCAAACATGTACAGTAATATAAACACAGAATTGACGTAGTTTCAGAAACTTATCATTGAACTTGAATTTAAAACCAGCTAGCAATGTATACATATATTCTCCAGAGATAGCTCGTAATTCCATATCTACAATCGGCCATCGTCCCGCTGTGTATGTAGCTATAGTACCTACATAAGCGATGACGCCCGACACTCTCACCACTTTAAAACTCCGCGTAGAATCTATCCAGTACCCTTCTAATCGTCTCAATAGGTTCCCTCTTTGACGAACTCTCAGATGTATTCCGTAATTATTCTTCAAAAACTATTCTAGCGTACCCTTTTATTGCCTCAGTCCGGCCTGCAGTGCTCAGAACCGTTTTTCAATTGTATGCCGGCTCCGGCCTGACTCACATCACTCCACTTGGCTCGGACCTGCATTTTTTTTTTAACTGCCCCGATCAAATCTACCATCTTTCTTTAATTTCTCCCCAGACCTAGTTCAATACATAATGTCCACCTTCGGCCACCTCTTCAAAGTTACCACCTACGGGGAGTCCCACTGCAAGTCTGTCGGCTGCATCGTCGACGGCGTGCCACCCGGAATGGACTTGTCTGAGAAAGACATCCAGCCGCAGTTGACCAGAAGAAGACCGGGTCAGTCGAAGTTGTCAACTCCTAGAGATGAGAAGGACCGCGTGGAGATCCAGTCTGGTACCGAAAACGGCAAGACCTTGGGGACTCCAATTGGCATGTTGGTCAGAAACGAGGACCACAGACCGCACGACTACTCCGAAACTGACTTGTACCCAAGACCGTCGCACGCCGATTACACGTACTTGGAAAAGTACGGTACCAAGGCATCCTCTGGCGGTGGTAGAGCCTCTGCCAGAGAGACCATCGGGCGCGTAGCCGCTGCGGGGATTGCTGAAAAGTTCCTCACCTTGGTCAACGGCGTGGAAATCGTCGCTTTCACAACCCAGATCGGCCTGGTCAAGATGGACAGAGACCTGACCACCGGAGAGTTCCATCAACTCTTAGATACCATCACCAGGGAGCAGGTCGATGCCTGTGGCCCTGTTAGATGTCCGGATGCGTCTGTGCGAGACTTGATGACCAAAGAGATTGAGCGTTACAGAGACGCGAACGATTCTATCGGTGGGATTGTGACCTGTGTCATCAGAAATTTGCCTACTGGGCTTGGTGAGCCATGCTTCGATAAGTTGGAGGCGATGTTGGCGCACGCAATGTTATCCATCCCTGCTTCCAAGGGTTTCGAAATCGGCTCCGGCTTCAGCGGGGTCTCCGTGCCGGGCTCCCAGCACAACGATACCTTCTACTTGGATACTTCCGCCGGTAGGCTCAGAACCAGGACTAACAACTCCGGTGGAACCCAGGGTGGAATCTCCAACGGTGAAAACATCTACTTCTCCGTCGCTTTTAAGTCCGCCGCCACCATCTCTCAAGAGCAAAAAACCGCCACCTACGACGGTAAGGATGGTATCTTGGCCACCAGAGGCAGACATGATCCGTCTGTCACTCCAAGGGCCGTCCCAATTGTCGAGGCCATGGCCGCGTTGGTTTGTGCCGATGCTTTGTTGATGCAAAAGTCCAGAGAGTTTGCCGCGTCTATTGTCGCCAAGTAGCTGATAAAGATCTGATAGAATCTAGAGGGATAGACGAAGGAGCTAAGACTTATATATTTTTAGCAATAAAGAGATTGGTTGATTGCCGTGTTTTAAACTGGAAGAGAGGTAGCAATGCCAATACGAATTGGCATATAGGGTGTAGTGATACCCACAAGAATAGCCCAAGTGTAAGGGAGGAAATAACCAGTATTTTATATATTATTTTTTTACAGCGAATCTAAAAGTTGAAACGGATACACAGGTTCAAAGCAGTACTGAGATACGCCAGCCTGGGGCTCTATGGCAATTACCGTTAAGCAATTTCCGATAGCTTAGCGAGGAATTACTTGGGATACTTTTCCACGTGGGAGCAACAAATGATTAGTAGTGTCGAACCTCGCCTAATATTCCTGCGAGGCAGTTGTAGGGACCTAAATCCGCACCAGTGAGGGGTGATTGACTGGGTCTCTACCTTGTATAATCTACACGCACACGATTGGTAAGCACCGTGCAACATGACTATGGTCAGATAGTGCAAGTTGGAGAAGAAATTACAATAAAAGTCCCGGCCTAATTTCCCAGTCCTTCGCCAATTGCTTTTACCTACCCCAGAGATTAAGATTTAACGAACCGGAAACGCTCGCTCAGTCGTGCTGAGCTAGACTTTTATGCAGGCGCGCTCGATAAGATATTCCCCTCAGCCTCTTGTCCATTCCGTCTACAGATCCTATATATCATGGACCAAAAACTACTGTTTATTGAAGGGGCCATTACCCAGGAATTCAGTCTGGCATTGCAAAAGTCGCTCCTTGAGAGCTTCAACAGCATATCCGCCTCTCTACAAACCCAAGACTTTACCAACGCTGAGCTCCACCTCTCCAGGTTGACAACGTTGGCGAACAGCCAAGGCGACACGGAGGGCACCAGGGATGTGCGGTTCAAGATCGGGGAGCTCTCATCTGCTGTTCTAGCGCGCAATGGCAAGTTTCTTGATGCCGGTACCAAGTTATATCATCAGCTCAAGCAGTTCACGTCCAGCATCAGCGACAACAGCTACTTGGTTCCAGTGTATGAGTCATTGATAGAGTACCTCATCCTTGCACCCTCCACCATCCAGAAGCACAAGGTCATCCATGCGCTTGTAACCGCAACCCCAGAAGTGTCACATGTCTCTCCCGCTTTACAAGCGTTGTTGCACAAGGAGTACCTCTTTCAGTTCGTGGAAGCGGAGGATTTGCAGATCAAGTTACCGGAATATTTCACCACCCCTTTGAGAGCGGCTATCATGGAGCACAATATCCTCTCGATGTCTTTGTTGTATAGCAACGTCACCTTTGTGCGACTCGAGGAACGCTTTGGAGGGCTCCTGATCTTGTTTGACACAGCGTTGGACGAAAATTCCTTTATAGACGTTGTCAGCAGGATGGTATTGGAGAAGCGGTTGAAGGCGCGGATTGACCAGCAGAAGGGTGTCGTGCACTTCGATAAGGCAGCTTCGGGAGGTGTTAGCAGATGGAACCTGGACATGCGTGACTGGCTTTTGAAGCTTGATCGGGTGTGCAATTTGGTAGGGGAGAGCACTGAAGAAGTGTGAGGTAGCAGCTCCAAGGTCTGTCAGAAATAGCTGTATGAATAAATGCTTCTATCTTATAAAGGACACCGTCGGGGAGGGGCCAGCTTTCTGCAATCATGGAAAGGCTCAGAGAGCTTGCGAGTGATATACCAGTTATATTAAGGGTTCGAGGGGTGGTCAGAAAATAGAGTCACAGAAATTTCAACGTTCAAGGAAGAAAAGTGGCTCCCATACTTCCATAGGGATGTAGAGGGATTGAGGCTCTGCATCAGGCCGGCTTATCCTTTAGAATGCCTATGTGGTTTCGAATCTGAGTAAAGTTTGCAAAAGTGACTCTGCCTTGATTCACTTGTTTAAATATGAAAGGTACGTACGTGTGTTCATTATATATATATATGTAAAACCTTCATATTACTCTTCATGATGCATATACAACCCATTACAACCATAATAGCCTGGCATTAACTATTCAGACGGAATCTGCAACATTTTACCACAATTTCCGGTAGAAGTCACAATCACACTACTTCAAGGATAATAGGCCCGTTATTTTCTAATAGCATCTTACTCTCTCAGCAAGGCTATATTCTATTACCTACGCATTGCTCCAAAAAGTACACATACGAGCGGTACCCTTCACGCCACAACAACCACTCCTTGATGTAGAAAATATGCTTAGCTGGAAATCTACGTATTGCAAAGGTTTATATTAACCGCACTTTACGCCATCCCTGGGACCTTACCAGTTTTTTAACACAATCATGAAACCTCAAACTATCTCATTACGACAAAGGAAATGCACATATTTCACCTCTTAATCCTCAAGAACATATACAACAAATGGGATAGCTCCCCCAACTCACCCTATGAGAAACTCTTCGGTCTCCATCCCGCAGTCCAAGCACCGCCGTTTGACCATGCCATCCTCACCCGGCAACACCACCGGCTCCGACCACTGGTGCTGATGCACGCGACTGCTCTCACGAAAGCGCCGCGTATATTCCTCGGCACGGGTCTTTTTCCGCATTTCCTTTAACTTCAATTCGTACTTCTTGTCGCGCCGTTTGACGCGCATCTCTTCACGCCGCGCCCATTCCGCGTCCAACGCTTCTGATGTGCCCCACTTCTTGAACGCGTACGCTTCCACCTCGTAACGAAGAAACAACTGCATGCGGGAAAATGTCCCCGAATACGGGTTTGCCTTCTCTAGGCGCTTGAACAACTCGGTGTCGTTTAGCTCCGGATCTGTGAGGAAGTAATCTTCCTTAACCTCCGTCTTTGTGAGTAATGTGTACTTATCAGGCATCTTTTCCTTGCACACACGGCACACACGGCACTTGAATACGTCATATAATTGCTTGTCCAAGTTGACGCTCCGACACTCGTAGCACTGGGGCATGCTGGAGAGGTCTATCGGTGGAGCCGGCTCCTTGATAACTTGCTGCTCCTTCTGCCATTCCTCTAGTGTCTTCCGCTCACCCTCTACCGTTGCATCGTCATTGATGAATCCGCCTCGTGTGTCTTTCATCGTGGAAAAGTCATACTCGATGTAGTCAGATTTGCGGACCGAGGGAACAATATAGGAAAGTGGCCGTGCCGCAGCAACGGAGGCTTCCGCCACCATTGCCGCGGATCCCGTAAAGGATGGGCCGTTTCGCACCGATGTGGAGCTGGAAGCGGGAATCTGGACGATAGGGATGGTCAGCGCGCCGGTCTGTTCTGAGGCATCCCGGTGGTTCATCTGTTTATACTGCAAGATTTCTAGCGCGCGGCGGCGGTTAGCCTCAATTTTGTTTCGCTGGTCTGCCGTAAGCGCTACTGGCGGCTTGCTCACCCCCTCCGATTTTTCAAACGTCTGGATTCGGTCGCCTGCTTTGGCGAGCCCTTTCTGCTTCAACCGCTCGAGCGCCTTCCGGCGGTTTGCTTCTATCCGTCGCTGCTGCTCTGGTGTAAGTTTCCCCTTTATAAACGCTGACATGGTTTGAGGATGCCGATGAAGGGGGTGGAGGGGTCAACGGTCATCGTGGCGTGCCAGAAAAATTGCAACGCCACTGCGTCATGCATGTGGCAACGGATGAGCCGCAGGTTTTGCTGGCTCTAGCAATCTAGTGCTGTCGTGAAGGAACATAGCTTGTGAAGGGAAGTTGGCCAGTACTATTAGGTGTTTGATAGAAGAAAATGCTAAAAAGTCTCAAGAAAGTATTAGTACCGTTACTGATTACAATAGTTGGTACAAAAAAAAATAACAGTGTACGTTCTAGTTACAGTTTACGTGAACGTACCATTGGCTGACTGTATGATCGCTTGTCTTTGTATACGTAACTAAAGAGGCTGCAATTTAGCCTTATTTACACGGCTTGGTACCTACTAATAATCAAATTCCAAAGGAACTGGCTTGTACTTACGAATAATGGCATTCAAAAGTAGATGAGTTAATATACAGTCGAAGCACCTGACTGTATTAGAGGACCACTTAATCAAAAAGTTGTCATCGGCCGATATCTTATCCAATTGGAAATTTCGATACCATATTCTTAAGCAAATTAAAGGATATATCGTTACACTATAGCAATATCCCTATCAGCCTTCATTATATAGGGATATCAACTCCTTTACTTGTGTATATCTTGCAGATGAAAGGTATTCTTGGCTAGACAAAAGCATCCGCTATCACCTATTGGATATACCACACGTTCGGTCCGTCATGCATGGATACGCTATCAGGCTCGGAAAAGCTTAAATAGGCAGCTAGGTTTCGAAACCTCCCCGTGCGATTACCCTGCGTCTATGTGCAAGACCCGGACGGTTCCTGTTGCAATATAATGCGTCCTAGATAACCAGTTCTCAGAAACTTCAAACCGCAGTTTGCATTATCCTAAGTCACATATTCCTTTCTGAAGTTCCCACCATACTTCTAATCTCTAGATTCTTACAACAGATCTTCCGTTTCGCCCTTAAACACACTCACAACTTCCTCACTTTTCTCTCCTTCCTTAACAATGAGCTTCTTCGTTCCCTATGAAGAGACTTCATGTACTGCCGTCCTAGGCGATAAAGATTCAAAGCTGGCACTTTTGGAGGAGTATAAAGACGAAAATCCCTCCTCTCTCTCCGATCCCGAGAACGGGCAAGCCCATATTGAAACTCCTGGGGTACTGTTGAAACAAACTTGGATAACAGGGTTGACTTTCGTGCTTCTCGTTACTGCTCCTTTGGTTGGGTTAATGAATTTCTTTGCAAGTGACGAATTGATGCAATACATCGCAAACAGTCGCTGGATCGGTGCATGCACTCTTTTGTCCGTGCTTATTTGTACGGGTTGTATGCTGAGACTACGTCTTTGGAACCCAAATTCAATGGCACAAAAAACTATGCTTATTGCCTATCTATTATCATACAGCGTATATCTTGCCAGAGTCATAATTATTTTGATTGTTGTGTGGAGTGAAGCATCAAAGCCCTAGGGGTAATACAAGCTAACAGAATATTTGAATTTCAAGGGAATACGAGCTGACCGCACACTTGACTGCTACTACCTAGATTATTCGCATTATCTTTGAAGTTGAAAAATCATTCTACATTTTGCTTTGGAAGTGTAGTTTGGTCCCGAAAATGGAACAGTTTCTTGCACTTATGTGTACCAAGTTTCACAGAAATGATATGTCCTCACACCTTTGTAATCAAGGTCGACTCCGGCTCTAGCCGTGCATGTCTTTTCAGATTCTTAGTTCTTATCCACGATTATCTTTTATTTAGTTGAATCTAACGAAAAATTATGTAAGCTAATACTGTACTTGGAGAGATCAAGAGCTCTTCTAGGTACTGCGTCCAGAGACCAACCCTTACTCTTCTACGTAGGGATGCATGGGCCTACTCTGGATTCAATTCTAACGGTTCGGCAGTCACCAATTACAGCTTCTTAGCTAAACCAGATCGTTCTCGACCCTAAAAAGTAGCTTCGAGAACCTTTATCCGTTCAGTACGAGGCGAGAGTTCAGAGAATCGAATGCTTTGTACTTTCGAATTGACTAGAGAGCTCTTTTGAGAGTTAGGCAAACATTCTAGTATGGACTGCTGGCAAACTACTTGGGGTTAGACCCTAGATTAGATACGTTCACATTAAAACCAACTCCAATACACCCTAGCGTTTTGGATTCCTTCAGTCGAGATACACCGAAGGCCGTTGCACCGGAGGGGCCATGTGTCACCTATACTACCAGTTAATGAATCAACGTAATCCACCAACGGATGCCGAAGCAAACCATATTCACAGATACCTACCTCCTCCCTTTCTACAACTTACCACGGTTGAAACCATAATTTTGAATTACCACATCCATAAGGAGCAAGCGGAACAGCAGGACCGCTATAGCGCGTCCATCGTGTAATCATGCTCTATGCCCGGGGTAACACTAGAGATGAACTTCAAGAAAATCACCAAGTACTGGTCAACACGGATCCCCTCACCCACCGACTCGTCCACGCTCTCCCACTCTTCCTCCGTGTCTTGATTCACGCCCAATTTGGCGATCCCTTCGGCAATGTCCTTGCTGTCACGGTTCTGCTTCGCAGCAGCGGCCCGGGCCATCAAAACCTTCATAACCGTGGCATGTCTGCATGGATGGATGGAAATTAATGTCGTGTTGTTCAAGAACGGAGCCTTTTCTATCGTCACCGTCTTGTCTCTATAGTCAGCCGAGATGTCTTCAAACATCTGCTCCGGGGTCAACGGCGTCCCCTCGGCCGTGTAGCCAAGCAAATACATCTTCGGCACACGGTAGGACGTCGAGTAGGCAATGTGGAGATCGTACGAGCGGTGGTCCTTTGTGGAGGGGGTAACGGCCGCGTACTCATCGTCTTCCGCATTCTCATCGATCAAGTCGTCAATATCTTGTGCCTCCTCTGCCTGAGGAACTACAGCCTCCGTTTGCTGCGTCATGTGGGTGGTGGTCCAGCCATCCTCGCCCTCAACCTCTTCCTCGTCGTCACCGATCCCCGCTCCGAGATAGGTGGCGGCGCGGATGTATGACGGCACATGTTTCGTGACTAAAAACTGCTTATCCGCGGGCAAAAAGTCTTTTCGCTTATTCTCTGGGGCCGAGGACCACTGCCAGGTGGGAAACCGGTACACGAGGTAGTCTCCGGCCGCCACGAACTCCTCCGGCGTAATCTCCCCGGACGTCTGGAACGTGGAGGTGTGTGAGACGGGGGTTAAGTACTCTCTCCAGGATGAAAGAGCTGATCTAAGCATTGTATATTTCAGAATGGCTGAGAAATGGTAATACTAGTGATGGTGGTTTTATAATGGGGTTATGGGTGTCTGTTTCTGCCTCATGAGATTGCTTATCTACTTACGCGCCCGGATTAGGATTGTGGCGCAACCGTTTTAGGACAGGTTTACACACGACCTAGATGTCTAAGTTATAAAACGCTGGTGTCTGGCGGGATAAGCTCACCATCGATACTTTTCCGAGCAGGGCCATTTAGGGGAAGGAGTCATGACTGTATTTTTGTTCAATCATCCTGATAGGATGATCGTTCTAAATTAATTCGGGTGTTTTCCGGATCATACTTCAGTATTCAACCTTGATGCTCTTCCGGTGCTTAGTATGTGCAGCCACCGGCAGATGACTGTCTCGATAGCAACCCAGGCAGCCTTCCCTGCAGACGCCGATCACACGTGGTTGGCATTTTTAGGCCTTTAAACACGTTTCACAACTATCATTACTGGATATCATCAGTACCGGACACAATGGCGATGCGAAACAGGCAGAAGAATAATTTCATGTTATTGAAATCCGTCGACGAGGAGGAAACTGTCGGAATTGTCGAAATTGTTGAAAAACTGGCTCCGGAAGCCGAACAGAAGACAGGGAAGTCAGCTAAGAAAACCAGAAAGGTTGAGAAGCCAGAGACACCAGCAAAACCCGAAAAGAAGGCAGAGAAGAAAACCAAGGGTAGACGTGGTATCAATGTCTCGGACCTTGACTTCCCAACCAAGGTCAAGGTTAAGGCCAAGACATTCCCTGAGTCTGACAAAGCTGCGGTGCAGAAGCAAGAAAAGGTCGATAGAGATGCTTCCGACGAAGAGTCTGCTACCCCGCAGCCTTCTTCTGAAACCGACCATAAGAGACACCACAAGCGCCACAAGCCTGCCGCCAAGTCCACCAAGCTCATCTTCCTTGTGGGGGCAATTGTGGGGGTGTTAGGGGCGTTGTACTTTGGTGCCAGCAATTCCTCTGTCGGTGTAGAGTTTCCAGACTTTGACACTTTTGTCAACTTTGATTCCATGAGCGCTTTACTCGACGATTGGAAGTCGGTGTTGCCCTCTTCGGTCAATAAGATGATGAGCGATTTTATGGAAACAAGCAAACTCCACGGAAGCGCTGAGTCCTTTGCTGTGGGACGTTCAATGCAGAAGGAAGGGTTGTCCACCAAGTTCCCAGTGGTTATGGTGCCTGGTGTCATCAGCACCGGGCTAGAGTCCTGGGGCTTGGATGGCACGGAGGGGTGCCCATCCGAACAACATTTCCGCAAGAGATTGTGGGGCTCCTTTTACATGATGAAAACCATGGTTATGGACAAGACATGTTGGTTGAAGCATATCATGTTAGACACCGAAACCGGGTTGGACCCCCCAAACATCAGAGTCAGAGCCGCTCAGGGGTTCGAAGCCGCGGATTTCTTCATGGCGGGATACTGGATTTGGAACAAGATCTTGCAGAACTTGGCGGTCATCGGCTACAACCCGGAAAACATGGTCAGCGCGGCCTATGATTGGAGATTGTCCTACCTAGACTTGGAGATCAGAGACGGTTACTTCTCCCGGTTAAAGTCTGCCATCGAGTTACAGAAGAAAAACTCCCCTACGGGCGAGAAGTCGTTGCTTGTAGGCCACTCGATGGGCTCCCAGATCATTTTCTACTTCATGAAGTGGGTCGAGGCCTCTGGGGAGAACTTTGGCAACGGTGGGCCAAACTGGGTTAACGACCACGTTTCCGGTTTCGTCGACATTTCCGGGTCTATGTTGGGCACCCCAAAGGCCATCCCCGCCTTGTTGTCAGGTGAAATGAAGGACACTATTCAGTTGAACTCTTTGGCTGTCCAAGGATTAGAGAAGTTCTTCAGCCGCCGCGAGAGGGTTGACATGCTTAGATCGTTTGGGGGTATTGCCTCCATGTTGCCTAAGGGGGGTAAGGTCATCTGGGGTGACCAGGAAAGTGCTCCTGACGACGAAGCCTCATTTATGAACATTAACTCCACCGACAACGATGCTGTGAATGCGCCAATTGACACCTACGGTAACTTTATTTCTTTCCCCCAGGTCGTCGGGAAGTACTCTGCCAAGAACCTCACTATGGACGAGAGTATTGACTTTTTGTTGGACCAGACCTCCGTGTCCTACAAGAAGCGTACCAAGCAGCACTATTCGTATGGTATTACTAAGAGTCGGGCGCAGTTGAAGAAGAACAACCAGGACTACTCGAAGTGGGTCAATCCGTTGGAAGCGGAGTTGCCTAATGCGCCCGACATGAAGATCTACTGCTTTTACGGGGTCGGCAACCCAACCGAAAGATCCTACACCTACCGCGAAGAGCTCGATAAATCCGAACACAACTTGAATGTCACGATCGAGCTGAACTCGCAAAACGCGGTAAAGTTGGCTGACGGCGACGGAACCGTCTCCATTTTGACCCACACAATGTGCCACAAGTGGAAACAAGCCGGAAGCATCTACAACCCAGGTAACTCTCGGGTCACCATTGTCGAGATGAAGCACGAACCGGACAGATTCGACATCAGAGGGGGTGCCAAGACCGCCGAGCATGTCGACATCTTGGGCTCCGCTGAGTTGAATGAGTTAGTGTTGAGAGTTGCCAGTGGTAAGGGTGATGAGATCGAAGATAGGTATGTGAGTAACTTGAAGGAGGTTACTGAGAAAATGGACTTTTAAAGTCAATAGAAGTTAGTCCCTGAGAAATTGATTTTTTATATACTTGGCGCCGTCAGGTTAATTATACCAAGGTGTTTTCTAGGAACTTCGAGCGTAGAAATGATAGTTTCCTTAGCTGACACCATGCTTGAGGTTAAATGTTACATAAACCAGAGTTAATAGAACCATATGCTGGCCCCATAAAGTATCTCAATCGGTTAAGCGCGTTATTGGGGATGGGTGTAGAGATCCCCCAAAATGCTTTGGCTGAGAATACGATACTGAAGTCATTAGTTTGGTAGGTGACACAGACTCTCAAGGTTTTTTTTTTTTTTTTTTTTTTTAAGATCGGACCGAGGAAAATATAGTAATTCATATACATGAAATAGAGGGATGAAACAAGTATCATATGAAAATAAACCCAGTGCACTCTCAAGACATACATTTCCTTCAAAGAGCCTGCCCCAACACTTCCCACAGCTAGTGACGTGATATAAAAGACTCAACCCGGTTACAATACTCTAGTGGATATCTAAATAATTAAGACCGTTTCTATTCTACTATTGAAATCCCCCTACTTTTTCCCAACCATCTTCACCAAATCATCGACGGTGTTGCCGAATATTCCCATCGGTACTCCTGCCAAGCCCTCGGACCTATCCTCGTGGTATTTCCCGGGGTAGCGCCAACATTCCCCAGTGGGGCCACGCTCGTGGAGGGCACACGACTCAGTTATAACGCGTTCTACGCCCGGGAATGCATCGGCCGCTCCTTTTCATGCATCCCCTTTCAGCTGAACCAAAACACCTGCACATACCAGGAGTAAACAGACAAGAGACTAGCGCTTCGCTAATGTACGTGGGCTACCGCTTAAACTAGTTTCTCCCAAAATGTTGAAAATTGATATGGGTCAAATTCGACAGAGAAAATATATGGATGAACCCCTTCTGTATGGTATCGTTGCTGGAGACGAGCGGCACAGAGTCACGCGTGCAGCCATAATATTTGGGTGGGGGTTTTGTTGGAAATCGCGCTTTTATTCGCGCGCTCACAAACCCACGCGCTGTTTTGGGGCAAGAGTAAACAAACATAGCGCGAAAACTGTACACACGAAAAATTTGGCTGCGAGGGATGGCTGACCGAGCAGGCTACACATAAACACACCAGGCAACGTAACATACATCCCTTAATCAGCGATTTTTATTCCTCCCCTAACTCCCCAAGGATCATCCCTCATTCATAATTTGCATAGCATGAACGTCACTGGCTCCAGACCTGCTTTGACCCCGATCAAGCAGTCGAACCTCAACATCCAAGCGTCACCGTTCCGCAAGCTCACACCGGGAAAGCCCAATGATCCCCAGCTTAGTACGCCCTTCTGTGGAGTCAAGACTTTGGGTTCCAAGGAGAGAGCCGCCAAGTTAAAGGCCCGCTTGCAAAAGGCCTTGATCCGGCTCCAAGATAAGGATGCCAAAGCGGCGTCTCCAGAGACCCTCCATGGGCCCGCTTTGTCCACTTTCACCACCAATGGAGCCCCCGTGCACTTAACCCCGCTCGTAAAACGGGCTATAGACGGCGAATTGATGGCTCTCGCGTCCTCCACACCATTGCCACCGTCCGGGCTCTTCACCAAACAGCTCTCGGCAGCCAAGCGTTCAGTTAGCTTCCTCGACGAGCCGCTTCTGAACAGCGCGGAGACGGTCCAGCGTGCACAGCGCATCTCGTCAGGCGGTGCGGGTGGTGCATACGAGCGCCTCTCTACATACTTGAAGTTGAAGCCGCTGTTAAGACCGGCGCACGCACTTGGCAGCAAGCCGCGGGCGCAGATCAGCCAGGAGTACTTCCTCGCAGCAGCGCAGGCAGGCGACATAACCGCGCAGCCGCGCAGAGCCTCGAAAAAGGCGCTCAATCGTATCTACAAGAAGGCATCTCCGTATCATGTGCCTGCACAAAAGATGCATTCGTTGGCGACGCCGGCGACGTCAACACCGGAGAACAAAGACTTGCCGCGGCTTCAGTTGCCGTCCTTTGCGGAGATTACACAGCGGTTCGAGAGCAACCTCCAGTACGCGTCAAAGGCCGCCAACAATCAGCTCCCAACGCCTTTGGCCGAGAAAACCTCGCTCCCAAGTCTCTCCGCACAGTTTGGTAGCGACTTTACTCTCAACAACCCCATGGTCATGTCCAAATTGGGCGCCGCCCGCCTCCCGCAGTTCCTGGAAACTGCCAAGGGTGTGGCGTTGCCGCCGTTGTTAGGCGCGGAAAGGGCCCTGTACGCGCAGTACCAGATGATTACGCCCGTCAAGAAGCGTTCTCCATGCCGCGAACGCGGCAGCGACGATACGATTGGCGAGAGCATGATTTTGTCGAGTCCCACGCGCCTTTTGACCACTCCCTCCTCTATGGGTGCTGCCAGGTCTTTGTTACAGCTTGCATTCCCACGGTAATCCCCACACATTTTATAATTCGTCTTTAGACTCTGCATCCATGACCAGTTCATGTTCATAGTACACTGGTTTCACGCCAAATTTTCGGCCTGGCGATGCTTGCATCTCTACTACTCGTACTTTGTTTCCAGTTTAATTCATAATATCCATACTAAAAGAATAGTCGGATATTGAAAACTGGCTTCCGTTGCTTAAACGCTCAGTACGAAATCTGTGGCTAGTTTGATGCCAACACTAATTCAATATTTGTTCTATCTTCAACCGTATGCCACTGCACTTTGGCATACAATTATAAGCTGGTACTAATTGAGCGCTTTCCTACTCAATTGATTGCTATTCTGATCTATCAGTAGTCTCGATATTGTGCTACACAGAACCAAAGGAACTACCCCGGTTCTTTCTCCAGGTTCAATGACTTTAATCTCCACGTACAAGGTAACAGTACTGTAAAAGAATATGATCAATAATAGTATTTGGGTGGTGGGGATCAATCCGAATTGATACTACAGTTGATATGGCCTTCACCCTTGTAGAAAACCAAAATCATGGCTCAATCTAATCCCCAGGTTGCCAATAAGCTAATTTAACAATATCCTGCATTGGCATTAATATCCGGCAGCGTAAAAATATTCATTATATGAGATGACCTTTTCAAGATCACACCCTGACCACCTTACTTTCCTTCTGATCCAATCTTCGACAATGTACACGATTCGAACAGTCTGCCATCCGACATCGGATATTACAGAACCGTTGATTGTGCTCAACACGGAGGCAACTAGCCACTACTTTGGGAAGTGCGCGGAAGGCGCCCAGAGAAACCTCATTGAAAAGAGCGTGAGACCGTCACGCATGAAAAACCTCTTCATCACCGGAATTCTCGACTGGAACGGCATTGGAGGTTTGCCCGGATTGATCTTGACCATGGGAGACACAGGGAAAACCAACATCGATCTCTCCTTCGGGTCTTCTATCCTCAACTATATGATTTCCACCTGGAGGGCGTTTGTTTTCAGACAGGGTATCACCATCAACGTGAATACAATGCCAGACGCCGCCGTGAGGGATGATAAGTACATGTTTGTAAAAATAGTGCACACGGTTCCGGCCAAAGACTGCGAGAGAAAGCCTTTGACCAAGCGGATGAATGATACCCTTGCTGCGATCGTGCAGAGAATGTTCCCCCTCGACGTTCCGGCTAACGACCCCACAGCAGGCGATCCAGCAGCCACCAGCCCTCTCACCAACACCGAGTTGCCAGAAATTTCGAATTCGGCCGTCTCATCCAGTTACGTCATCCAGTTCAAGTCAGCGCGAGGAAAGTTCAGCATCCAGAAGGCAAAAGCGTTAAACATTCCTCCAGGGCCACTCTTCGCAAAGTTGACAAAGGGTGAGAGCATTGAGGTCAATGGTGTGACGATTATGCCAGACCAGGTGGTTGCCGAGGCCAGAAAGTTCCAGAGAGTTGTCGTTGTGGATATCCCCACCCCAGCGTACCTCAGCAGCACCATCCAATCTACCGGGTGGTTCGACCCTATCGACCCAGAAAGTGACAACAGCGTGGGCTTGGTGTACCACTTCTTGGGAAAAGACGTGGATATCACCAGCAAAGAGTATCTTCGGTTCATCAAGAGTTTTGGGAATCACTGCACTCACATTATTTCGCACCCCGTTTATTGTCCAAACACAATTAATTTCAAGAGTGCAACGATATCCTTATTGAAGTTAAAGTCATTGCAGAAGGACTTTTTCAAGTTACCGGTTTACTCCAATGACCCGCTTCGCGACGTGAAGCATGTAGATAATGCTTTAGAAAGCCTAGTTGCTTACCAGGAGGTCACCATCTCACCCGACGGAATCACCGTGAACAATACCGACACAGAAAAAAACAGGTTTACATGGAGCACGCTCTATGATGAGCACGTGGCGTCGCTCTCTCTCGGTTGTTTCAACGAGGAAGAAATTTTAGCAGCTCCGGCCAGCTTTCCTGCTTCTGCGAGGGATGAAGTGGAGATTGTGACCCTCGGTACGGGTAGTGCTATGCCTTCCAAGTACAGAAATGTTCTTTCCACGCTTGTGCGAATTCCAACCAAAGTCGATGCCGCCGAGTATGCATATCAATCGATACTTTTGGATGCGGGCGAAAACACATATGGTGCGTTGTGCCGAAACCACGGCGATGATTTGCCGTTCTATCTCCGTGAGTTGCGGTTGGTGTATCTCAGCCATTTGCATGCAGACCACCACTTAGGAATCATGACAATCATCAAAGAATGGTTCCGGGTGCAAAACTCATCACCCGAGCAGCAGCGGCACGGGTCTCTTTTTGTGGTGTGCCCATGGTCTTACAATCGGTTTGTCAAGGAGTGGTCCCGACTCGAGCCGGTAATCGATTTCCTGAAGATCGACTATGTCAGCTGCCAGGACTTCTTGACGATAGAAGACGCCGACGGAGAATATGCCACCGTCATGTTCGATGAGTTGACCGACCCAAGTCTCAAATATGTTTTGCCAACCGTCCTCCGACCAAGAGCTGAGACCCGAATCCAAAAATTGTACGCCGAGCTTGGGTTGAGACTGATTTCTACATGCAAGGCTATTCACTGCAAATGGGCATACTCTATCGTCCTCCATTTCCACTCGGAGCAATTAGACTTTAAAATCGCCTACTCTGGAGACACCAGACCGAATATTATGTTCGCAGAGATCGCACATGACAGTGATTTACTACTACACGAAGCTACGTTAGAGGACGAGCTCATTGAGGATGCGATTTACAAGAGGCATTCCACCATTTCGGAAGCGATTTACATGGCAAGGCTCATGAGGGCCAAGAAGCTTATTCTCACTCACTTCAGCCAGAGGTATTGGAAGGTCCCCGATTTGAACACGGGTGAGACTAATTTTGCCAAGTTAAAAGACTATTTAAGCCAGGATTGTTCTGGCTCACAGGAAAACAACCCGGGGAATATCTTTTCCTATCATGCCCCCACCGTGGCTTTGGATTTGTTGTATGCCTTTGACAATATGATGATCAAGTACGGAAGGTTGCATGAGCAACGCGCCATTTCCGATAAATTGTCTATTGTCTTCGGGACCGAGGAGGAGAATGATGCTTCTCTACCAAAGGCTGAATGCCAGAGCAGGAAAACAAAAGGGACAAGAGAAATACTTTGAGAAAAAATGACTAAGCTAATCCCAAGTGATTGAGATTTTGATGGTGAGCGTTTATATTATCCCGACTGTGCCAGTTCCCTTTTGATCTTTGTGTTTAGACCAGATGCACCTTCGCATGCGTGCAGAACTAGGCCTAGAACGCGAAGGCCGGTAATATTCCGGAAGACGGATCCAGCTTGGTGGAAGATCTTACTATGGTATACTGTTATCAAAATTATTGTGAGGAGCTTTGAGTTTTGAGCCTGAAAAGCAGACACAAGTTTTACGGAATCTACAAGCCTGTAAGCACGTTTGACACTGAACACTTGATTTTGCTACGTCAACCAACAAAAGATAATTCCTTAAAGCCAAATCCTGGAAATAAGAGAATACATATCTGTCAAAGGATTTTTCAAATTTTTTTGAATACCAGTCACTGAATATCAGGAAAAGGAGAAAACAATCGATATGAAACTCCCTGACCACTGCAGACCTGCCGTGACACCAACTCCAAGGAATACATCGCAAGACCCACAAGCTAAAGGGGATGGAAATAACATTATTACGGTGAACCACTGCCCTTCGTTTAAGATATTTTTACGACGAAAGTCAGCCACTAGCAAAGAGCTCACCTTTGTATCGTCATACCCCAGCAATGCAAGAAAGCAGACACATCTGAGCAGAGTCCCCCGTTCCCTGGTGCATGGACCACACCATTACAAAGCCGCAAAACAAAGAACTAAGAGCAAGCCGTATTCTTTTCCCCTCGTAAGAGTCGTGAACGGTGTCTCGTTTAACTTTTACAGAAACGAGAAAGAAAAATCTAAGGTGAAGCTAAAATTTGGTGCCGTCACCGGAAAGCAGATAACCTAGATATAGACGGAAAGATATATACCGATGACTTCTATAGGTGTAGTATATCTCTACCTCAAGGGTAGAATATCTACTTATAGTAATAAGTAATACTGGTTACCTATATAACGTATATAGGATAAAGGAGGGAAGAATCGACCTCCTTATATAGAATATTGATCCCTACCACGTGACAGCTACACGCTTACTACAATAGGTATACCTAGTTAATAGATTCAATGGCTAGCGCTCATTGCGTATTTAGCAGTCGCAACAACTAACATAGACATATATAGGTAGCAGTTAATCATACTTTATACAAGCATCAGAATTAGTTTCATAGTATACAGTATACTCACAGGGAATATATTTAGGTAAGTGTATGGACACTACCCGATCAGCTCGCGCGTAATTCAAGATCTAGGAGCCTGTGTCCCGGGGGGGAGGGTTACACAGGAGAGGTGTATGGAAATTCCAACCCGAAAAGACCTCGCTTAGACACCCAAAGCTTGGCCGGCACCTGGGAACCCACTCTGCTCGGAAGGGGAAGCGACAAGCGGGTTAGTGGTTAGCAAAACGCTATTTTCGATAAACATAGGTACGTAGCTGGAAGAGTCGTCTCTGATTGGTTTAACATCGCGTTCACGGTAGTACCGGATACGGCTTGGAATCAAGTTGATCAAAAAGTCAACCTTGGATTCGATGAATTCAATCACTTTGGAAGGTGGAACCATGAACTTCAAATAGCCAAAGGCCAACAAGTAACCAGCGAGTAAACCGGCAACGTGGCCGATGAAACTGGCACCCGACGGAAACAAAATCGTAATGATGACCAAAGGAACCAACGGAGAGAAAATGGTTGGGATGACAAAGTTGCTGAAAAGGTGGATGTGGGGTCTGTTGACCGACTCTCTCTGGGCAAAAAAGCCGGCAAAGGAGAACCACCAGGCAGAGGCACCAAGAACGCGAGCACCCGGATAAAAGAAGCCACTCAAAACACAGTATATTAAAGCAGTGACAACAGCCAACGCATTCAACACGACACCAGTGTGCACGGTACCGTGTCCCACCTCGAACTTGGACAACGGCCCGATCATGGCGAAAATGTTCATGACCAAATGGAAGGTGTTGGCGTGTCCGAGCGGATACATGGAGAGTCTATTCAACTCCAACTCCAACGGGGCATGGGAGTACAAAGAGATGGCATTGAAAAGCTTAGAGTCCATGTAGATGTTGATGAGGTAGAGTAACACGAGAAACACTGACAAACCGGAGGTCAAGGCAGGCGGGAAGGTGCCGTCAACGATCGGAAGCAACGGCTTAGTCTTGCTGAGGATAGACTTAAAGCTGGGCATATTTGGCAACTTTCAGAAGAATATTAAAGGAAAAGAAGTATCAACAGCAGTATGGAAGGAAGACAAGAACTTTGAACTGGACCTGTTCTGCAGCACCTATCTATTTTTTCCGAGTTTCAAGCACGCATGCGGAATGCGCAGTAGAGAGGTCTGTATATAGCCTGTTTCGCGAACTTATTTACCCAAGAATTTCGCCGAAGAGAGTCTAGTCGCGAAAACTCTTACGAAATGCCTTTAGAACGTAGAGCCAGGGCATGTAACCGAAGCTAGATATAGTTAGCTTCCACCTAGACCGAGCTTTTACTGTATGCCTAGATTATACGAAATTGAGAATATTGTCAAATTTCTACAAGTTTCGGAAACACTGGTGGGGTTTATCCCGCGTGTGTACACGATCACTTGGTTCAGATTTATACGTATCTAGATGTAGAGTCATTAATTCTATGGACACCATGCGTAAACGAAGCAACAGATCTAGGCCAGGAAAGTTATATTATAATCCGAAACTGAACTGTGTAGAAGCACATAACCAGAATATTCAACACCGCTATCGGATATTAATTCGCCTGGCGAGTGAAACTAACCCCCGAATAACTACGCCAGTCCAGTGAGCCAAGTGGCAGCTGAAAACCATTGCCAATCCAAAACGGCAGGGTAAAATACATGCCATCTGAATCACATGAAAAGCTTGATGCGTCGAACCGTTTTAGGCGAAAACGTGCCTCCACGCGTCTAGGTAAGAGCCGGAAAAGGGTGTACAGGGAATGGCCTTCCGGGGGGCTATCGCCGAATAAAGGTGTATCTTGCCAAGAAGCCAGAAATACATCGTTTTAGGGTAAGACTCGTAAATTTCTCAGCAATTGTATCATCACCACAGATGTTTTGTTCTGGGTGGTGAAGTAATATATAAAATATTGGCTATCGGGCTAGCCTCATTGACACAAAGTTACCTCTAGGTTGTCCCCTAAGTTTTGATTGAATTGGTTGGATATATATTTTTATCCCCTTTTATACGTATATCCTTATCCTGGCGCTGTACGAACGTCATCGGCCGTGAATTTGTCATAAATACATCACAATTAGTGTCTTTATTTATAGACCTAGATGAGCCATGCTGCGTCTACCTATTGAAGCTTACTGGTTGAGCCGCATGCGCTTATCCGACATACCTTAAATTTAAACTTTTCCAGCCTGCACATGCGTTAATTTATGAAATTATGGATATTGAAAACGTGCCTTAACAAGTCAAACTAGGACGAAATATGCCAATGTCCTAAATTACGCGACATAAACAGAGCCAGGATACCAAAAGTTGGGGATTAGTTGATCCAGATACCGTATTTCTAAGCATGTGCTTAATTTATAGCCATGGTTTCTATCCCTTTGCGAATTACGTTGGAGGGGTTCAGGTAAAGGGCACGCAAGCTTTATCGATTATGAATACACTATTCCAAATCTTCATAATAATTTATACCTAATATACTTATCAGGCCTTATAATCCCTCCACTATGGTTTACACCGATAGAGCACTGAAAGAGTACCTATGGCATGCATGGAGACGAGGGTGTGTATCGGCCCATCAATAATAACTCTCGGACGGTGGGATTTTGATCCGGTTAGTAGATGTAGGGTTGCGTCACACTAATATATATATATAGATTTAGTGGACTCTATAACTAGGCCGAACCAGCCAAAGGCTATTAGTTAGAGGATTAGGTGGCGAGAAAATGCGTACATAATGGCCCTTCAAAATCACAAATTCAATCTGCCGCTACAAGAGAGCTATCCCCTTTAGACACAATACAGAGAGGGGGTTTCCAGTCTAATGGATAATCTTCATCCGTTTATCTCACAATACTCCAGTGGTTGGGCAAAAGCCGGACCCGTGGTGCACGATAATGTGTTAATTTATTTGCATGCAGCACCATGCTTGAAAACCCAAAGTGCAACTAAGACCCTTGTGATCTGCGGTAAACCAAAACTGAAAACATTGCACATCGGAATTATCATAGTACAACTATGTGACAACAGCAACGTGTTGTGTGAGCGGACTAGGCCCTGGGCACCAACTAATATCACCGATATTCCTTAATTTGCAACCAAATAGGCGGAAATTACACACTCTCGAAATCCTAGCGCACAGTTGCTATATAACCATCTTCCATCCGCACTCTCTCCATGAGGTAAAGCTCTCATGCTTCACTATAGAGTCTCTTTCCAGACATACATTCACAAATCGTCTATTCCATCGCGTTATTAAACTCTGTCCACGATGAGATTATGCACAATCTATACGTTACTCTTTCTCACGCAACAAACTATCGCCTTAAACATCCTCCTTACGAGCGAAAACAGCTGGGTTTCGGCTGGATTGAGGTCTTTATACACCCACTTGACGGAGGTGATGGGCCACAATGTGATTCTCGTCGCCCCGTTGCACCAAAATACAGACGTGGGTGCCAAGTTACAGTTAAACAAGAAGGTCCGCATGAAGGACTTTAGTGTCCCCGCTGAGCGCAAAGAACACGAAAGAAGAGCTGGCGACTTCAAACACTTGGCTAATTACAAATCCAAGCGCATATCCAGCGATTCAAAGGTTCGAAAGAGAGGTGCCAAGGGTGTGCTTAGTGACTTGCAGCCCTCCAAGGTTTCTAAACAATTTGGCGTTGATCCGGAAGACAAGCACATTTACTACGTCGATGGTTCACCCCTCGCGGCTACCCTTGTGGGGCTAGACTACATTATCCCGTACAACTTTCCGGAATTCTCTATCGATCTTATTTTAGCAGGCCCAAATGAGGGCTCAATTATGGAAGAAGGGGCCAAGAGAGGAGGTTACGCCATTTCCCACCTCGGATTGCTGAGAGACATTCCTTCTTTCACTGTTTCGTCGGCAGATTCTCGGCATTACTACTTCAAGGATACGATCCCTGCCGAGGTTTCCCACTCGTACGGAATCATCGACGACAAGATCTCCTCTCTCATCAGCAGATTTGAAAGTGAATCACACACCGGTGTCTTTGGACGCAAGAACTACAACACGCTCAAGACCGTGTATTCCGATCATGACAACGCCATCTACAAGGAAGAGTTGTCCAAACACCAAGAAATCCTCGACTTACAGAAACAGGGATCTTTGTCGTACAAGATAGATGATGAATCCGACAATTCCAGCCCGTTTAACGCATACAGGGTTCTCCCGCGAAACATTGCATTGAGCATCAACTTTCCTGCTTTCGTTTCGGACACTTGCATCAACCCACCCTTTTCCCAGACCACCTCGTTTTCACATGCTGGCAATGCTAATGTGAAGCTCACCCCTACTGTCTCTGCTCTTGAGGGTACGGGCGACGACAGCCCAGAAGAGATCAATTTAATTATCGAATCCATTTCCGAAGCTTACGATCCAGATTCTGATGACTATGGAAAGTGCCACGACCAGGTCACGGGGGAAAAGTTATTAAGGTGCATCTTACCAGGTGAGAGAGAAGTGATAGAGAAATGCGGCGTTTCCGTAAAGGCGTTTGGTAACTACGAGTCCAAGTTTGACATCAGAGAATTGTTGAGACTGGTTGAAATCCTTTAGGAAGCATTGCGATAGGTGTTGTTTTATGAAAAAGGGTATTAAGTTTTAGTCTGGTACTGTTTCATCGGGTTTTGTATACCTTCGGTTAATATGATAGATTTACATTTGACCATTTCTCGATGGTGAATCGCGAGATGTAGTGTGCACGGAGAGTCACTTAGCAAGGTAGTAATATCTGTATAATACATACTAACAGCCAGCAGGATTATTCTGAATCCCAAATGAATAGAGGTTTGATTATCTAGCCCATGACCATTTTTATAGCTACCGTAGAAAGGATTTGTCTCGGCCAACCTAGACGGCTATATGCATAGTCCCAAGGGGGTATATCACGTGACCGAGATACGCTCCCCCCAGGACATTCAGTTCAATTACCAGACTCTTTCATATGCACTCAATATTTCGTACACCCTCTCCGCTACTTTCGCATCTTATTATATATAAACCCTACTACTAGGTCAATGAATACCCCTCAGAACCTCAACGGCTCTCCGTTGGCCAATGAAACTATATTTACGGACTTCATCCAGCCGCTGTCTAAGAGTCTGACACCCCTCGACGATATGAAGATGGATATCGATACGGAATTCAAGCAGTTCCCAACCCCCGAGCTTGAAACCTTGGTGGGCACTATTGATAAGGAACAGTTGCAGGTGGATGCGTTAGCCCAAATCACCCGAGATACAGAGCTTTTACCGGCATTGATCGAGTTGATCGAGGATGTCAAGTCGGGCAGGATCTCCGTCCAGGAGTTCGGTAACCACGCTGGGCCCCTCAGACGCAAGATCTCCAGGATCAAGCAAAATTTAGTGGCCAATATTGATGGTTTGGAGGAAACCAACGATGACCGCCAGTTCCAGATCAACGAATTCAAGAGTGGCATCGAGAAAAAAAAGTATGTAAAGGCTAGATTCACGCCTGCGAAATTTTACTAACTGTTTTAGACAATTGATGGCTAGGTTCCAGGAAACCGTGGGTAAGCGGATTGATTTAACAAAGGCACCAGAAAAAAAGTTGGTGACAAACATTTCTCTCTAAGAGGTTAAAAGAGACGAAACGGTTACGGGGAGCGTAAAGCTGCGTTTACAGAGTGAAGTGCTAAACAAATTACTGCTCTTTTTTTCGGATTGGAGCCGCTTTTACCGTACACCTACGATCCCAAAAGAAAGACATATTGAGTTCGTAGCCTCCCAAGGCCCCTACCCTCCATGGAAGAATGGGGAAAGGAGCGGATGCTTCCAGAAGTGTTTAGATGTGGCTCCGAAAAGTATCCCTGGAACTCCAAAGTAGCACAACTAATGGTGACTCGGAGTTTCAAACCCCATCCGTGTTAACTTTTGGAAGAGAGATTTTCCAGAGCTCATCAAGGCCAGTTTTTAAATCGAGAGGGGGACCGTGATGTCCAGTTTCTCTAATAAAAATATGTTTATAGAATATTCTGTCGATCCTGGAACTAATAGCCCTCTTAGTAACACTTAACAGCCAACCTATATTCCGGATTCCAAGTATATGCCTTTACCCCACACAATCCCAGTAATCTAAAGCATTAGCTAAAAAAAAATGGTTTATTGTGAATTCACCCGATATAGTTCATTAATTAGCCGCCTGATTGATCTACTAATCAGTGTCTCTCACTGAAATGTGCGTACATTACATCCCTGCGTATATCCGGTCCCTTCGTGCGCCTCCCGGTTTCCGACGCATTTTTCTGATTTTTCAGCGTTCATATTAGCCGTCATACACAACCCTCACAACAGCCTTCTCTTCCATCAACCATGTCTGCCACTGATAACAACCCCGTGTCCCAGCTCGCTTTCGGCGACTTGTCCAAGTTGGGCGCTATGCCCATCCCAGGTGTCATCCCACAGCAGTCCCAGTCGGACACCTTCTGGTCCTCCAACCCGGTCTTTGGCTATGTCAACCGCGTGTACTCCGACATTGCCACCCATCGCAAGAACTTGAACTTGGAGAACCCAGGTACCGTTGAAAACTTATCCAAGGAAGTCACCCGCGACGTTTTCGTCAACCAGTACTTCTTCACCGGCTTGAGAGCCGATTTGAACAAGGTCTTTAACATGAACCCAGCCTTCCAGACCTCCCACACTTTATCCATTGGCTCCCAGTCTTTGCCACCGTACGCATTTACCGCGTTCTACGCCAACGACCAGCTCTTTGCGCAGGGTAACGTCGACAACGACCTCTCCTTGTCCGGCAGATTCAACTATGGCTGGGACAAGAACAACATCTCCAAGGTCACCTTACAGCTTGCCAACGGCCAGCCAGCGATGGTCCAGTTGGAACAGGACTTCCAGTCCGATGACTTTTCCATCAACGTAAAGACCTTGAACCCATCCTTGTTCAACGGCTTTTCCGGTGTCGCTGTCGGTTCTTTGTTGCAGTCTATCACCCCTAGATTGGCCGTTGGTCTTGAAACCATCTACCAGCAGCAGCCAGGTGCCCCAGGTGAGGCGGCCATCTCTTACTTTGGTCGCTACAACGCCGGCAACTGGATCGCCACCGCCCAGTTCCAGGGCCAGGGTGCATTGAACACCACTTTCTGGAGAAAGGTCTCCCTGAACGTCGAGGCTGGTTTGGAATCCAACTTGGCCATCTCCTATAAGCCAATCATGGACTCTGTCATGGGCCAGCCAATTGGCATCGAGCCGGTCTTTGAAGGCTCTACCACCATCGGTGCCAAGTACGAGTACAGACAGTCTGTTTTCAGAGGCCAGGTTGACACTGCCGGTAAGGTTTCTTGTTTCTTGGAGAGAAAGTTGTTGCCAACTTTGTCCATCTTGTTTTCTGGTGAGATTGACCAGATCAAGAGCACCTCCAGACTCGGTCTCGGTATCCAGGTCGAGAGTGCCGGTAACGAGCAACTCATGTTGATGCAACAGGGTTTGGTTGATGCCAACGGTAACCCAGTCCCAGGAGCCCCAGAATTATAAGTTACGCTTCTTATGTGGCCGTCCTAGGGTATCCGTGCCATCCACTGTGTACCCCAAGCATGCTTGTCCTTTCCTAAGAACGTAACGCTACGTTTCCTTCACGATAAACTTTTTTTCCGCCTGGCAGCGCCTACAGCCCCTCATTTTGTCTCATATCTCTTGTTAATATCACGGCTTCTTCTGAGAAAATAAATAATGATTGTATCTAAGACCAGTAGTACAGCACGGCCGGATAATAATCAGTTTACTAGCATGGTCTTTGGTGCATATAGAATGCCGACAAGGACATGCCCTCTGAGAAGCGAATTGTTTACTCCTAGTATTAAGCTTGTAAACCATTAGCGGTAAGCAGTTGCCCCAAAAGTTGCTCATAAACCCGAACCACATTCATTAATTACTTCACTAGGTTTAACCAGCCCCCCAGAGCTTAGGTCTAAGCATTTACAAGCCAGAGGGTATCACGGCACCGACCAGCAAACGCATAATGTATCAGTCCTTGAATGTGTTCACAGGGCTTTTGATAGGAATTACTAACTTTTCTATAATTATGCATCGGCTCAATCAATTTTATTGAAAGCTAAAATGATATATACTAATCCGAGAATAGATCTGGAAACATTCATGCTACATACAATAAAAAAACAAAAAAAAGTGTAAGTACAAATCATTTGCAAATTCACAGGTTCAAACGTTAATATGGGTATCACTCTGAGATATAAAAAGTTAACTACTTCCCGGCTAAACATAAAACATGAAAAAGGGCAAAATAAATAAATATAACCTAGTACACTCATGGCAGGGCCATTGATTTGAAAGGCGTATGACAACTACTAGTGCCACGTTTCGACAGAATAGACTTTCAATCCTAACAAAATCTTTGTCTTCCTGAGCCTGCCTCACCACCCAAAGAGCTTGGACGCAAATGACGGCTTCCTTTGCTGCTGTGCCAACGGAATGTCCCGGACGGAAGCAGAACGGGAAATAAGGCCCGGGGTTGTGGCTCTAGATGACACTATACTGAAGATCTCTTGAGAATCAAATCGATGACTGCCGTTTACCGCAGACCTAACCCTGTCCTTCTTGCGCTGTTGATAGTCACTACCCACCTCTGACGTCTTTCTTGACCGTGACATCGGATAATCGGGCAACCCTTGGGGCCTATTTTGATGCCGTAACGTGTCACGGGCTGAGCTACTCTTTTCTGGCACTGAATCGTATGTGCGTGGAACAGATACAACGGGATACAGGTGCTCAGACAAGCTCGTCAGGTTGCGTTTAGACAAGCTCCGGATGTCAGCCGAATGGCTGTGGATTATGCCACGCTGGACCCTCCGGAGGTCAGCAGGGCTTTCGACCCCTCTGTCTCTGAATCCGTCATCTCTGGCCTCATATTTTTCGTAAGTATTTGAACGGCTGGGTAGCCGGGGGCGCCGATGCGTTCTTGGAGGGTTGTGAGCTTCGTCAGATGGACCCCAATGGGAGTAGTATGGCAAACGGTACGAGTTGAGGGTAGACTCAAAGGATGTTTTACGGGATAGGCTCACTTTTGGTTCGAACGGGTGCGCTTCCTGTCTTGCCAAGTTCGCTTCGTTAAGCTGGCAGTACTGGACAGAGTTTTCGGTTGCTTCATGGATATAGCTAGCAATTTCAATGTCATTGGGGTCCATCCACGACGATTCACGGCGGTATAACGAAGAGGCTAAACTCCCTGCTTCTTCTTTGACGTGCTTTTGTTCCAACTTGCGAAGGGAAAGCGACATATTGGAGACCATGGACGGTCTGCGCGACGGCCGCTGTGAGACACTATGCATTAACGTATCATGGGAGGTCTGGTGTTGCGTACCGTAGACAGGGTTTGCAGGAGGAATGACGTTGCTGCTGAACGATTCTTCAAACTCACCGAGGAGCGAATCAAGCGAGGAGGCAGAATTGGTCTTTTTGAGCGGTGCGCTGATTTCATACGCAGTAACGGGCGAGAAAATCGGCGAAAGTACAGGTAAGTCTGGGAAATCGTTCAAAAAGGCGGTTTTCTCCTCGTGGAAGGTCTTAGCGGGAACAGGGGCAGGCATGTGGAGGTCGAGGGGTGCTTGGGAGTATAACTGGGTATCGTCTGGGTTTGGGTAAGGCGGGTATGGTTGTTTTATAGGAGGGAAGGCGTCTCTATTGAGTCCAAGGCTCAGATCGAAGCTCAGAGCACGGTTCGCGACAAAATTCAGTTGGAAATTCAGATCAAGATTGTGCTGGAGATCAATTGGGAACCCCAGAGCACTGTTTGCTTCGCGACCGTCTTTCAAGATCAGACCAAGCCCCTCAGCTTGAGGGGTATCGCTCTCTGGGTTGACAATCTCGTCGATCATCCCCAACTCCTCAAATACCGGCGAGGCAGTGGCAGAGCGAATGGTTGAGTTGAGCGACGAATCAGAGGTGGTGCGACACAACGAATCAAGCTCGCGGGGCATTTCCCCTAGATCCATAGCGCTATCGGGAGACAATCCATTAGCCCTTTTCGAATCAATAATCCTATCGATATTCTCGCTGGCGCTGCGCACCGAGTTTCCCCGCTCTGCCACCTCGCGCCTCAACTTCTCCCACTCGGCTTTATCCTCGAGCTCGTCGCCTGATTTAAAGTAGAGGTTCCGGAACTTGACGCTCTTACTGAATACTGCCACGAGCTGGTCAATCACAGCCTCGTCCACCGTGAAAAGAGTAATCTGCCAGTACCGCTCGGGGTTTGACAACGGCACAATGAACTGGTTGTAGTTAATGCGGAGGATCTTCAAGCGCGGCAAGAGGGGGTAGATAACAGACCCGCAGTGGAGATACGTGATAGAGCCGTAGTGCATCGAGTAGATCTCAAACGCGCCATGCCCGAGCAAGCGTCCCTTTGTGCTAGTCGCTTTGGAGATATCCTCACCGAGCTGGTCGTGGAAGACCATGATTTTGGCGTCGTTGGACTGGAAGAGATACAGCTTTTCCGTGGCGTTTGACTCCTGCGCCAGCTTGCGCTTGTCCATTTGGTCAATCTTTGACCTGTTTGGCCGAATAACGCTCTCCATCAACGTTCCGGGCTCCGTGCTAGGCGATGAGAGTTGCGAGGCCAGTCGCAACGACCGCTGCGATGTCTGCCGTGTTGGTCTTGTATACACCTGCGCTTCTTCTGTCAGGCTGATTGATGCGTAGCGTCTAATCCGCGCTTGTATTCCTCCAGAGTCATCGTTTTCTTTCACCTCTTCCAACCCGTTGAGCGACCGGTGTCGCGCGAGCGCGCGCGATCTGGGCGTCAATTTTATCTCCTCCAGCTTTTCTGGCTTTGGTAATGATTCGACGCTGGCCGTCTCTGGCGTCACCGGCTTGAGGTTTTTGCGGGAGTACGCATAGTCGAACTCCGCAACGTTCAAGTCTCTCGTCTGTAGCGAGCTCATGTGGATTTCCGTGTGGTGGGGCGAGTAGTGTAAGCGCAGACGGACTGTCTGTATTGTACGGTAGATGTGTAAGGAGAGTGGTAATGGAGATGGTTGATGGGACTGGTGAACCCGTTTTGCGGTGCTTTGTTTTCATCCCGCATGTTATGCCGGCGGGCTCGAGTGGAGACTAAATGTCCTGCATGCGCAGAAGGGAGTCTACGAAAGAAATCAGGCAAAGGGTTCATCTCCCAGGCAAGTATGCAGAGAATATTTTTAAAATATACTCGGATATCAGGAGGTACTAGATGAGTTAACTTGAATGAGCTGGTGAATAACCAGGATAGGGAGGAAAATTAACGGTGTATTACAAATAGTGTGAGCATCGTTGGAGAAAACTAAATTACTTTGACATTTTTTCTCCATGTCGAACGAACGCCCGTAGGTTTCAATATAATGAAGATATCTATTTCTTAAAGTAGGAATTCCAACTATACCCGAAATCATAGGTTACTAGCACTGCTCGGCCAAAGCCATCCTGGTTATCAATTAAGTCCACTGGCCATATATTTCCTGGCCAAGCTGACTTTATGGGTAGCATTTAGACATTGGCGTCAATCAAATTGAAAGTCTAGCACAAACGAATATCAGCCGTCATACTCGGATTCCCTTTACTCTATCACGCTGGCTTAGACCAAAATAACAAATACACCACGAGCATTCCTTTGTTGTACAAATTACATTTGTCACTGGTGCTTACAGGGCCAAAACGTTCTTTGGGTTATTACTTCGAATATTACACGTGCTATTAGATCTACATATCTGAGCACCACTAGAATTTTCCTCTGAGTAAGTTCTTCACCATATCCAAGCCCGTGAAGTAGGTGGTTCTTCCAAAGGCAGTGAAATCCAAGGTGGACGAACAGGTATCCAAGAACCCGAACGGAAGCATGGCTGGAATCCAACCCTGCGCCAATTCCAAGGCCCAGGAATTCTGTGGCATTGCGTATTGCTTGGCAACACCTTTCTGCAAGTGGTGCTGGTCACCTGGATAGTACATTTCGGTTTCCAAGGCACCCGCGCCGGCTGCTCGCTGCTCACCCTTAAGAATGGTAAAGTAGTCGTCTGCAAAGTGAATACCGGTGTGGCCTTCGGTCCCAACGGCAGTGCCAAAGAAAATCAAATATTCGGAGATGGAGGCGTGGAGGATGAACATGGTCCCCATGGCACCACCTGCGACGTTATACACCCAGTCGTCGAAGTTGAGGTCATTGATAATGTCACCATATTCCGCCTTGATGCTAACCGCTAAATCGGTCATTATCGCGGTGATGTTGCCCTCTGGGTGGTTGTTGAGCACGTCCTGGGAAAGCTGCTTCAAGACATCCTTGTCAAAGACGTAGAAGCGTGGGAGCCAGTGCACAAAGAGCGCGTTGAACACAGAGTAGACAATAGCCAGGTACGCCACAAACTTGACAAGAGAAAGAAGGTTCATTGTAGATCTTGGGGTTTAGAAGAGAACTGAAAAAGAAAAGAGAAGGCACGGGTTATATAGGACGCTGAATTTTTTTGGCTCAGGTGCGTATACGATCGGAGCGATATACGACGCCATAGTAAGGGCTTGTTTACCTGAAAAATTTCGGTGCAGGTTGTGCGGCTTGTATACACTGTCTATGAAGTCTATGTGTTGGTGTCAATGAAATGCCGTAATGAAAGTGCTGGCAGTGTCCTTTGGCATTAACCCTGAATATTTGAAATAGTTTCCACATGTTTGCATCAAGTATCGAGAGCTCAAACATAACCGAAGAAACATGGGGGTGTATATCGATATGCCATCCATAAAAATTCTTGGGAGATGGGTTTTTATCAATGTCTAAGAGGCGTAGATGGTGAATGGCAATAGTGATCCGGCGGAACTTTAATAAGAAATGTGAGCCATCCCTTGAGAATGCGGGGCTGTAATCGTTAACTCTTGTTAAAAGGGATAAAATCTAACTGATTTTAAATCCCATCGCCTATCACCGTTGTTTCATACAGCCGTGTTAGTGGCTTGGGCCCATCGACCCGGGCTGTATAGATCTGTATAATCGCAACAAGGCACAAACCCTATGTAGTACAACTCCATATAATCCAGAGGAAAGATCAAACCTTTCAGACCTTGGATTTCTAACCTAACCCCGTTTCCGTTAAAGTAAAGTTATCTCACGCAGGTATCCACGCTTACATCTGTCACGTGTTGATGCCCATGTTTGTGCTAGTAAATCGTGAGACAGGCCACGTGACGTAAACACTCTGCTTTGGGCCAGGAGGGTAACAAGCTACAGCACATGCTTTAAAAAGTAAACACGGATCAGGGGTAACATGAAACTGAATCCACCTTGACACATTCACGATCACACAATGGTTGAGTTATCAGATTTCCAGAGACTCGAAAAGGTCGGCGAAGGTACCTACGGGGTGGTTTACAAGGCGCTTGACACCCGTAACGCAAACCGCGTGGTGGCATTGAAGAAGATCCGCTTAGAGAGCGAGGACGAGGGCGTTCCGTCGACGGCGATCCGCGAAATCTCTTTATTGAAGGAGTTGAAGGATGATAACATTGTACGATTGTATGACATTGTCCATTCTGACTCCAACAAGTTGTACCTTGTGTTTGAGTTCCTCGACTTGGACTTGAAGAAGTACATGGAGTCGATCCCACAGGGCGTGGGGTTGGGTGCCGATATGGTCAAACGCTTTACGATGCAGCTCATAAAGGGGACGTACTATTGCCATGCGCACCGTATTCTCCACCGCGACTTGAAGCCACAGAACTTGCTCATCAACAAGGAGGGGAACCTCAAACTAGCTGATTTCGGTTTGGCGCGTGCTTTTGGGGTGCCTTTGAGAGCATACACCCATGAGGTTGTTACGTTGTGGTACAGGGCTCCGGAGGTGTTGTTAGGGGGGAAGCAGTACTCTACAGGCGTGGATATGTGGTCTATCGGGTGCATTTTCGCCGAGATGGTCAATCGCAAGCCGCTTTTCCCTGGTGATTCCGAGATTGACGAGATTTTCCGCATCTTCCGTATCATGGGAACCCCTACCGAGGAGATCTGGCCGGATGTGAACTACCTTCCGGACTTTAAGCCCACCTTCCCCAAGTGGGGCAAAAAGGACCTCGCCACTATTATCCCCACTTTGGACCGCGACGGCTTGGATTTGGTCGAGCATTTGTTGTCCTATGACCCCGCAAACAGAATCAGTGCCAAGCGTGCGTTACAGCACCCGTACTTCCGTGAAGATCCGCCCGTGGAGCAGGCTGAGGAGTATTCCCAGTCCATCACCATGGATGCGTATGCATAATCTGCAGCAACCCACTTAATCATTAACTACAGGAATCAGACACCAGACACATTCACTGCCCGAAGTTGAAGTATCAACTCGGATCAATGATTCGAAGCGTTATCCAATCCCTGAAATACCCTAAACTACCAACGTTCAATTTGGCCCCAATCCGTTCTCTTATGATTTGCTTACATACCGTAATATATCAGCATTCATTGTGATCAAACCTTATGTCCAATCTTGGGAGATATACTGTAAACCAACATGCGTCGAAATGCTTTCAGCTTGAGCACGCTCTACGTAAAGCCATGTAATTGCTACCTAAATGGCATCAATACAGCCGTTAGATACGTAACACTCTATTCCTAATCTCCATGCTGGTTATGACGTCGAAATAAACACAGTGTCCTCGGAGGCACCATGATAGCATTGACGTAGCAGAGAGGCCCTTACCTAGCTTCGTTAATTCCGCAATGTTTGCCTTCTCATCCATGCACTAAGGCACTATAACAGCAAGATTCACTTCAATCTTAAATTTACACGGCTTAAGAGAATATCTCTGCGAGCACAGAAACAAACGTAGGAAGGGCCCAGAAACCGATGAGCACAAGCCCAATAGACCTATCCATGATCCACTTGTTTCTTGCCACCGCAATCAACGTGTAGAACACACTGACCAATAACATGGATCCACTCATTACCAAGGTGGATGAAATCTCAATACGGTAGCCTTTTCCCGGAACAATCACATTTTCAATCTCTTTCATCGGGATTATCAACAACCCGTTAAGACCTACACCGCAGATGTTCAACAACGGCCCCGCAAAGCATGCGGCAATGGCCATGGCCGGGGCATCGCCTTTGGCAATGGACCAGTTGGACACAAGGTCTCCAATAGAGTTTCCTATGGCAAAGACGGTGAGCCCCAAGATGGCATCGTCGATGCGATAAATGAACCCCAAGGTCTTTAAGAGCGCAATAATTTCGCTCGCAAAGCCTGAGATCCAGCAGATTGATGTGGCAAAGCCACAGACCGCAAAGAGTATATCAAACCATTTTGGTGGGTCGTTTTCGAGGGTTTGAAACGTCACCACACCGAAAGTTAAAGATACCACCACGGCTATAAACATAGAGGCAAGGTTCATCGATTCGCCAAACCAGAAAAAGCAGATAGTGGGAAGCGAGAGCACCGCTTGGACCGTGGCCAATACACGCTTGTACTTTGCGCTGCGTGACTCAGACGTGCCCTCCGGTTTCATTGGAACGGTTATGTTGAGCAAGACCGCAAAAGGTAGGCACAAGACGGAACACACCTGGGACACCCAGGACTGCTTTCTGAAGCTGTTCAAATGGGGGAGAAAGACCCTCCGGAGGTCGCTTTGTCCTGAGCTCTTGATAAACACATTCAGCTTCTGAAAGTGCGTGGCATCAGACTCAGTTGGGGTGTTAGGATCGTCGCGGTATCTGGTTGGGGCAGAAACGGACATCGGACCGTTTGGCTCATCTGGATAGCCTCTGTATCTGACTTCTGGGGCGGTGAAGGGCCGAGGGAGTTTGACGGGGGCGGTGCCATTCCTGCTTTCCAACTCAATAGGGATGGTTCCGTCCTCTCTGAGGGACTGTATTGCGTCGTTAAGCTCCAAGGCCTGGAGAATCGACGGCCTCACGCGGGAGAGTGGAGGTCTTTTATTTTTAACGGCCATAAAATGGGAAATCTCGTCATATACGAGAAGGGGAGGGGTGTTTCCACCTTGGCCGTAGACGAGGGACGCGGTGTACAAGTCAAGCGGTGAGAGATTCTCGGAGTCTCCCAAGTTTGTGATATCTGGGGCAAACTCTTCAGCTTCGATTAAACTTTGGTCTAGATGGTCGGTTCGCTGGGAGAATTCTGGTAGGCAGGAGGTTACATAGGCCTCTCTGGATCGTTTGTTTGTGAGATACCGCATCACATTCACCTTATCCCGCCAGTACCAGCTGATGGTGACTAAAAGGAAGACCCCGTAGTACGCCACAAGCACCGTGCACTCCACCACACTCAAGTAGCCGTCGTTGAGAATAAACGTGAAGAGAAGGACAATACCCCCGATAAAAAAGAGCAAGTCGCGGATGAAGGTCTTCTTTGCCACCTGAAAGGGCTTTACTAAGGCCACGGCCCCCAAAACTACCGAAGAAATGAACAATGCAGCACCGATAATTTCTCCGAGAGCTAAAGAACCACTTCCCACGTCCATGGCGGAGTAGGTGCCAAACACATCCGGCGAGCCGTTACCCAATGCGAGCAACGTGGTGCCCGCAAGGTTGTCAGACATGTGAAGAATTACGCTGAGAAGCGTGAGGTTTACGCACAAAAAGTCCGAAGCCGCTAGTCCGAGGGCCATGAAGAGGGTGAGGAGAACCACAAGGAAGACTGCGTTGCTGAGCGGCCGCGGAAGCGCAGAACAGTAGTAATGCTCAAGGTACGGGAAAAATGATGGAACATCGAGCTCAGCGGCACAATACGACCGGAACTGTGCACATTGCGAGGCGCTGGGGAGACTGTAAATGTCCAGGCACAACGCTGGGGCGGAGACATTTGAATGAACGAGGGAAGTGTTTGTGTATAGAACAGCACTGAAGGGCAAAGCTGTGACGGCAGAAAGGAGAAGCGGAGCAACTCGAATGAGAACCATTGGGGGATGGTATGGATATAAATTGGAAGAATGTAGTATACGAGAAAGTGATAGGTGATAAAGAATTGACATGAACGGATCTTTTTGATACGCTTGGCGCTTGGTGTAAGCCGCAGAGATGGCGATAATTCCGCCTGCAGGAGACTCCAGATTGTGAGATAAGCAAGTCGACGGTTCCATCACTTATGAACTTCCATTCTTTGTCAAAATAAATAGTGGAGAGGAAATTTTGAGCTAACTATCCGAGGTAAAACACAGCACAAGCCATAGACAAAAAATCAACCATTAACGCTATTTCTCGCGGCACATGTTCATATTGCTATAGAAAATACATGTGGTTACTTCAGCTTGTATGGGCAATAACGCTCCAATAGAACCAAAACCATGCCGAATCTGGTATTGTAGCGCTGGTATTTTTTGATTGCTTATGGGGGATACCCCAACCTCTGTCATCCTGGCAACCATCAAAATACGGTGACAACTGCGTGCATCAGAAATCTCTTCCCTGGAGAACAGAACAGCTGTATGCATGTCCAATATACTATCGCGGTCACTGAGCGACTATGAAAATTTACACTTATGGGTAAAAGTTACTAATTTAGGTGGCAAAACGCTGAAATGCCGCCCGCTTTTCCCGCTCATTTCCTTTTAGACATTCAGAACCACCTTTTCTTCTGTGCCCTCTATTATTACCATCCATCGCTTACTCCCAAAGCCTTGTAGTTAAAGTGTGCTGTTCCTGTCTTAGCCCTTGTTAAGCCCCATATTTATGACAAATATTTGGCGTGATTTTATGTTGTAAAATCACTGCTCGCTTTTAACCTCCTACTGTTTTACTTTCTCCTACGTACCATGTTATTCTTCATGCCCAAGCCCTTCGACGCTCCTGCATCACATGCGGCTTACGGCATGGAAAAGGCTTGAAATTTACGCATCTCATCGACTCTGCTCTACTTCTCTTTCAAACTCGTCATTCAACGGTCTCTGCCTCCAACATTTAGTATGGAAGATTCTCCACGGTCCCAAGAACTTCTATCCTTGGAAGCTATCTACCCTGATGCAGAACTAGACATCACCTCTTACAGTGGTACTATTACGATCTCCATCCATTCGGCGGACCCTGTTGGCATATCGTTCGCCGCGGTCCCAAATACACAACCGCTTTATGACAGCATTAATTACCTCCCGCCTCTCAAGTTTTTCTTCCAACTCCCGGAAACCTACCCTGACACTCCGCCCACCGTAGCCCTCCTGTCCCTGTGGCTTCCGGAGGCCACACTAACTGCGCTTCACGCCTCCTTGCTTCTGATATGGGACGACTTTCGTGATATGGTTGTCTTCCTGATGGTGGATCACCTCCAGGAGCAGGCGTTTGTGCTCTTTGGCCTCGACCCACCCATCGCCCTCACCGAGGTGCAGTTCGAGTTTTTTGTAAGCTATAACCGGGAGCAGCTCCAGGAAGAATTCGACACCCAAAGCTTCACGTGCGAGATCTGCCAGCAGTACAAAAAGGGCAAGAGCTGCTTGCGGATTGAGCTGTGCCGCCACATCTTTTGCAAAGCCTGTTTGCTTGAGTATTTCAGCACGTGCATCACAGCAGGTGATATAGAAAAGGTACATTGTCCTGATTACGAGTGCACTAAACGAGTTGCCGAAGAGCGAAAGCGAATGGCAGACCCCAAGACATTCATCACCAGTGGTACCAGCACCAGAGATATGATTCTCCGCGTGGTGTTCACGCCGCCGCTTTCCCTTGATTTCCTCTCATTTCTCCCACCAGAGATTGTCACACGATTCCAGACGTTGTTCACGCGTGATCAGTACGAATTTTTCAAGTCCAATTTCCCTAATAGAGCCGTTAACTGCCCGGTGGAGGCGTGTGGGCACGGGATTATCCGTGACGACGTTAATGATGACTTGGTGGTGTGCCCGAAGTGCCGCTACGCCTTCTGCATTCATTGCACCAACTCCTGGCACGGCAAGTCCATGTGCCGATTGGCTGTCCGACTAGATATCCCCGAAGACGTCTTGGAACAGTATCTCTCGTATCCTGAGCTGTCAAAGGACCGTCGGGATTTGGAGGACTACTACGGTAAGTTCAAGCTCCGGCGCGCTGCCGATGCGTGGCATATGGATGTGTTGTTCAAGGAGATGATGGCAAACGAGCTGATGACCGCGTGTCCGTCGTGTGGGGTGGTCTCTGCCAAGATGGATGGGTGCAATAAAATGACCTGCCATCTATGCAAGACGCCGTTCTGCTATCTTTGTGGGGAATTTCTAGATCGCGCACGGCCCTACGACCACTTTAATGACCCGGTTTCGGAATGCTATCGCCGGTTGTTCGAGGGGATGCTGGGGACTGAGGAGGAGTTGATGCGGCCAATAGCGCCAGGATTTGCCCTATAGTTGTCCGTCGGGACGATATTTCCTCCCACAGCTATACTAAAAGTTTTACGATTAGCGGGATCAGAGCGGAGTTAAAAGTACCGTTTTTAAGCTTCACACGTTGAGATGCATATGTATTTAGCCACTATATGTGGTAGAGCACGTGTTTCGAATATTATCCTTAATATTTTACAATGGGTGTACGGTTTTGTACCTGGCCGCTTCATTAGGTATTGCTGTTAGTAAAGGCGTGTAATATCTTTTCCATGAAGGCGTGATGATCTGAGCTTGGGGTGTAGCTGCGATATTACTGCCATTATGACTAGTAAGCAACAGACAGAGTCACGCCACCAGATGAAGCCAGAATGTTTCGTCAGGGCGTAGATTTTATTCCCAGGACGAATAGGCCTAGAACTTACAAATGGATTACAGCTCTGCTTCGAATACTAATATAAACATTCATGTACTCATCATCTTAAACAGCCAAAGTGTGCGACCGCTTTGGAGCCCGCGCGTACCGATAACAGCTCCGCACCCAGCGCCGACGTCTCCACTGGCTATCATAATATCCTCCCTCCACGTCATACACCCACTCGTTCTGGTCATCGATCCGGACCCCCGTTATCCCCCGCTCCCGGACATACTTATTTGCATTATAGTCAATCTGCCACTCGTGGTCTTCACCGGCATCAAACTTCCAGCCCTTTGGCGGAAGAACCTCGGACAAATGTGTCGCGCCAACGGGACGGCGCTGCGTGAGCCGTGCCGCATGGCTGCGCTCAAAGGAATTGACTGCGAAACAGTAGGGGTTCCACTGACTCGCGGTCAAGCCCTGCTCCAATTCAAACACCTCGACCTCGCGAACTTCCGGCTGCTCGTCGAGGATGATCGCGTTGCGCTCGCTACGCCGGTAAACACTCGCGACAAATTCAGCCATCTTTTTGTTCCGTGGGGCAATGTAAAGATGATTGATTCTTTTGACGTACTTTGCGCACTTGGGATGGCACACCACCACCACGGCCCAGCCCAGGGACACAAAAATCAGCCGCCATGGGGTGTACGGCCCGAGGAACACGAGAAGGGCAATCAGCAGGAGCACGCTGATGAACAAGGACGTGGATATACGCTCGTCCTTGAACCCAGCAGTACCGTAGACAAATTCTTCTGTCGCATCGTAGACTTTGATCACGTCAGTTGTGAGGTTTTGGAGGTCACGCATGTTGATAAAGAGTTCCATCTGAGACTTGACCAAGGTTCCGTGGGAAGGTTTTTCGTCGTCATCCGCAGGAATTTCAGCTTTGAGGGTTCCGTCTCTTGGATTTTCATCACTCTTCATTGACCTTTCATCACTTTTCACTGGATTTTCATCGCTTCTAGCTTGCTTTTTATCCTGGTTCATTCCTTTTTCTGGGTCATTCCCTTCCTGGACTTTCCCTTCCTGACCACTTCTCTTTTCACCCTCATTGTTGAGCGGCGTAAGAAAATCGCTCTTTGCGATGAGCTCCTCGGCAATACTTTTTTCCCGCGTCTGATTGAGAAACTCCATAAGAGACTGTCCGCGGCGCTTAGTTGGTACGGTTTCGGCTCTGGGAATTGGATGACGATGTTCATACGCCGGAAGCATCACCCCGAAGAGAAGGTACACCAAGGGATAGATCAAGAGAAGGTGCGGGTAGAGACACGCCGCAGTATAAAGGAATAATACGCTGATGGTGACACTCGGGTGGCGCCACATGAACACCCGCCCAAGTGCATATTGCACCTCAAACAACCCGCTCATCCGCGAGCTCAAGTTCTTGAAGTTGCCTGTCAACGTGGTGAGTGATAAGCGGGGTGTCAGCTTACGGTCTGGGTCACTAAGGCGCGACGCGACATCTTCGCGACCTGGAAGGTCTTTGGGTAACGCGTGGAGGAGCAATTTATCGAGGAGCTTATCCACAAAGTGTTCACGGGGTTCCCCCGCTTCTCCGAAACCGTCTAGCTCGCGGTCAACTGCGAGCATCGTCTCTTTTTCCGACAGTTTCCGGTTGACCTTGTCTATCCCGATGCTGAGGAAGGAGGCGGCCGTGCCTGCAGCGACTCCCATGGTTGAATCTTCGTTGGACGCCGCAACCGTGGATGTGAGGTCGTACATTGTCGAGAGCGCTTGGCCTGTCCGCCGGCGGATATTTTCAGAGCTAACCATATAAATCAGGTGTCTGGAAGATAGATATAAGTATAGGTTAGTTATGGATAGACCGTAAGCGGTTTGATAAAATAGCTTGACGAGTGCTGAGATTGATGCGAGGCTTGGCTGTCATTTCGCTCGAATCAGAGACCGTGTGGGACTGAGCCGCAGCGAGACCAGTGCTGGAGACACCAAATTTAGGGCGGCGGATATTATTATTCCTCTTATTTTTGAGAATATTTTTAACGCACATTCTCGGTGTCATGAAGGTTGTGCCTATAAAAAATAACCTTTGGGTTTACGGGCATTATTACATTACCAATTTCCTGTATTTAAATCGCACCTAGTATTGAATTTTGGTTGATGTATATCTGGCACAGGCCATTTGAAGCTTCCTACTCAAGAGCATGATGGGAGAGGGCGGCGCGGAAGAGGTCCCGGCACCGAAATTACCTTTTGGGTTCGTATATACAATTTCTGGTGGAGGTATTTAAATAAAACCGAAGGAAAGGCTCTGACAAAGGCATGCAAGGTGACGTATTGCTGATTGTATTTGTACCGCTGATAAGCTTCTTATCTCTGACCTGCATTTCTGAAATTCCCATAAATAATTCTAGCTTTATACTACATCTGAAGCTTTGACTTGCTATCAGAGCGTGAGAGAAATTTGAGCCGTTTCAGAAATTATATACCTTGTAATAGTACTTTTGATTTCGTAGCTGGTGTATAAAATATAATCACATTCCCGGGATCGCAGCTAGTGTGATCGGAGGTTTGAGAGTATCGCTGTTATCAGATGCTCCACCTTTTACAAATGAAGTACGGCAAAAAATTTCAAGGTGAATGTGGAATTGTGATCAAGTAGTATGGAATGATGTCATAAGAATGGCTCATGATCACACCCAACGTCAGTCTGGAATGCCGGAAGTGAAGCAAAATAAGGTGGTACATCAGGCGAATTCAGGCATTTCTACCAGTTTCGGATGCGCATACTTGGCGCATGGCATCAGGTCTCGTTTTACTTTAAAATATAAATATTTCTGTTTGTTTTTCGGCTGCTGATCAGCAAGGACAAAATTTCAAGCTGTATTGGTGAATAAGATTATTAGCTTTCCCCTGGTCATCCTTCAGTTTCCGGTATTTACGGCACACTATTCAAGTAGCGTTTTATCGGCTAGTTTTACTTAATGGGGTGCTTATATCAGACTCTTTTCAAGATTGGTGCCCATTGTATCAAAGAGTAGTTTCATAGGACGTAAATTAGAGAAAAAAATTGGACTGCACCAATGCCATTAGCACATCATGATACAGACTCGTGGGAAAGTGACAGTTGCATTACATAGTTCCATTCTTACCCCAACTATGGCTGCCTTTTATAATCATGCGATAGGAGGTGAAATCGATAATTTATTGGCGCCTACATTGGATTTTGCCCCCCCAACGATTAAATGTCGTTCCGCGGTAAACAAGATTTCGCCGCTTGCCATATGGTGTTCAGCTGCTACTTTGCTCTTTCTCTCGTAAATTGTATTTTAATCCCCTGGTGTTTCAGATCGCCCTGGGCAGCAAACAGTTGTTCCAGTTTCATCGCAAGAACTGGTGAATTCCAGAAAGCTCGGTTTGCACAGAGAGCATGTGTTTCCCACTTTCAAAGTCTCTTGCAATCTATCAGCTTTTCAGTGGCACGGCTAGAAGAAAGTACGAAGTGTGTATGCACCAGCACATTTGAAGCCTGTGAGAATTCAAAAAGCACATCTTAGACGACTTACCAATGTCGATCAATTTTAACAAACATGCTGGTTATACCTGTTATCTCCCCTCGCTAACTCCTGTAGACTGCATGAAAAACTTTAATATTGCATGAGATTGCTGTTGCGGAAGTGGCCCATTAGAGTTATATAGGGGAGGGTGTCTCCATATCTCTCAAGGCTGAAAGGTTCCAAAGCTTTCAAGAAAGTTTAACGGATGAAAGGATGTGACAGATTACCACATTAGTTCCCTTTAAGCTAGAGGTGAGAACCTCGTGATATCTCCCCCCTAAGTACCAATCGGTGGAAACAGTGGGTAAATGCTGATTATGCGAATTTATTTCACGTTTATCGACTCTTCCATGAAATGGCCTATAACTTGTGGTCACACCATGTCATTCTTTTTACAACACCGAGGTACACGACCAGAGGTCCTCAATAGTTAAAATCTCAACTAGATAAGTTTCCTGATACATGCATATGACGTCGAGAAACCGACCCGAAGGCCTAGATATGCTTTTGCTTTCTCTGCCTGCCACTTGAAATATCACGTCACTTTTACATACACTGTAGCTACACACGCATGCATGTCTCGACGCCTATCTCACAAACTTTAAATAGCAATATATGTTTTATACGAAAAAAAAAGAACAGGGGCATTACTTAACGTTGCAAGGGTGAGGCCTTTTCGAGCTTTGACCCCCCGCAACCATAATGTGGGGAGCCCTAGTGTCTCGTGCAGACAGTGAAAGCTAGGCCGTATATATCATCTATTTTTACCGATCTTAGTTCCTCGCCTCCGTTAGACACCTTCCCATGGTATCACTCGATCACAGGTATAACCTGAATCCTGATCCGGAGGATGGGGCCAAGCAGTACGACCGCAATCCCTGTATACAAGCCCGTCAAGGGGCTGTTTATGCCCTAAACGGCTAAATTTTGGCATTGCCGCCGCACATGCACAAATCGCCAGCTATTGCTGCAAGGCTCGTTTGCCATTATATTTGGCACGGAACGAAGGTCTTTCCTCTATCTAAGCGATTCTTAAGCCAGGTGATAAAAGCCCCTTTGGCCCAGGCTGGGCTGTCCTTTTTAAGGTTTACACCACCATCACTGCTCGTGCGTTCCTATATGCATCACATTACGGAAATTGGTATGCAGCGCGTCAGTCTAAGGTTGCATATATTATTTTCGGCTTAACCAAGTAGGTGATGTTATATCAACCCACTGGTTCCTACCAAGTAAAGTTTTTTAGCCGGTGATCTTTGAGTTGGTCCTCTGTTATATATAAGGACATTCCCCATAAATCATAGCCCGTTTTGTCAAGTTGAGCTCCACACGCAGTTCCCCATGAACTCTGATACCCTTTGACTATAACTTCTACACGCCCCTTACTCTGCCCGACATAAGTAACACAATGACCCTGAACCAGCCTCTCAGACGCTTCTCACTTGCTATTGAGACAAAGTTACCTCCCCAACATACTACGCCACTGTCCTCGCCGGTTGTGGTGTCCTCTGAGTTATCCCCTCAGCAGCCCACATCATCGGCTTCGTTTGCATCCATCTCCACGGTTTCGTCGGCGAATTCCGCCTCAGCCCATGACTTCTTTGCCCTTCCGGAGCGGCAATCGAACAAACCTCTTAACGGATATCTTATGTGCAATGCATCCTCATCCACCTCTTCGGTCGATTCCATGGGGGACGATGATAGCTGTTGCCCGCTAAGATCGCACGGCCGTACCGCCCCCCTCGAGACGAACGAGAAGGCGCATTTCTTGCTCTTTGGATCCACAAACGAGGAAGACGAAGAACCTAAAGAAGAGATTTTAGACCGAAGGAGTAGCACTGATAGTGAAAAGTCTAAACAAAGGCATCACTTTCGTAGATCGTCCACGGCGATCAAGTTCCATGATCCAGTTTTTCTCAAGTTTGGTTCCTAGTGTTTCCTTTCTTTCCCTCGCATTCCTTTCTTGGACCTCGGCATTAGGCATCGGCATTTATAAATAATGGATATTTGTATATATGAAAGTACTTTTATAGGGCTATTTTCCAAGCTATAAACCCCAGTTGAGGTCTAGCACCTTCCTGGTTATTTGCCGGGGTTGATATACCCACTATGAAACATAAATATATATATATCGTATATTGGAGCTATAAAAAGCTAAATATGGTGTATGGAGGGTGAAAATTATATCATCGCAAGGGATTAACTCACTAATGTTCCTATAAGGTGCTCACCCGAAAATGCAACGAAAGTTCCGCCCTATAATCTATATGCAGGCTTATTCGTGCCACAGTTTAACCCCGAGACTCCCCGCATATCTCCCAGGCTACATGTGTGCCGCTCCATCCTCTCTGCAACCAAACCACCTGATTTCATCTAGATATCCAATGTCGTTGAACATCCAAAAAGTACAGAAGTTTTTCGCCAGCTATCCGACCACCACTTTTCTCGTAGTGGGGGCGCTGAGCGACGAGTCCAAGTTTGGCTTCAAAGTTTTAAAGTGGTACCTAAGCCATGACTTGACGGTAGTGCCTATTAACCCCAAGAGCAAAACAATCGCCGATGTTCCGGTTTCTGCCAATGTCTCTGCGGCTATCCGCCTGGCCTTGGGTTCCTCGGATGCGGGGATTGCCCTTTCGTTCATCACACCACCGGCGGTCACGTTGAACACATTAAAGGAATTGGGCAGGCACGAGGGCTACCAGCAGTGGTTGCGTGGGGTTTGGTTCCAGCCAGGAAGTTTTGATCTGAGCGTGCTTGATTACACGGATGAGTTGGGTGTGTACGACCGTGTCGTTGAGAACGGTGACTGCATTTTGGTCGTGGGTGAGCAGGGATTGCAAAGCCAACGGTCGCCGACCCCAAATTTGTAATCCGGAGGCCCCCGGAAGATCTAGTTCCGTGTAACAACGTGGAAGGTACTTAGAGAGTCCCGCCAGTCGTGCAACCAGAAATTATATACCAATTATTCGCGTGTTTTTAGTCAAACCTAGTCATTTCTGAGATTATTTGATATTTAACTCGGAAGTTTTACCTTACCGTAGTAGCAACAGACCAAACAGAAACGTTTGTTGAATTCGCAAACCGTGAAAGGAGCTACCGGCTCTATCGGCAAGTAAATCAATTGATAGGAAAGGATACGAGACAAATCCACGGGGGATACAGCAAGTTGCCACTCAGATTACTCCTGAATCCCTGAATATGCAAATCTATATTTCAACTTAAGGTCTATTGACTGGTTAGCAGTAGCCCCACAGTGCCTATTGTCTGCTTTCTAGCTAGCTACTCACTGTAGCCACTTCGCGACCAGCTTACTTTCCTATACAACTGTCTACTGTTACAAGTATCTATGGTGGGGTAAACAAAAAAGGCCGATTATAAAACCTAGGCTCGCTCATGCTATGCACTCACGACGCTAGAATTCGAGAATGCTCATCACGGTATACCCCACACTCACCACCACCACGTACGCCAAAACTGACGAGGGCACACCTCTTGTAATAAACGTCTTTACCGTAAGATATGGCTTGCCCACCTCGTCCGTCATACAGATTGCCGTCACGTTCGGAAACCCGGACGTCGGCAATCCCATCGCCGCCGAGCACAAAAGCGCGGTGCACATTACCAACAAGCGCGGATGCGGGTCAGGCATGGCCTCGCCAATCTCGCGCACGAGCGGAACGATGATCAACGCGGCAACCGTGTGCAGAACAAACGTTGCAACGACAAGCACCAACGCGCCAAACGTGAGCATGACGCCGAAGAGCGAGAAGCCGGCGACGCGCGTCAGAATCTGCACGGCGATGGTTGCGAGAAGCCCGGAGGTCGAAACGGCCTTTCCAAGGGCAATGCCGCCCATCGCCAACACCACGATGTTCCACGGATAGTTGTTGAAGTCAGCGGTGGTGAGTAAGCCCGGGCCGTAGAACATTAACAACGGGATGATTGCAATCACGCCCATCTCGCCAAACACGCCCTCTAACCGCGATGCAAGGCACCAAAGAACAATTGTGCCAAGCGTCACAAGCGAGATGTACCACTGAGTGCCCGTGAACTTATCGTCAATGGTGCGGATTGCTGCGAGGCGCATGTCGCGCGGCTGGCGGAACGTAAGCACGAGGAAGCCCCAGATGAGAAGGAGCGACAAGATACACACGGGCAAGGCGACGACAAACCATTGCCCCCACAGCGGCGCAGGGTACATCTCGCCGATCGCAATGATGTTCTGCGGCGAGGCGATTGGCGAGGCCATACCACCGATGTTCGCCGCAAGAGCAATACCGAGGATGAGCGCAACGCTGTAGGTCGACCCCGGCGGAAGTGTGCGCAAGAGTGGCTGCACGATCGAGAAGCACAAGACCGGCGCGGCGACGTTGGACACCCACATCGACGCAAAAAGAGCTACTCCCATGATCGCGAGAAGCACAGTGCTGGGACGGGTTCCTGCCTTCAGCAAGAGCCAGGTGGAAACCATCTTCGCAATATGGTATTTGGATAACGCCGCTGCGAGGGTAAACCCGCCGAGGAGGAGCATAATTACGGACGACCACATCGCTGAGAAGATAAAGCGCGACGCGTCAGGTGTGGGCATCCGCGTACCCTCCGCATCCTTCACCACACCGAGCACCACGATCATGAGCGGCACAAGAAGCGACGTGACAAAGAGTGGGATGGTTTCGGATGCCCAAAGAAGAGATGCGCACACGAGGATAGCGAAACAGTTGCGCTGGGCTGGGTCGACGAAGGGGGAGTGGCGGAGGAGAATCGCGGTTGTAAGGGCGATGGCGTACCCCATGAGGGCGTTGCGCGCAAGGACCATTTTGGGCACGCGCACATACCAGCCGCGCGCGTGCGACAACGGGTATTCGTAGTATGCGTACGCGTGCGTGGCAGTGTCCTGCGTGCGGGTGCGCCCGGATACGCCCGCGGCCTGCGTCTTGCGCTCCATACCGATCATGTCGCGCCAGATCGTATTGCGCTCCCATACGACGTGTTCGCGCAAGTGTACGCGCAACTCAGTGCGTGCGGAATCCGCGTTGCCGCCGGTCGCGAGCGCGGCGTAGAGTCCCACCACCTGCGCAAGTTTCGCGCGAAGCTCTGTCTGCGTCTCGGGGTAGAACACATACGACTTTTCGCCCAACGCCGCGGTGTACGCTGGCTTGAGCTTTGTGTTGAGCGACTTGTCGAACTTTTTAAGGGCTTTGGTGAACCCAGTGCTGTTTAACTCCGTGTAGGACTTGAGTTCGGATAAGGACGTGAATAATGCGACCGCTCGCTTCTTGAGCGAGATTCTTTGGTCGTACGCGAAAGAGCGCGGGTCGAACACGTCGTCGTCGTCGTCCGAAAGGTGTGCCGAGCGCGCTGAGTCGATGGACAGACGGCGCCCGTACTCGTCGCCAGAGAATGCGTCCGCGCCGCCCTCGTACGCACGGATAGCCGCGTCGGGTGAGTCCACGTCCGCCGGCACGTGCGGCAAGCTCGGGTTGGATGTTGACGCACGCATCGGCTTGCGCGGCTCGTATTGCGCCTCGTACGCGGCGAAATCGCTCTGCAATGTGTCTAGTTCTTCATAGATGGCCTTTTCCTTGGCCTGGTAGAACTCGTCAATCTTTTTCAACTCCGCGTCGAGGGCCGCGGAGAAGACGCGCACCGCGTCGGGATTTGCGATCACGGCGTCCGCCGCGCGGCCGCGGTTCACCTCGTCGCGCTGCAACGTGTAGATTAACTTCTTCAACGTCGAGTATGCGATGTACTTGGATGACCATTCCGGTACCGCGTTGAACTGCAAGGAATGCGAGAACTTCATGGGGGAGAGAGGTACAAGAGGGTACGAGAAAGTGGAGTATTGGGGTTGAGGGGTTTAAACAGACTGAGAAACTTAGTGGATGCAACTGAGTATGAGTGCCGACGATCAACTGGGTAGGAAGAGAACGTGGAACGTGAAACGTGAAACTCAGGCAAGCAATAAACGGATTCTACCGGGTCTGAAACTGATGCAAATTTGTAGCTGATGAATCACTGATGCGTTTATCACGAGCCGATTTCCTCGTACGAAGCATGGCTCGTAATTCGGGAGCAGGGCTCGATTCAGCCACGTGCGCGACTGAGCTCTCATCTTGAAGCCTGTATGCTAAGTAGCGCAGGCCAGAGATGGGCATGTTACGCTTTGTGTAGGGGTGGGGTTTAGTACCTGATTATCAATACCTGGAGATTATAGCGTGTGCTATGATAATTAGAATTCGGTTTATATCATCATTTGAGCATTTTTTGAAACCGCAGTTGTTAAAAGAATGGTCGTGATTGGATTGTAATGAAGAAATCAGACTGCAGACCTATAACGCGCTGTCTCTAAAATCTCCCAGGAAAATTTCACTGATGGTGCTTATCAGCATGCTTATGCTTAACCGTATTAGGTACTTCATTCGAAATCTAACCAAATAGGCACTCTGTGGCATGGCTCTCTTACATATGCTCAAGTATCTTGCATACACATGGAGGCTTCCTGTTCTCCTTTCATAGTATAACCCGCACGGTGCCTGCGCTAACAGTGAGAAAAATCAAGCTTTCTGTCAACCCCTATACCAAAGTGCAAGCACAAAGCATTCAATATCAATTAAAAGTATGATATTAATTGTCCAAAAACGAGAACTATAGTTGTCAGTTGCAATTCTGCCAGTACTTGGCATAATAGATGCCTTTCACTGCAAATCAACAGAGATTGAATTTCGAAATATCTAAGATTTCAAGGCACTGTGGCCGAGTGGTTAAGGCGACGCCCTGCTATTTCCGAATATCAGTTCAGGCGTTGGGTTTTACCTGCGCAAGTTCGAATCTTGTCTGTGTCGATTTCTTTTTCCTTTGGCTCAAACAGAATCATTCTGACACCCTTATTTTTCCAGAGTAAACTCATAACACCCTTCTATTATAGTATCCTAAGCTCAGGTAAATTAGCTCCCATCAGCGACAAAAGCCAGCTGGAGGCTTGTTATTTTTAGGAGTTGTATATCCTGCATTTTCCCCGCTCTCCGGAGACCACCAGGCCAAATATTTCTCAACGGCCATCAAATGTACCACATCTGTCGTTTTATATTATTATTTAATAGGTTCACTGACGTTATTATTTCTCCTTCCCCTTCCAATTATTTGAATTGACCACTTATTAAATCATTTTGGCGCTTCCGAGTCTCCCCGTTATCGAAGTATTTCATTAAAGATTGAGTGCCAGACGCTACTCCCGGAGCACTCTAGTACCCTCGATTCAGTGCTAAGGAGAACATTAAAATACAAGATTTTACCGAATAACTTTACTCTAAAGTAGCCGCCTAACAATCACCGTTGTCTCATCCAAGAAATTCACCAAAGGCCTCCTCACAACCCCAGGCCAGTTCTATCCTGCATGCTTTCTGCCATGCCCTTAACTATGGCGCTTTTGAGCGTCTACTTAACGCTTATCGCTTACATCTCCCTACCCAAGCCTAAGACACTACACCAAAAGGACACCCGCGCGATGATTGAGGTGCTAAAGCTTGTGTCATCCCTCAAAGTTCCATCGCCAATTGCTTCTGTGTGTGCACTCAAGGACGTGCTCTTTGTGGGGTCCACGGACGGCACCTTGCTCCTCTACCAGTACAAAAAAGCATATGAACTCATACACCGGTACGATAATATCACCAAGGGACCCATCACCGATATTAATTACGTCCCTTCCATTGATCAAGTGGCGCTTACCACAGGCGGTTCTTCGGGTGGAGTAGCGCTCTTTCGCTACGATGGCACGCTCCAACACGCGCAGGATTTGCCTGGCGCCACCGGAAACGGCCTTGTCTCCCGAGTTTTTGAAATCAGAAACACGACGTATTTGATAGTTCTGCTGCGAAAATCCCTTTATGTTTACAAATGGACTGGTGCCGAATATGGGGGTATGTCTCGGGTAAGTATCGGTGACAGGGCATTAGCCGTGGAACCACTTTTCGACGAGCAGAAGTTACTCGTGGGGACCTCTGGCGGAATATCAGTGGTTGACCTTGTAGACTACAAAGTTAGTACGTCTTCTTCGCTCACGGCGTCGCTTTTCCCGGTCAAACCGCACTCCTTCAGCCTTTTTGGAACTAAAGACGTATCCCTTGTGTTTAGGAAGCTCAGCGACGAACGCATGTTGATTGTGAAAGAAAATAGTTCATTCGTATTGCTAAAGCGGCTCGGCGAGATGAAACTTCTCAACTCACCGATTGAAATCACCGAGAGCGTGGCAATACACCTGCTTCCCCCGGTCTATTTGATCAACAGCACGGAAACAGGGATTGGAGTGGTGAACCGCCATACTGGAAAATTATACGGAATGGTTGAGTCTAAGGAGATCACTTCGACGTCGGTAGCCGAATGGTACGTGGTGGTTGCCTCGAAAACTGAGGTTTCTCGTTACGAATTAACGAGCTTCCAGGTCCAGTTGGACCAGTTGAGAGCCGCAGAACTTACGGACGACGCCATTTCCGTGCTTTCCAACGTTTCGGCTACCGAGCTAGATAATCGGTTTGGCCAGCTTCGGACCCTCCAGATCCAGCGGGCGGAAGGGTTGTTCCAGCAGCAAAAGTTTACCCAGGCGATGGATGTCTACGCCGAATGGCTTGCGAATCCCAGAGACGTATTGGGATTGGTCAAGGAAGACCCAGAAATGAAAGACCTTAAACGCAGCTTAATCTATTATCTCACCAGCATCCGACGAACCATGATCAAGTTGCTTAACCACCAGGAAATAGTGTATGAGGAAACCATCATCACCAGAGATATCTTTGGTACAGAAGACCTCGGTGCGACCACAAATCTCGTGGACGATGCCTTGCTCCGCAGTTATCTCCTGACATCCTCTAACTTGGTGGGCTCGTTGCTTCGTGTCCAGAACTACTGCTCGGAAGCCTTGGTAGAAGAGCGGTTGACGGAACGAAAACTCTATAGGGAATTGCTTGACTTTTACTTTTGCCGTGAGTTGCACGATAAGGCGTTGACGTTGTTGGTACTGTTAACCGAAACAGAAGAAGCATATGGTCCAGAAGCGGTTCAAGAGTATCTCGTTAAATTGGCAACCAACCCTCTCTATAAGGATTCAGCGACGCGGGATTTGGTGTTCAAGTACACGAAATGGCTTCTTGAAAAAGATGGGCCGCTTGGCATGGCAATTATCACCCACGAGGAGCTCAATAGAGACCTTATTAGCTCTGAAAGTGTTATCGCCTTCCTTGACACCGGAATTTCTCTCCATTTCGAGGTGGAGTACCTAGAATACTTGATCCGCAGTTCTGCAGACAATTCTGCGTACAACACCGAGCTCTGTGGTCTTTACATTCGGCAATTACAGAACTTTGGTGGTGACGTTATTGAAGCGGAGGCGTTCCAGAAGTTACTCCGCTTCCTCAACAGCACCAAGGCCTACGAACCACGAACGGTGCTAAAGCAGCTCAAGCCGTTACTCACCGCTAACAAGGCATACTTTTACTTGAAAATAGGCATCATGAGACGACTCAACGCCCACGCTGAGAACTTGAACATATATATTAACGAACTTGAGCAGCCAGAACTCGCGGTTGACTACTGTTTGAGCTTCTTTGAAGAGGGCAACGACAATCTCGGCCGCGATTTGCTCTACCTCCTTCTCGACAACTACGTTCAGAGCCCTGTGCGGTTCAGGGAGGATATTGTGGTTTTTTTGAGCAACCCCAAGATCACCCCGTACCTCTCCATGCTTGAGATCTTGCCCCGACTCCCGGCCGAGATGTTTCAGGTGGTGGAGTTGCTGTCCTTCTTAAGCTCGCAGATCAAAAAGATGCGAAGCGTACTCAATTCTCAGCGCATGACGATGAACTTGAGCCAGGTGCAATTAGTCAAGCTCGAGGAGGAGCTCTTGGTAAACCAGAAAGTGGGGAAAAAGGTGGTGGTGGACGACTCTACGTTGTGTGAGCACTGTGGGAGGAAGTTGGGGCACTCGGTCTTGGCCTGGTTTCCGGATGATGCAGTTGTTCACTATGGGTGTTCCAGTGCCTATAAACTGTCATAAAAGGCTTTCGAAAAGATGGTGATATACAATTGTTTAGACTAATGCGAAAGATACAGTCGTTGGTATTATGGCATGTGATTAAGTGTATATCTAATTGAACCTGGGCTAGAGCCACGGCCTGGACAAGATTATTCCGAAGGCTGACAAGCTCCGCATTTACTTCCTCGTCAACATCTACACCCAACATATTTGATTTGAATTTCGTCCCTCTAACCCATAGCTCTGCCTTTAATATCATTGGCTATTCTATGGATAATGGAGTTATAGCGGATTTGTGCGAAGTGTGCTCCATGCGCGCATTTATCCTTTAACCATGAGTAACCCAGGAGAGAAATAATATAATAGTTAAAGCTTACTTAATCCAGAGTTTATTGCTATCATCGATAACTTCCGTAATTAATAAAAGCATAGATTGTCCCATCACGTGACACTATCCATAGCTTTGTAGCGTGCCTTAAATTGATCACCAGTTCGCTTATGGCATTACCCCCATTCAGTTCAAGAGATACCACCGATGTCAAACTTCATGGAGGACGCCAAGAAATTAAAGAAGCACCAGACTTCGCTCATAGTTGCGGGTTCTGCCCACCATGCCCACTTTAAACGCTGCCTCAACCACTTGATGAACAACGTTGACGAGGAGTTGCAGCTCAAGCTTTCCACCATCCACTCCAATGACGCCACGATCCAACTGCAAATGGCAGAGCTCAGTGGCCAAGAGATGAAACAGCTTGGGGTCTTGAGTACCCAGTGTGAAAAGGTGCTCGCAAAGTACTCGCAAAAGACCAGGGAGAGCAGCCGGATGATTCAAAACCACGCCGAGGCGATTGACCAGAAGGTAAGAATTCTCGAATACACCATGGCGTATGTGCAAGAAGGGAGTTAACGACAATACAGATGCATAACAGCTGCTGATATATTAGAGAGATGAGCATTATGCTAGCTGCCTTAGTCAGCCAAGTGACGGGTATACCCCATTACCCCAAGTCGAGTGATTAAAGTGGAAAGGCCTCAGATGGTGCGGTTTGGCGGCGGACTCTCTCAATTTTGATAGGGTAAGAATTAAACACCTTTTGGATTCTGTTTGCTAAATCTGAGAAGAGCTTCAATGGGAACCCAGGCATGACAAGCATTCATATGATAAGACCGTTCGTCCAACGGACACCTGTGCTGAGACTAAGATGGAATGCTCACTCATCCTTTGAGTAAGCCCCACCCCCTTCAAACTGTGGTTAGTTTTATCGGGGAAATTATTATTCCAAGGAAACGCTCTAATAAAAAGCTAAGCTCGTTTAAATGAGCATAATACAATAACGATGGATAGGCTATAGGGATTCATATATAGTTTTTCGCCGCATGAAACGGTTCCATAAAGCTGCGGGACAAACCGTTACACTTATTAAAATACTCTCACCATTGATGAAAAAAGAAGAATGCAAGAGACGGGACTCAAACCCATGGCCTAACAATGGGAATGTTAGATTTTACCCCTAAACCACTCCTGCTCTTCTGGTCTTGAACCGCATATACAATAATAGTCGGTACCGGACATAATTAGAGGCTTTGGAATTGTAAGGTAGCGAGTAACTTGACATGTGTTGCACCTGCTGTTACTACTCGATATTTCCTTAAAGTTAACACTTTGGCCTTTTAGTAAACCTGTATCCGATTGGTATTATCAGTGCCAGACCTGATTTGGTGTTTTGAGGGTGCGAATCCGTGTAATGGAATACCTGATAAAGGCATCTTGGTAGTTCCCATTCGAAGTCAGCAAGCCGAGCTACTTTGAGAACAGTTTCTGACCGTCCAAAAGTCACCTGTAACTACGTCATAAGATATCCAATGACCATATTACGGTAATACCTGGGTCTCTAGGGGAAATCGATCGCATCTGTGTTACCTCTGTTCGAGCGTAAATACGTACACTTGTGGTAGAAGGTTTTCAAGGCCATAAACCTATATAGATTTTCGACAGTATACGCGGATTATAAATGGTCTCCAACTAAGTATGGAGCTGTCCATCGTAACCATTGGTATTCGCTGATAACCACGGTTGTTGAAAGGGTTTAGCTTCTCCGTATTATATATGGGTATGTCTCCAGATGCCCAGATCTCAACCTAGAATCCAGAGTGCCTCATCATGGCTTGCTTATTTCTCAAACTCTGGAGCTACGAAATAATAAACTAGTCAACCCATGGTGACACGATCGTTGATCAGGTTGTCGATATTTCTCTTGAATCCTAGTCTTTTACAAGCACCCCCATATTTTTAATACCAGCACAATCGGGAATATAGGAGCTTACCTTAACACAAAGCTAATATTTCATTTCTAACAACCCGTTTGACGTTTGAGGCTCTCCAATAGGAATTATCCACATACCCACAGGTTTATAAACTCCCAAGACGAACCTCCAGAGCTTCAGGACCATTTTTAACTCACAGCCTATTGCAAGACCCCTTCAAAAACTGAGGTCATATCACCTGACACTACCAATTCCCGATACATGCCGAAGCCAGTCGTGGTCAAAGCTGAGAGTACGAGTTGAACTGAAAGTCGTACGCCGACATCTGTTTAGCCGAAGTTTAATACTCGCCCTCAAAGTCATGGATGTAGACTGTTGGTGGCATTTTCCCACGTCTTATCGGCCACCCACCCCAAATCGATCAACTTCACCGCATCCTTCAACGGCATTGGGTTCTTAAGTCGTTTGTTGTTTTCCACAAGAATCTCGTATATCTGCACGTGTTTATCCTTTGGGATATTATTAAGATCGATCTGCCGCTTCCGTAACTGGTACCTAAGCTTGTGCGGGTCAAACCGGCCTTCGGGAGTGTTTGCTTTCGGCGTGACCCACACCTTGCGCCGCTTCTCCCAGAGCTTGTGGCCGTCGATAAACGGTCCGTTCTGTTCTAGTTTCGCTCTCAACGGCTCCATATCAAGGGTATCTTCCTCATCGTTGTCTATTTGGACATTTAGCGTAACGTTTGTGTTGGATGCCATCGGGCTGTGGGACATCTTCGGGGTGTGCGAGTGTTCGGTGGACACGGACTCGAAGTATTCGCTTTCTAGCTCGTCAGACGATAGTACTTCCTGAGCAACTGTGCGGATACTGGACAAGACCGTGACGATGGCGAGTTTTGTGCGGTAGAAGAACGCTCCGAGGCTGAAGCCGGTGGATGCGAGGGAAAATTTTGTGAGCGGCGCCTCTGCAGGGCTGTTTTTCCCGAGCCGGGCTAGTGAACTGGTGGCTTTGCGGAAACTGGATTTTTTCGACAAGACTCCCTTGGGCATGACAACGAGGACTGGATAGAAATAGAGGAGAGGTTGAGGAAGCGGCGATGGGAAAAAAGGACACCGATAAGTAGTCAGTAAATCGTCGTACCCTGCACATATCTGGTGATTCAGCCCCTGTATATAAGCTGTATCGGGCGAACCAGAAAAACAAAAAGGAATCACGGATGTGGTCCGTTGAAAGAGCCTATATTAATGGATATTAAGAGTATACAGGACCGCAGCGTCCGAATCAGCAGTGTTTGAGTTACCGAAAATTCGGATGGCGTATAGTTTATGGAAATCTAAGACTTTTATCGGAGAATGACAGGGACCTAAATAGCGTTTCCTAACTGACCGCTCTGGTACCTTATACATACCTGCGCCAACGCGCAGAACCGGCACCTTCGAAGTTAAAGAGAAGCATTATATGAATTTGTATCTATGTAAATTCGATAACATAAGATGCGATAAATGCGAGGCAGTGCCCCAAGACGCAAAAAGAGGTTCTTCAAAAAGAAGTTAAAAGCTTGAGGGATTTATGCTTGTGACCGACTAGGGTTGCGATAAGAGCCGATTGCCTGACCGAATGTGCCGTTATAGTTTGGCCATGACCATGTCGTGCATGAGAAATCGTACATCGTTCGTAAATCTGGACTAAACCCTCGTACAGATAAACAGGAATAACCACTACGTAAGTTATTGCTTTTACTCGATAATGGCATCTCCCGTCGTCCTTGATTTGCACCACACCCGGTTCAAACGAGGCAACGTTAAGCATCTATCTGAATAGCGTGACGAATCTTACCTCAGAAAATTGGTAAACATTTGGACATTACAAGGTATATTGTGACGTCAAGCTGGTGACGTGGTAGCCGGGACTCTGGACTAGAGACTCAATCAGAAGTCAGATGTGCATTAATATCAAGCAACAATACTGTCTAGGCTTGGTTTTTTTGTTTTTTTTATCGGAGAAATTCCGGGAATCTATAATGGGTACTGTTGTAGTTATGATAAAACCATGTATCTAGCACCAACTTGATATTCTATAAGCACAGATAGCATTTATAGGGGCATAAGTTTCTGGTCCCTCATAGACCGTGGTCACTCTCCCCGGCACATGAGGTAGGAGCTGAATAGTCAGCAGTAGAACCTTTACTATCTAAATACCCAGAGGCATCTCTGAAACAACTGACTTCTTTTTACTGAATTACATCCTATCACATCGGCCAGTGTGCGACGTCGACTTGTACCAAAATGCATTTTTCTACGTAGTCCCTCACGGGTATCTTTTTTTTCCCCCAAGAAATCCACCAATATCCCACCAATTGTAGTAAAACACAAGGATAGTAATGGCCTGTATATATTGGAGTCGTGCGCGACCTGCGCCGCACATGGTAATTTTTTTTTATAATTTTTCACATACAAAAGCACACGCGGAAGAATATCAAAATTACTTCATCCCACAACCAAGATGACCACCTCACTCTGCCAAGGGACCTTTGCCCCTAGTGGATTGTTTTACGCTAATGTGGTGTGTCACGCTAGCAGAGACGCTGTTGTGATTCTGCCGTTAAGCCCAGATACCTATCCAGAGGGCGCCATCACCGAGGTGCCAGCATCACTTGTGTCGCGCTTTGAGTTGAAGACCAAGGTCTCCGCACTCTGCTGGGTTCAAGCAGCTTCTAAAACCACCAAAAATACCAAGAGAAAGCAGAACGGTGCGAGCACCAAAACCACCGCTGCCGCCGAATACTACCTAGCTGTCGCTCATGTCAATGGCATCTCCATCTACTCTCCATTCAGCACTGAGCCAATTTCCACCTTAGAGACCGATGTCATTGGTATGTGTGGGTCCCAGAACTCGGCTGATCTATGGGTCTTGGGCTCCCAGGGTAGCGTCAAGAAATTTGACGTCACTACTGAAGTCGTCAAGACCGAATTCACCTACAAGAAGGACACCGATGTCAAACTCATCTGCACCATTTCCCTCGACGGCGAAGAGCACCTTGTTTTGTGCTCCGACAAACTATCTGTCATTTCTCCAGATGCTCCATCCAAACCAGTGTTTACTACCAGAAAGAACAAGGCGCACACCCAGATCACTGCAGTAGCTCAGGCCGGTAGCGCGTTGTATATCACCAGAGAAGACACCACCGAAATACAGATGATTGATATCGAGGGAAAGCGGAAAGCTGTGTTTGAAGTTTCCTCCGTTCCGTCTAGTGTCGCTGTTTTTGACATCGAAGGCTCCGAAATAATGGCTGCTATTTCCGCAGAAACGTTTGAGTTCTTCACCGACGTCTCTGTGGCCAAGATCACCACCAACTATCCTTGTTTGGCAGGTCTCCATAACTACCAGAACAAGTTCATTTCTGCATGCAACAGCGGCGCTGCTGCCACCTTTGTCGTCACCCCGTGGGCCCACGGCGAAACTGTGCTCCAGTGCAAAGTTCCAGCCGGGTGCAGCAAGAAGGCAAAGACCGAGGCTACCACTGTCATTGTCGGTGCTGAGGCTGTGGATAAGGAAGGGCTTACCGAAGGCGAGGCGTACGCTTTGTTGATTGCTTCTTTGGACAGCTCCACCGTTGGTAGAGTCGTTGCGTCCCAGCAGGTGGAGGACGCTGTCAGAGAGATCGTCCAGAAATTGACTTCCGCGCAGGCTGTGCAGTTGTTTGAGGCGCTCTCTACGATGGTTTCCGCCAGCCCCTCCCGTTCTACCCAGGCTAATGTCTGGTTGAAGTGGACCTTATTGGCCCACGGTGGTTATCTTGCCAAGCAGCCAGCGCAGATCCAACAGTTGATCGCGTTGAAGCAAGCATTGGTAGCCGGCACCAAAGGTCTCACAGCCATGTTAGGATTGCAGGGGAGGTTGGAGTTCTTGAAGTCGCAGTTGGCGTTGAGAAACGAGATTGCCAATGGCCACGAATCGGAAGAGGAGGCTGAGGATGAGGTTGAGGTTATCACGTCTGACAACTTGGTCTATGCCAACGGTGAGATCGATGACGTGGTTAGCGAAGAGAGTGGTGCCGACGAGGATGATGAAGACGAAGAGTAGGCTGTTAATATATTGTACACTATAATAGAAAATTATGAAGAACAAGGATGTAGTTTATGATTTGGAAAATCCGAGGGTAAGTGGAAAAAGATAGGAGTTTTAAAAGTCCCTTGCAAATACCACACGAATATTGCGATATGAGCTATGCGCCCCGGGAAGACCAAGCAATCTATACAGTTTAAGTACAGCATTTGGTATTTGGAGTCCAATGAGCTTCGCCTAAGTTCCAGATCTTGAAGGACGCAAATCAGAGAAATAATCCTCCAATGTTTCAGACTTTTATTTTTGGTCTAGTTATTTTTTCGGTCACATCTTGATCAGGTACCACGCTGATACACCAGAATACATGCAAAATACACCTGTAAGAGCCTTTCAGATCTTCCGGAGTTTGGTACAATATTTTATTTAATATAAAAAAACTTCTTTGGTGCCTAACAAAACGTGCCAATCTACTAACTAATTAATTGCGACTATTACAAGTTTGGCCAACCGATTTCCTCTGACTTCCTGTCACTGCCAATATCAGATATCTAGTCATATGTCCGGCATTTATCCAATAATTTGATTTCTTTTTTTAGAAATTTTTTCAATTATTTTTTTCCCACGCCAAGCTGCAGTGAACCCTTGCGGTTCCTCGCCACCAAGGGCCCATTCCTATGGCGGCTGGTATTTATTTAGACACACAACCTCTTTTCGCCCTCTCTATTCTTTCTACCGTTTGGACACAATCGCTGTGATATCCCTATTCATTCAAAATGTCTACCGAGCCAGAAAAGTTGCACATCTCCTACAACCACGTCCACAAGCTCTGCCAAGAAGCTGCTGAAGGCATCAGAGCCAACGGTAAGCCAGACGTTATTGTCGCCATTGGTGGCGGTGGGTTCATCCCAGCCCGTATCTTGCGTTCCTTCATTAAACACAAGGGTGAGAAGAATATCCCCATCCAAGCTATTGGTCTCTCTCTTTACGAAAGCTACGGGGACGACGACGTTGAGCAGATCGGTAAGGAGGTTATCAGAACCCAGTGGTTGGACATGGGTGCCTTGGCTGAGCACTTTGACTCGTTGATCGGTAAGAACATCTTGATTGTTGATGAAGTCGACGACTCCAGAACCACCTTGCACTACGCCTTGTCGGAATTGGAAAAGGACGTCAGAGAAGTGCAGGAAAAGTTGGGCAGAACCAGCGAAAAGACCACCTTCTCCATTTTTGTTTTGCACAACAAGAACAAACCTAAGAGAGCCTCTTTACCAGAAGCCATGTTCGCTGAAGGCCGTTACCACGCCGCCAAGACTGTTCCCGACGCCTGGATTGCTTACCCATGGGACCAGATGGACATCGACGCCCACACCCAGAAGGCTACCGAACAAGGTTTCATTTAAATAGAACTCTCTAATACGATTTACGAATTCTTTTTAACAAACCCTGTAATAAAAACCATAGAAACTCTTTTATAGCCACATGTCATTAATACGCTATTGAAATACATCTTGAGAGCTGTACTTGTGAATCTGCAAACTATCGCAAGATAACTCTAACCCCCAGTAATACCTCTTGCTATCTAAGTCTAAGTTGGTCGTGTATACCTGGGAAGATTACTCATCTACCCTGTTTTCCATCAGCGCCTTGATCATCTCCTGAACCTGCTGCTTGCAGATGTCCTTCAAGTCCATCACGTCGTTACGCAACTCTTCGATCGTGTCCTCCTTTTCGCCGATAATCTCCAACATCGTGGCCTCCCTGCGGCCTCTCTCCTCAACCGTCTCCTTCAATTGCCGGAGCTCGTCGCGTAACAGCTCAATCGACTCGTTGTCTTGCATTAGCCCAATAATCGTTCCCTGTGCCTCCTTCTTTTCTGCAGCAAGCTTTGCATGCTCGTCTTTGGCGGTTGCTAGTTCAATCTCTAACCGCCGCACCTGCGACGACATCTTTTCCACCAACTGGATTGACGGGCCATTGGACTGGTGGTACATGTCCACCCTAGAACTCTGGTTGAAGGTGAAATTGGACGTTTCATCGTTGAAACCGGAATCATCGTCCTCAGAGAACGTTTCGGTCATCGTGTAATTGGCGTGTCTCTGCGGAATAGACCGGGCCGAGCTGATTCTAGGAAGCACTGGGGACTCGTTTCCCATTTCCATAGACAAGCCCGAAACGTTGCTGTAGTTGCGTCTTGGGGTGGAATCGGCATATAAAGACTGGCCCAGGCTTGTGTTTTCTCTCAATTTTGTAATCTCGTGTTCCAACTGGCCAATCTTTGCAAGGTAGCTTTTGCGCTCCGAGTCGTAAATTTCCTTCATTCCGTTGAACTTGGCAGTAGCATCGACCAACTCGGCGGTTTTGCTGCCAAGCTCCTGTGTAAGATTCGCTTGCTGGGCAGTTTGGGCATGGGTTGCCTCCAACATCGCGTCATTTTCCATAGCTTTGTTCTTTAAGTCGTTGGTTAGCACACGAATCTTCTTCTGGTAGGCAACCTCCTTCTTGTTGAGGCTTGATACAACAGACTCAAAAACATTGATCTTGTTCATCAACTGCGATTCGATGGTCTTCCAGTTCTCCTGGGCAGAAATGTACTGGCCGTGCAACGAGTCATGGGATTGTTGTAACTTGCTGAGTTCGTCCGTAGAGCGCGAGCTCATATCGCTGGCATTGCCCTCAGCCTTGTAGCGGAGCTCCTCAACCTTGGACTCTAAGCGTTTGACTTCAAGTTCGTTCTCGCTGTTGGCCTGAAAAAGTTTCAGCTTCTCCCGTTCAACCTTGAGCTTGAGCTCAGAGATTTCGGCAGCGGACTGCCTTTTGAAGGTATCCATCTGTCCCTTGGCATCGCTGAGCTGCTTGTTGAGAGACTTGTTTCGCAAAGCCTCGGACTTTGTCTCTTCCACCTGGTCAGCATACTTCGCTCTGAAATTTTCCGCTTTAAGGGACGTCAATTCAGCGTCGGAAGCGGCTTTAGCCTTGACCAACGCATCATACTTGGCCTTTAACGAATCATGCTCCTTTGCCTTGGTTTCGTGCTCCTTCAAGACACCGAGCTCCCGCTCGAGGCTCTCATTCTTTTGGGTCAATTCGCCTACCCTGCTTTCGCTTTCTGCATCCTGTACTTTCAATCGTCTGATGGTTTCATTCAACTTAAGCTCCTTTATGCTGAGCTTCCGTCCCTCTTCGAGTAACTCTGCCATCTGCAGATCCTTCTGGGCAAGCTTCTTGCGTAAGGTGTCACTAGTGGGGTCGGGTGTGCCGCTTCTAGAAACCACCAGCGACGAAATTAGGTTCTGCATGACTTCCTCCACCACCCTGATCAACTCATCCTTGTCTAGCGTCTTCCACTCCTCCGGTAGCCTTCCAGCTGTATCGTCTCTGGCACCTGGCTCTATTTTGTGGGCGACAGGGGCGACATGGAGGTCCAAGCTGGATCTGGGCGAGCTTCCAGGAGTGTCGGCAGGCGTGTCATCTTGCGAAACAACAGCCTTTTTCTTGGATTTTCCGCTCTTCGCAGCCAAGGCCAAACGTTCCTGTAATGTGAGCCTCTTCTTTGGAGCAGCAAAGCCAGGGGCCTCGGTCTCAGCTATCTGTGGTTGGTGGGATATCACAGGGATGGCACTCGGTGGTTCAGTTGGATTGCTAGTTTCTGGTGTGACTTCGACAACAGGAATTGATTCTCCTGGAATTGGTTGTTCCCTGGGAATTGGTTCTTCTGTTTCGGTATCAGGTTGATTGAACCCATCTTCAGCTTCACCCTGGGCTGGTTCTTCCTTCATGGATTCAGCCTTAATGGGACTGTCGGTTAAAACTCCAACTTTCACCATTTCAACCACTTCAATGTCATTGTCAGTTTCGGCAATGTCCTTGCCATTTTCGGTACTGTCCTTGCCATTTTCGACAATTTCCTTGCCAGCTTTGATAATTGTATCATCTGTGTCTCCTCCTTCTGATACTGCCTTTTCAACTTTCTCATCACTTGGAACGGTTGTATCTTTTGTCACTGCATCTTTCACGGGTTGTTCAGAAACCTGGGCATGCTTCTTTTTAGCAGAGGACTTCTTGGCCATGTTAAACGAATGTGAGAGGTGATCCAAATAATAGAGTATAACTAGTAGGGCAAGAAAATTTGGCATCCATTTGTGGGATCAGCCAGACCAGGGAGGATCGTGTTTGTAGCTCTATCAGCCAAAGGCCAGGTCAGTGAGTGTGCCACGACCTTGTGGCCGCAGCGATGAAAATAGTAGATCTGCCAGTCTAAACGATAAATGTGGAACACGCAAGTGGCTGCGCACATACATTATTATCCTGGTAGTACTCAATGGCTATAAGTTGTAAGTAGGGTAAATTTGATATATTGGGACAATGCCTATATGCATTATCGTAGCGTGATTCAACTGTTACGAGTGTGAGTTGTAGCTTAAACAATAGGCTCTTCAACTCGGTTATACGACCCTTCTGTAAGGCAAACCGCTGGCTTTTAAAACCAGAATTAGTTCAACCATTCAGGTGGTTGTTGCATTCGCCAAGACCAGGACTCTAAGCTTTACTATGCGTGTCGGCACTTCAGAAAACAATATTGCAGGACCTTCCTTATGCAACAAGTGGACGATTTATTCACTCTGTTCATTCTCCACGTATCCTCGGGGAAACCTTCAATGTCTGCTGGAAATCCGACGTGTGGGTACTGACGTTAAACGCGCTACAGCGAACCTCAAATTCTGAACTACAACTCGGTTGTTAACGAAGATTTTATTGTACATACGCGGAGCGAAAAGATATCAAAATGCAAAAATTACGGAGCCCAGAAATGAAACGACAGCCGGAAGAAGCGCCTATTCGGCAACCTCCTCAACAGATGGACAGGTGCACATCAAGTTCATGTCACCGAAAGCGTCGTCCAATCTCGAAACAGAGGTCCAGAACTTGTTCTGCTGCAAGAACGGCAATGGGTAGGCCGCCTGTTCTCTAGTGTAACCTCTAGCATCCCATTCGGCCTGGGTAGTGGATACAATGTCCTGCAAAGAGTGCGGAGCATTCTTCAACACTTGACCCAAAGAGTCACCGTTAATGTAGGCATTGATTTCGCCCTTGATGGAGATTAAGGAGTCACAGAATCTGTCCAACTCAGCCAAATCCTCAGACTCGGTTGGCTCAATCATCAAGGTACCTGGAACTGGGAAGGACATGGTTGGGGCGTGGAACCCATAGTCCTGCAATCTCTTGGCAACATCAATGGCTTCGATACCGTTGGCCTTGAATTCTCTCAAGTCCAAGATGAACTCGTGGGCACAGTGCTTGATGGTGGAAGAGTTGACGAACAAGATGGAGTAGTGCTCTTGCAATCTGTTCAACATGTAGTTGGAGTTCAACATGGCAATAGAAGAAGCAAATGGCAAGGCATTGGCGCCCATCATCTTAATGTAAGCGTAGGAGATTGGCAAGATCGACGCAGAACCAAAGGCGGCAGCACTGACAGCCTTGATACTCAAGTCAGAACCGTTAGTGGTTCTGGAGATCGGGTGGGAAGGCAAGAACTCGGTCAAGTGTTCGGCAACACAAATTGGACCGACACCTGGACCACCACCACCGTGAGGAATACAGAAGGTCTTGTGCAAGTTCAAGTGACACACATCGGCACCCAAGTCACCTGGGGAGGTCAACCCGACCTGGGCGTTCATGTTGGCACCGTCCAAGTAAACCTGGCCACCAAACTCGTGGATAGTGGAGATGGCAGCTCTGATACCTGGTTCAAACAAACCGTAAGTGGATGGGTAGGTGATCATGGCAGCAGCCAAGTTGTCAGCGTGCTTGACGGCCTTGGCCTTCAAGTCAATCAAGTCTAAGGAACCGTCGTTCAAACACTTGACAGCCACGACCTTCATACCAGCCATAGCAGCAGAGGCAGGATTGGTACCATGAGCAGAAACTGGAATCAAACAGATGTTCCTTTGAGTCTCGCCTCTCTTCTCGAAGTAAGCCTTGATGACGGACAAACCGGTGTACTCGCCCTGAGCACCAGAATTTGGTTGCAAGGTGGTGGAGGCGAAACCGGTAATGTCGGCCAAGTCAGCCTCCAAGTTGTCGATCAACTCGGCGTATCCTTGGCACTGGTTGTCAGGCGCAAACGGATGGATATTGGCAAACTCCGGCCAGGTGATTGGCAACATCTCCACGGTAGCGTTCAACTTCATGGTGCAGGAACCGAGTGGGATCATGGAGTTGGCAAGAGAGATATCCTTGGTCTGCAAGGAGTGGATGTATCTCAACATGGAAGTTTCGGAATGGTAGGTGTTGAAGATAGGGTTAGATAAGATCTGGTCGGATCTGGTGAGGTCGGAGTAGAATTCTGGCAACTTGACGATGGCAGAAGTGTCTAACTGCGAACCAGTGAACAACTCTACCAAATCGGTCAAATCCTTTTCGGTGACAGATTCGTCCAAGGAAAGAGAGACCTGGGAGTCGGAGACCTTGAAAAGGTTGATCTGGTATTTTTCAACCGCAGTAGCCATCAATGCATCGGCAGAGACACCGTTAAGCTCGATGGTCAAGGTGTCGAACCAGTTCTTGTTGACCAAAGTGTGCTTGGTGGCAATCTGCTCGGCGAGGATAGAGGTGAAGCCGAAAACTCTTTTGGCAATGTTCTTTAAACCCTCTGGCCCGTGGTACACGGCGTACATGGCAGCCATGTTGGCAAGCAATGCCTGGGCAGTACAGATGTTAGAGGTGGCCTTCTCTCTCTTGATGTGCTGTTCCCTAGTCTGTAAGGCGAGTCTCAAGGCTGGGTTACCCAATCTGTCCTTGGACACACCGACAATTCTGCCCGGAATCTTACGGTTCAACTTGGTAATGGTGGCTAAGAAGGCAGCCTGTGGACCACCGTAGCCGAGGGTGACACCGAATCTCTGGGAGTTACCAAAGACAATGTCAGCCCCGAAGGAGCTTGGTGGCTCCAAGATTGTCAAGGCTAACAAGTCGGAGGCAGCAGAGAGTAAACCATGGTTGGCATGGACAATCTCACCGACCTTGGCGTAGGAGTTGATGGAGCCGTCGGTGGCTGGGTATTGCACTAAGGCACCGGAGATTTCGGTCTGGATCGCGGCCAATTGCTCGACACCTTCGGCAGTGGACAATGGCAACTGCACAATCTCGATCCCAAGGGTGTTGGCACGAGTCTGGATGACCGCGAGGGTCTGTGCGTGGATGTTGGTGTCCACGACGTATTTGCTCTTCTTGCCCTTCATAGAGTGGTAGGACAACAAAACAGCTTCGGCACCGGCGGTGGCTTCGTCCAAAAGCGAAGCATTGGCGACAGGCAAGCCGGTCAAGTCACAAACAACGGTCTGGAAGTTTAAAAGCGACTGTAATCTCCCCTGGGACACTTCTGGCTGGTATGGGGTATAGGAGGTGTACCATTCTGGGCACTCTAAGACGTTTCTCTGCACGACAGGTGGAATGATGGTGTTGTAGTAGCCCTTACCAATGAAGGAACGGTAAACCTTGTTCTTACTGGCAATCTCTCTCAAGTGAGCGATCATCTCGGTTTCAGTGTACCCCTGAGCGGGAGACACCTTCAAGGCGCGGCGGACTAAAATGTCCTCTGGAATAACCGCCTTGGTGAACTCCTCCAAGTCAGAGTAGCCCAATTGACCCAACATGTACTGGGCGTTTTCTGGGGTAGGCCCCAAATGACGGCGCTGCAAGGTGTCCAAGGCCTTCAATGGCTGTGCGGCATTGGTGGAGTTGTAAATCTCTGAGTAGGCGTTCGAGGAGATTTGGGCAATGCCGGCCTTAGAAGAAGCCAACAATCTTCTCTGAGCAAAGGAAAGCGAAAGGGAGGTGGTGTTCAAGCCCGAGCGGGCAGAACGTGCCAAATATCTCGAGTACATCGGATGTGTCTAGGGGTGTTAGTCGCTGAAAAGGCACTGCGAAGAAGGTGGTACCTACTGTGAATGTAAAAGTATGTGACGAGACGGATAAGAGAGGGAGGCAGAGGTCAAATAGGCGGGGGAACGCGTCGCTTTTATATTGCCGACTAGACAAACGAGCCAGATCTGGAGGCTATAGTATAACCTCCGTGTTTCTTTTTCATGCACCTTTTTTTTTGGCTTCTCCGGAAACCTATGAATGATAACGCATCGCACCCGAGTCAGGACGCGGGTGCATAATGCCGAGTCAGTGTCAGATTTTGTCTCAGGCATTCGGGTGGAGGTGCCCGGAGGTTAACTTCCTCTGCTCATTCTGTGGGGAACGCTCGGAAGCAAGTCTAATCTGCGTAACCCACTCTCCGATGGAGGCGCTCTCCTGTGTAAACTCTCTCTTTCTGCTTATTCAATCCGTAATTATCCATCTTTGTGTTATCTGCATGGGCGTGTTTCTCCGTGAGTGGTTAGCTGTCCCGAGTCAGAGTATGCCTGTCACATGTGCAGGGTGATGGGACTCGGGACTTAGACTGAAGGGCTGGGTAACAGAGTCACAGAAAACGCACGGCGAACCCCAGGAATAGATGCGAGTCCGAAAGGCGCTTGGGGACGGTGACAGGGTAGTAGAGTAAGTCTTTGGTGCCCTGTCAGTCATAGATCATCGTTTGATTTCATATTACGGGGTAAAGACGGTAAGTTCAGTACGATATTCACGATTGGAGCGTTTATCTTAAGTACTTGCACGTGATGTGGACTGCCTTAAGAATCAACATGAGGGTTGTGCGAACGTATCAGCATATCACGAGAGGTATTAGACGGGATCACCAATCCAGTTACAGGGGAGAGTATCATCAATGCAAGCCACTGATACCTATCAGTGCACTTATGATATCTCTATTTTTATTAATAATCTCGATAGCAAGCGTGCTATGATCGCGATCGCGTGGGTTGGTTAGGTCAGGCGTGGCAGCGCTATAGGAAGTTAAAGGCCGCGAAGTCTCAACTCAACATGCACTCTAATTATACACATATGCCAGTATGCAGTACTAACCAAAACTTACTCACCGAACCTCTTATACTAGAAAGCTACACGTATAGATGACAAGAGAGAACAGAGTTGTCCGTATATTTACATACTATATTTCAAGAAGTAGCGTTAACCTCTTATCTCCACAGTTAATCCTTTCATGGTGAGGTAATATCACCCTCCTCGTACATATCCTTGCACTGGATCTCGAAAAACTTTCTAGCAGCGTAACGCTTAATCTTCAACGTAGGTGTGAGCAACCCGTTGGCCTCTGTAAACCCAAAGTTCACAGTACTGTTACGCTCGTCACCCTTCCCTTCATTGTTGAAGAACAAGTAAATATTCCTCAACTTCTCCAAACCGTTGAGCATCCTGCTCCTGTCAACTTTTGCGTTGATCCGAGATAAGATGTACTTCCTCAAGACCGCATTTCTGTTCAATTGGTCCATATTCGATTCATCCATGTATCGGATGGTTTTTAAAGAGGGGATGCGCGACTTTTGGATCAATTCCAAGCATGCGCTCTCGTCGATAACCAAAATACCAACCAAATACGATTGTAATGAGTCACCATAGACGAAAATCTGAGACATTAAACTGGCATTAAAGTGAAGGTAGATATTTTCAACTTTCTCGGGTGAGATGTACTCACCTTGGGATAATTTAAAAATATTCTTCACTCGATCCACGATATTTAACCGGCCGTTCCGGTCAAAAGTGCCCACATCACCGGTGCGAAGCCAGCCGTCTGGATAAAAATTCTCTTGTGTTATAATCGGATCCTTGTAGTACTCTTGCGTGATCTGAGGACCACGCAAAACCACCTCGCCTGAGCGATTGCCTGCCCAAGTGAAGTTCATCTCGGGACAATCGACAAGCCTCATTTCAATAGCGACGCAGAGGTAACCCGAGCTGTCAGGGCTCATTTCGTCTTCCGCGTACGGGACGGAAGCACAGCCGAACGATTCCGTCAACCCATAACCTTGAAGAAACTCCGAATTAAGCCAACCTCTGAGGTTACAAATTGTTTCTGGTAACATTGGAGCAGAACCGGTCACCATCAGCTCCATGTGTTCCAACCCCATGGAAGACTTGATCTTGGAGGTCAACTGGCGGTCATATAGCCAGTGGTCGGTAACAGGATGGCCGGCACGATACTGCAACTCCTTATAAGCCATACACTTGCGGAACAACACCCTAAAAATCCAATTGGATGCTTCAATCTTGGCCACAATAGCTGATTCTATACGGTTGTAAATACGCGGAACTCCGACCAAGTGGGTAGGTTTCACAAGTAACAAATCAGCCATCACTTGTTTGATGTCTTTGGGGTTGGAAGGCAAATAAATGGTGGCCCCAGAAGTCAATTCATAGAAACAGACTAATCGTTGGAACACGTGAGTGATTGGTAGAATGCACAAGGCTCTACGGGTCTTTTTGCTAGATCGACTAATAAAGATATTAGTCATACACGCTATGATAGACGTTAATCCGCCAACCACCGCCTGGTGGGTCAATACAACCCCCTTAGGGTTCCCAACGGTACCCGAGGTAAAGAAGATGGAGTAGATTGATCCTGGTTGTGGAGGAATATGTTCTTCGGGACGCTTTTTGCCAATCTCCAAGACCTCGGAAAAGGTCCATAGTTCAATTTTGGCAGCTTTTACCAACTCCAACATTGCTGGATCAACATCCTTCAACGATATGACATCAAATAGTACCATAGCCCGGACGAATGTGAGATTGGATTCATGGATAGACTTTAACAATGGGCCTAACTTTTCCAACGTTAACAGAATGACGGGTGATTTGGTGGCATTCAAGATGTAAGTGTATGATTCGGCACCCAAAGTGCTATATAATGAAGTGGAGGTAATGGAATACGCCATACAGCTCAAATCGGTGATGAACCATTCGTAGCAGTTCGGAGCAAAAATTGTCAAGATAAAGTCCTCCTTATCGTTTGAACGGAAGTTGTGGTTTTCAATTCCGAGGTATTTGATCACCTGTATCAATCCTGACCCAAAATTGTCTCTGGCTTGAGCCACCTCTCTATAGGTTTTGAATGTATACGCGTCATCAGTGACCTTCCTCGAACCAAAGCATTTGTTACGAGCGTGGTACTGAAGCGCAAATTGCATATAGTCGTACATTGTGGTCAATTTAGGATGAGCGGTGGTTACCATATTGTTTCCTTCCGTGTTGGCACAGATCTTGCTTCTCAAGACTGGAGATCCATTTGAGTTTTCGGTACCTGGAACCTCGAAGTAGCTCGTAAGAGAGGGGTGTGGAAGGGGATAAAATTTTTCGAGAGCATCTGCAATCTGAACATTCTCATTTATTTGAGGGGCACATGTCGGTGGATATAGCTTCATTGTACTCGAGGACTAGGGCTTGTATGGGGGGGCTGTTTCTAGCTGAAAGGACCTGGTACGGTTAGAACTCGAAGCGAGAGACGAAACTTATTCCAATATATATGCATTGATTGAGCTAGAATACCTTCCTTAAGTAATCAGCTCTTCCCTGTAGCTACCATATATGGCTGGCATGGGTATGAATCCATCATAGCCTCCATAGCGTCCAACTATACGACGTCTTATCTCTAAAGTACCGCATGTATTTATGCACGAAAAGCTAAACCCATGCACTCCCCGAATAAGACTGCAGCTAACTCTGCAGGCTATAATTCCATGCCACGTCTTCCAAAACGCTGTTGCAAGTCTAGAAGTTTTTATGTATTATTAACTCAGTTTAGATCGATTTAAGCTTCATCGACGAAGTTTAATTATTCTGTGTCACATTCCGAGCTCCAATGTGTGTATGGGTAGAGTATTCTTGGGCCATAATAGGCGAGGCAATTTCGCCGAAAATTTTGGGCGTGATGCACTCTGCGAACCACCTTGCATATTTACCGCCTCAAGGGCTGGTCACTGGAGGTAGCGGACCTATAAAAGCCAGTAAATAAGCACCTTTTACCTGGTCAGTTCCCACCAATGAAACTTGAGACATGTGAACAGACTGAGAATAATGCAGTGACAGGGTTTTCATATGGTCAGGCTAGAGCCTTAGGCTGTACGCCCTGGAGTTTATTTGAAAGGCTTAATCTACATATGCGTGCAAAGGGATCACAGGCTGGTCAGTCAAAGGACAGTTGGTAGACATAATACAAGCTTGAAACGACATCCATAGGGTACATCTACCAGTAACAGTAACCTATTCGAGCTAACCTAGGCTGTCTCCTATATAGGCATATAACAGGAAAGTAAAGGAAGACCCTCTTATAAAGACCAGGGAGGACGAGGTGACTAAAACGATACGTCCGAGAGGCTACAGCACTTCCTTACCAAAATATGTGCCTTTCTGTGTTAATTTTTTTTTAAAAAAATAGCACCACTCTTACGTTCTATACTAGATAAGTTTCGCAGTAGAATCAGGGATTCATTATCGGCGAGCGCATACTCAGTAGTACGGTACGTACGTGACCGTATGCGGTACTAACCAACGCTATACGTATCAGGGTACACAAATACTATGCATCAGTATACCTTGCTTTTCACTAAGGTTGCATACATCGTAGACCCCAGTCCTATTTAAACGTGCAGATAGCGAAATTCTCCCACTTATAGTCTCTATGTTGCCAGTACTCCAGATGTCTTGAGCCGCACACCTGTACAGTTGCTTTCTAAGATATGTACCAGGGATACGTACGAATACAGTGGGCATATCTGGCAGCTACGAGGCGGGAGAATAAGCACACTACATACTGGTAACACAGAAGATTGTACCATGTCCGGAAGTACCGGGATTAGTTTTATTTTTACAGGCATATTACTGAGTAGCTGTGGTATATCTAATAGGTAATGGTGGATACTGTCGGCTAGCTAAAAGAGAATATTTATTCATCGATAGAATATACACAAGAAAAGGAGAGTCGGTGGCTTTACATACAAAGGCGAGTACGATACCAGGGTGTCCGCCTATCGGAGGTAAGGAGATAACGATCGCCAACGTCCGTTTAGTTAAATGGTACCTTTACTACAGTAATCGTAGATCACCTTTTGGCCTGTTCCATGCCTTTAAAGAAACGGTTCTTTGGATCCCAACTAGGCATTACAGATATGGTTAAGTGGCTTACCTAACAGAGACTGGGCTTTAACACAAATGTGGTGGCATACCTGATAATTTTCTAAGGAACTAAGAAATATTGTATATGCCAAATAGATTGAAAATAATTGGGTCGGGACTAATATCGCCATTGAATCCCTAGCCCGCCCACCGTGTTCTGCCTGTTCTTTTCACCATTTCACGATTCATAGCCGACTTGTGGTAAACCTTTACCTCATGGGTAGGATATTTACTTTAGTAGTAGTATATTGTTAGCTATATAGGATAAAGGGAGGAAAGATCGACCCCCTTATATAGGTTATCAATCCCTACCACATGACCGCTAAATACTTACTATACAGCTACTGAGGAATTTTATACGTATAACACACATTTGGCTTGGAGCGCAAGGCACATCGATATCTCTGGCACCATGTATTTCCTCTGCCTTGCCTTGCCTCTCTATTTTATCCCGTAAATATATATAATGAATCCGGAAGAAGTTCGGATCTATCGACTTCTACGAGTGGCGGGTCCTCTATTACCCTGCCCCTATCACTGCCCGTAAGGGTGGCACCGCACCTCCGTGCCTGCTCATAGGTGCCTCACCTGATGCGCGCTCACAACCCTCCTGCAGCACAAAAAAATATTTCTTGAAATCAACCGCCAGCAAAACAACCGATCCCCTCACTGATTGCTCCACTAATCGCTTCGCCATGGACGCACAAGCCTTGTACGAATGCTTTGCCGCGACCTTGCAGCCCAGCCAGGCCGCGAGACAGGCTGCCGAGTTGCAGCTCCGCGAGGCCCAGAAAGTGCCGGGCTTCCTCGGCGCATGCCTTGACATTCTCACGACGGACGGCGTCAACCCCGGGATCAAGAAGGCCGCTGCGGTCTTCTTCAAAAACCGTGTCATCCGCCGCTGGCAAACTAACGCCGCTGATGCTGTGGACAATGACGAAAAGCCGCTTATCAAGGACCGCTTGCTCCTGGCGCTTGTCTCCGTGCCTCAAGATCTCCGCAACCAACTCTTCCCGGTGCTCACCACGATCATCACCCACGACTACCCACTGCAATGGCCAGGCTTGCTTGCCCAGACGGCCGAGCTTGTCCAGTCGCAGAACCCGGACTCGCTCTACGTAGGTGTGTTGTGCTTGTCCGAGGTTGTCAGATCCTACCGCTGGAAAACAAACGAGGATCGTCCTGAATTGGATACGATCATCCTGGAGTTTTTTCCTAAGATCTTAGCCATTGCTAACGCCTTGACCAATGATGCCTCTTTCCAGGCGGGCTCCATCGTCAAGTTGATCCTCAAGACATACAAGTTTGCGACCTACTTCGATCTCCCAGTCGCTTTGCAGGCACAGGGCAGTGTTGTCGAATGGGGTACCCTCCACGTGAACATTATCAACACTCCATACCCGGCCAACCTCTTGGAGTTAGACGAAGGCGAGCGTGCGCTTCACTCGCTCTGTAAGTGCAAAAAGTGGGCGTTTGCTAATCTCTACCGCTTGTTCACGCGCTACGGCTCGTCCTCGCTCTCCAACAAGTACGAGTACCCAGAATTCCAGGCGTTATTCATCGGCAGCTTTGTGCCATCCTTGTTAACCGTCTACTTCCAGTTGGTCGAGGCTCACTGCAACCAAACCGTGTGGATCTCGGGTCCGTCTTTGTACTACCTCCTCAGTTTCATTGAAGCAGCTGTCACCCAGAAAGCCACCTGGCCTTTGATCAAACCACACGTGTCATCGATCATCTCGCACTTCATCTTCCCTACGCTCCTTCCGTCAGACGAAACCCTCGAGAACTTCGAGGACGATCCGCAAGAGTACATCCACGCGAACTTCAACTTTTACGATGACGTTTCGTCGGCGGATAGCGCGGCAGTGGCTTTGCTCGTGACACTCGCGCAGAAGCGCACCAAGACGTGTTTGGAGTTAATCCTCCAGTTCGCGTACACGAAGTTGACCGAGCTCGCGGCCGCGCCAAAGGACCTTGTACACGCCAAGCAGGCGGAGTCCGCCTTGCGCATGGTCGGTGCCATTGCCTATAAACTCGTGGGCAAGAAGTCGCCGTACCATGGCCAGATGGAAGGTTTCCTCGTGCAGTTCATTTTCCCAACCTTTGCCAGCGAGTTCGGCTTTTTGCGCGCACGTGCGTGTGAAATCTCGTGCACCTTCTCGGATCTAGCTTTCCAGGACCAGAATAACCTCGCGACCTTGTTCCACAGCATTATGTCATGCTTCAACGAGGATAACCTTCCGGTGCAATTGGAGGCGGCCCTTGCGCTCCACCCATACCTCAAGTCCCCAGCCTTCAACGAAGCCTTCGGGCAGGTTGTGGTTCCCGCGATGCAGCGCCTTTTGGAGTTATCCAACACGATCGACCACGACGCGCTTTCTGGGGTGATGCAGGAGATTGTCGAGTGCTTCTCCGAGCAGTTACAGCCGTTCGGCGTGGACTTAATGACCAAGTTGGTCGAGCAGTTCATGAAGTTGGCCGTGGCGTTGAACAACGAGGCGAACGTTGAGGTGGATGATGTGGACGGCGATAATCTCGATGACAACTCAGACAAGCAGATGGCCGCGTTTGGGCTCCTCAATACCATGGTCACTGTGTTGCTCTCATTTGAGAACTCCACCGACGTGATTTTGGGCTTGGAGCAAATTCTCGCGCCCGTCTTTGAGATTGTCTATAAGAATGACATGGAGGACTACTTTGCTGAAGTGTGCGAGTTGGTTGAGAACTGCACGTTCCTCTCGCGCCAGATCTCGCCATTGATGTGGAAGGTGTTTGAGCTCATTTCTGTATGCTTTAACACCGGGTTCGGGTGTGTTTATGCCGCGGAGTTTATGCCAGCCATTACCAACTTCATCACATACGGTGCGAGCGACATGAAGGCCAACCCGGCGTATGTCAATTGGGTTTTTGCCATTTATACCAGCATCATGAAGAACGTCAACATCGAGGAGATGGGGGTCAACGACTTGGCCTACGGAGCCGAGATTGCCTACAACTTCACCCTCGCCATGAAGGAGGATGCGCCGCAGTTTGCGCCGCAGTTGACCAGCAGTGTGATTGACAGACTCGTCGCGGACGGGGCGGAAATCATGAAGAACACAGCCACCTCCATTTACATGCTCAACGTCATTGTCGCCGGTTTGGCCTTCGACATCCAGCACACGCTCCAGGCGTTGATCGAGAAAAACTATATGCAGAACTTCTTTATCGCATGGTTCAAGTTCATCCCCACCTACAAGCGTGTGTTTGATATGAAAGCCTCTGTGTTGGCATTGTTGTCGGTATTGTCTGTTTCCCAGGCCGATTTACAGACTGTCGGGATCAACGACTCTGTTATCGCTGAGTGCGGTGTCAAGTTGGCGAACCTCTTCAGCACCCTCCCAGGCGCCATCACCGAGTTGGACAAGCAGAGAAAAGAGTACAGCGCTGAGGACTACAACCCGTACAACGATGATTTCGGCGAAGACGACGGCGAGTGGGTCAATGAGGACGCGGCAGAGAACGCAGCTGATGCCGAAGACGAGGACTACATGAAGTTCTTGGAGGAGGAGTCACACAAGTTGAAGCACGACGGTGCACACTACGACTACGATGACGACGAGCTTGTGGAAGACCCATTGGCCACCACGCCGTTGGACACGGTCAATGTCTATGCCGTATTTAGACAGGTATTTGAGGGCTTGCAGAGCACTGATGCCGCCAAGTTCCAGGTTCTCACCTCGCTGTTGAGCGCTGAGGACAAAGAGACCTTGCAGCAGTCGGCGCAGTTCTCCGCTTAGGAATCGATAAAACATTGATCAAGCATTTATTATTTTTGACCATTTAGCATCGTCTGGCCATGACCTTCCGATTGGCTGTCAGACTTTTTTATACAGGTTCTCTTTTATTTCACTTTTTAGGTCGGCTCCAGTATTAATTGATACAAAGCGTAGGTGAATGAGCGTAAGGTGGAGGCTCTCAACATAGATTTTGAGTGGAATTATTGCCGGAGCAGGAGATCAAAACGAATAGCCCCAGTCTAGATTTTAGACGTAGAGCTTAGACAGTCTGTTGCTTTGACTCATAAGAAACGCCTCGAAGCATTCAATAACTGCTTCGGATATACCCCATCATCCTGTGTATTAGTAACGACACTGGAAACCGGAAGTAACTACACGTAGTGCGCTTTATTGGGCATAACCTCTACGAAAAACTTAGGGGGTGTTACTTCCATAATAACTGAGAGGATTATCGATATGTGTCTCTCTTCAGTTACTCAACTTTCTAAGAGCATGCATCAGATGGTTGACAGTGTCACCGTCTATGTTTTTATATACCATTTATATACCATTTCACCTATATTAAAATTGTTTCAGATGGTTGTCCTTCCTGGTTTAAGCCGATCCAGCTGCAGGCTATTTATTTTCCTAGCCTAAATTTTCAGCGCGTCGGGCTCATAATTATAAACAACGCGTAAAAAGCAGAGGCAAATCAGCGGTAAACCGCAAAACGACACAACCGACGGCCCTATGACACTCAGTAATAACCTAGATGAACATCTTCACTGGCTCGAAACCGAAAAAGCATTTGTACCCCCGCCGTTTTCATATACCCTCGTGGATCCCGTGCCACTCCCAATACTACCCCCCTCAATAACATCCCCCACAATACCAGTGCTAGCTATGGCCCCAGCCCGCTCGCTTACCACACATGATCCGCCCCAGAAATCTCTCACGGGATCGCTCCGCCGCGGAACCAGCGCCGGATTGTTTAGCCGCCACGCCGAAACCCGCTCCACAGACGTGATGTCGTTGATGAAGGCCAACCCCAGCTATCAGGTGATTAAGCTCAAAGAAGCCGAAGTGGTAGACTTGACGGATTCGATGGATGACGCTACAGAGCTCACAAACGATGTCATTCAGGTTTACTCACCTGATAAGCCCCGACAAAAACGACCGGGGCCTGAGGTGGCGGGAATCAAAAAGGTAAGAACACAGAACCCTGAAATAGCTGTTGTCGCACAAACTGTGTCGGTAGAAGGCGTAAGAAACGGCACGGAAATAGTTAAGGCTATGTATAACGGTAGTATCGTGAGAAATGCCTCGGAAACTACCTTTTCCACCATGGAACCCCCTTTGGCTCGAGCCACTCCTGTCACTAACACCACCTCTACGCAGCCCCCTTTGGCGCGGAACACCCCTTTGGTGCGTACCCCTTTGCGAAAGTCCACTCCAAGGGCATCACAAAACAGAGGAGAGCTACGCAACGAGGTCTCTGAACGGACCTTCGAAGACGGATGGGACTCAGAGGACGAACGGAACTTCGAAGACCTTCCGATCAACAGAATGCCGCCCGTATTAGAACCCCAGGTCACTAATTATGGCTCGGGCCCATCTCTGCCGATCCACCTTGATATTCCACGCGAGGTTCCATCGGTAGTGTCGCATAACGCATACCGCAGGTTGCTCGAATTAGTTCAAACACAGCAGCTGTACATTACTGTTTGTGAGGCACGTATTAACTTACTCAACAAACGCGCGGCAATCTCGGAGTCTTCTGCGTTGTCTGAAGACCAGAAGCGGCTTAAACGGTCGCAATACACGCCGCAGGCAGAGCGGATTGCCGAGCAGCAAAACACGATGCGGCAGCACTTGAAGATGATTGGTGACTGGGGCTTCGGCGCCGCTACCCAAGATTTGATCCAGCAGGTCGAAGGCGATGTTTCGTGTTCCACCCCGCTTCGAAAGAGGCACGTGGACTCGCTGCCTCCAAGTGCAGCAAGAATGGATTTGCGTGAAAATTTACCAAAGATAGTGTCAGAGACGCTGCCAAAAAAATTGCATGAAACTTTACTGGTTTTGCCAGAGACTTTACTCCAGCTGACAAAGAATTTGCTTCGTGAGATGCTGGCGGAAGCGTCGCAGAAATCCCTGCCGCAGGATATGGTGAAACTTGATTCTGATTCCGAAGACGACATTCAGTTGTTAAGCGTTCCCCAGCCTATGCCGCGCACGCGAAACGTCCCACCACCACCCGCTCTTCTGCCAGACTACTACAGCAGCATGGACGAGGAGGACAACTTTGGAGATGGCGATATGGAGGGCATGTTCACACAGAAAGAGGTGCGCGATCGTGAGGATGCGCGCGCCATGGCAGAGCTCGAGGGGTTCCTCGATGATGAGGGGAGCCATTTGGAAGAAGTATCTGTTGACGAAGACTACATCATCGAAAGCGAGTCGGAGAGCGAGGGAGCGGATGAGGTAGACGATATACTGAGTTTGGTAAGAGAAGAAGAGAACCAGAGTGTGGGAGAGATGATGCCCCCTCCACGATACGAGCGCATCCGCTCGGATAACACAGCGACATTCGACGATTTTGAGGAGTTGGAGGATGTCGAAGAGCTCAACGATGGTATGGGCTTTTCCCAGCGCCTAAACCAGGAGCGAGAGCTTCCAGCGTGGGCCAAGCAGCGCGATGTAATTGACATTCCGTCCGATGACGACGCAGACTTCCTCGCGCTCGAACGGAACCCCCGCATCAGCGAGGCCCTAGTGGAAAGTTCCCCGGACAGCGGCACGCACCCGTGGTCGCATGATGTCAAATCCGTGCTCACAAACGTGTTCAAGCTCGATTCGTTCCGCTCGAACCAGGAAGAGGCGGTGAATGCGACACTTGCGGGCCACGATGTGTTTGTGTTGATGCCCACTGGCGGGGGTAAATCCCTCTGTTACCAGCTTCCGGCACTAGTAGAGACAGGATGGACCAAGGGCACTACCATTGTGATCTCACCGCTCATCTCGTTGATGCAGGACCAGGTCCAGCACTTACTCGACCGCAATATCAAGGCGGGGATGGTCAACTCGAAGGCCACCTCGGAAGAACGCTCGCACATGTTCAACTTGTTTGTGCAAGGGTTCCTCCAGTTGATCTACCTCTCTCCCGAGATGATCACCGCCAGTGGGCAGACCAGAAACGCCATCGATCGCCTCTACCGCGACAAAAAGCTTGCACGGATCGTGGTGGATGAGGCACACTGTGTGAGCTCATGGGGACACGACTTCCGCCCCGACTACACCATGCTCGGTACGTTTAAAGAAAAGTACCCGGATATCCCGCTCATGGCGCTCACAGCGACCGCTAACGAGCACGTTCAGATGGATATCCGCCACAATTTGCGGATGAACAACCCGAAATTCTTCAAGCAGAGCTTCAACCGCACGAACCTCTTCTACGAGCTTGTAACCAAAACCACTGCGCACATGGACCATATCTCGCGGTTGGTTTCCAGCAAGTACCGCGGTGCGACCGGCATCATCTACTGCCACCTGAAAAACTCGTGCGAGCAGACGGCGGAACGCTTGGTCGGCGACGGCATCAAGGCCGCATGGTACCATGCAGGGATGTCCCCAGAGGACCGCCTAGAGATCCAGCACCAGTGGCAGAAGGGGATTGTGCAGGTGATCTGCGCGACAATCGCCTTCGGGATGGGGATCGACAAGCCAGACGTGCGGTTTGTGATGCACTTGACGATTCCCCGCACGTTGGAAGGGTACTACCAGGAGACGGGCAGGGCCGGCAGAGATGGCCAGCACTCGGACTGCATTATGTACTACAGCTACAAGGACGCCCGAACGCTCCAGAGCATGATATCCAGGGACAAGGACTTGGACATTGCGGGAAAGCAGAAGCACTTGGACAAGCTCCGCCAGGTAGTGCAGTATTGCGAGAACACTACTGATTGCCGCCGTAAGCAGGTACTCCAGTACTTCAACGAGACGTTCGACCGCAAGTTGTGCAAACGGCAGTGTGATAACTGCCGTAAAGGCGCTTCCGGCTCTGTGGTTGAGCGCGATGTAACCGAGCAGGCGCAGCAAATTATCCGATTGGTCCAGGAAGTGCAGCGCTCAAGGGTCACGCTAATCTACTGCCAGGACTTGTTTAAGGGCTCCCGGTCGGCCAAGGCCACCCAGGCTGGTCATGATAGAGCTGCATGTTACGGCGCGGGGAAGGAGATAGACAAACGGGATATTGAGCGAATCTGTTTTCACTTGATCTCGGAGGCGGTGCTCCAGGAGTATCCGGTGTTGACCGGGGCTGGGTTCTCTGCGAACTACATCCGCGCGGGCCCAGCGGCGCGCTTGGTTCTTACCGGGAAGAAGAAAATTCTCATCTCGTTTCTGTCCGAACCCAGCCGGCCGCACAGCTCGTCCAAAAAGCCCGCTAGCCCAAATGGAAATGCTAGTAGTTTTGAAAGTTTCCGCTACGGTAATTCCGGAGAGAACGACTTCGTGCCGCCACACTTCACGCCCGCGTCGTCGGTTATCCGCCGCCAGAACGGTCCAACGCCGATCGTGATGCGCAACCAGAGCACCGACAGCGATACCGACCAGGCGTTCCATGCGTTGAATGCGTTGTGCGTGCGTAAGCAGCACGACTTGAACTACATGTCTGCGTCCAGAGTCCTCAGCCCCGTGTCGTTACGCGATTTGGCGGCGAAGCTCCCCCAGACCAAAGCTGCGTTTGACAAAACTGCCGGTATCTTGCCCGAGCAGAAGCAGAACTTCAAGTACTTCAAGCCGTTGTTAAAGACGCTTAGAGAAGCGCGTGATAAACAGACCACCAACAGCCAGTATGAGGTATTGAGCAACGACTCGCTCGCGTCGCCGTACTTCAACAAATCTGATCGCGAGCGCCAGTTGTTAACGCAGTTGCGGAGCGCTCTTCTCACCCAGGATAGTCTGTCGGAGACATTCACGCCACAAAAGGCCAGCGCCAAGCGTTCCTTCGCCAAGGATCCGCGGGGTAGGAAGCCTGCCCGCCCCCGTGCTCTGTCGCAAAAATCACAGGGCAGGAAGAAGACGGTCGCCAGGAAACCGGCCGCGCCGGCCAAGTCAGTTAACGCTATGAGACTATAAAAAATGCATGATTCTGATAAAGAGGCTGGGGTGTGAGTTAATAATGCAAACTTATATTTTGTGTGGTGCAATGTACTTGCGTATAATGGTATAATTGGTTACGTTGTAATTAAATTTGGTTTGATGTTTTTCGACCAGATTATACATATATATATATATATCTTGGATACTCTACCATGGTTTATAAATTGTTTGTGATCATTTCAATGACCGCTTGTGCCTTGGAGGTAATCACGAGTATATAGCTCCCGACTTTATCGTTTAGAAAGTCTCCGCCTACCTCAGTTCTTCTGATCTGGCTATTTTTCATGATTAATTCAATTTTAAATAATTAGTTTTGTACATGGTTACCAGCTGGCGCTATTCTCCAGAAGTTGTCACAGCACTATAGCAGCTTTGCAACTTCCCTCGCCGCTATAACTTCACCGCCTGAAACCCCTTCCCGCTCACCGCCCCGAACCATGATCCATCTCTATCCCAACACACGTTATTCACCTCCATTGCCTCGTAGTACGCCAAGATCGGCGTGTCCTCTACCATTCCAGGGATCGCCGGAGCACTGGGCATACCGCTCGGGCTGCCGGGCGTTCCAACGCCTGGGCTGGCGCTCGGATAGTAGCCCTGCTGTGTGTACGCAGCCCTGTCTCTGTCGATGTTCGTGCAGTCCCAAACCAACGCCTGGCAGTCGTCGCCACCGCTCAATAACCAGTTCTTCGTCGGATGCCACTTGATGTCATTGACCGGAGCAGAATGGCCCTCGAGCGTCGCCACAGGCACTCCCGGATATCTCATATCAAGCACGAGAATCGCCAGGCTCTCGGCGACGACGGTCGCCATATGGTAGTTGTTCGCATGGGACGTTGCGAGCCGTACTAAAGGTGCAGCTTCGCTACCCGGTACGGGTTCATAGATGATTGTAGAGTGCTCTAATGAGCGCAAGTCAAACACACGAACGGAGCCGTCGTTCCCGACGGAAGCAAACACATTGGTCGAGTCCATTGTAAATTGGACGTCAAACACCTCGGAGTCGTGTGCAATCAACTGTGTCTTGGCAACACCACCGTTGCGGATATCCCATACAGTACATGTAGTGTCGATGGACGAGGTGATAATAAGGCCGGGGTCAACCTTGTTCCAGTCGAACGCAGTGAGCGGCGGCAACGCGTTGAGATTGTTGTGTTTCGCGTTCGTGAGCGTCAAGCGCTCAACGAGCGCGTTGTTCTGGAGCGGATCGATCTCGTAGATGCGCAAGCACTCTGCAGCCGCGGCAAGGCGGTCGATGGGGGCGGGCGTTGCAGCGGCAGCCATCGACGGGTCCCATTGCAACTTGGTGATTGGGTAATTCACCGACACCTCGGCTACGCGAAAAAATTCGATATCGTCATCAGTCTTGACGCCATGCACCACCTGCAACTTGTTACTCGTGTCCTCACGGAAGGAACTCAACGCGATGGACTCAAAGCCCTTACCCTCTATGGCGGTCCAGTCCGCGCAGTACAACGGGTAATGGGTCTCGTAGTAGGACTGGCGCTGGGGCAGCGCCGAGAACAGGGCACGGTCCGGCACCGAGTCGTAGCCGGGAATCGGATACGCAGGTTGTGACGGCATACCCGCCGCAATAGAACTTCGTTTTCCCCTCCAATCCATTGTGATGAGGAAAGAAGGAAGAAGGGGAGAGCAAGGTGCGCCCAGGTTTATTATACGCATGGGTCATGCACTACCGCCGCGACCCCAGAGCGCGGCTGCAGAAAGTGCAGGATACACTATTTACCATACTCAGATCTGCTCCTAGCCTCTTTCCACTGTCCTCCCTTTAATGTCGATTGCTAATAAACGTCTCCTCAAGGAGTGGAAGACGGTGCAGAACGAAGCGTACCCCGGGATTGAATTTTTCCCTACCGATTCGATGCTCGAGTGGAATGTGGACCTTGTCATCGACAACCCGCTCTACCCCGACGTGTATCGCTTGGGCTTCAAAATGGGCAAGGGCTATCCCCTCGAGTCGCCGTCGGTGCAATTCGTGGCTGGTGATGAACGGCCTATCCCTATGCATCCGCATGTATACTCCAACGGGCATATCTGTTTGGATCTTCTTGGGGACAACTGGACACCGGTTCACAGTGTGGCGAGCGTGAGTGTGTCGATCCAGAGCATGTTGTGTCAGAATAAAGTGGCGGAGCGGCCGCCGGATGATGCGCAGTATTCGAAGAATGCGCCACGAGACCCGAAGAAGAGTTTGTTTGAGTACCATGATGATAGTGTGTGAGCTTTGCGGATCACTAGCGAGGGTCGAAGTGAATTTTGTAAGCGTTGCAAGGCTCACCCGCGGAGTTTGCTAAACACGTTGCTTGTCTGTTGGAAGCAATGATGATCCGACAGTGCTATTTGTGAAACTCAATTTTACGATACGCGCCTGTAAATGGGACTTATTTTGTGCCTGGTTATGTAGAAGACCTTGATACCTTCCTCTCCGCATAGACACTCTGCCAATTTTGTGCTTTTACATGCAATACCAGCGCTTTTGACGCATATTCCTTCAAACTTTGATATCCCAATACTAATATCGGTCTCTCATGAAACATCAAATTCGATGTGTATTTACTGGCAATCGGTTCTATCTAGCCACTCTTTCTGAAACTAAGTAAACATGGTGGGCGGCACGCTGTGTATGCTGCAAGTTTAAAGGATTTGTTCCATTTACAAACGGTGCACTTTGGAAAGTGAAAGCGTTTGAGTGTGTAGTAATGGATGTGGTGGTCTTGTAAAAACAGAGATATACTACTTTTGCTGAGCTCAGAATTGGGTATTTTGTATAACCTGCAAGTATGGAACTGTCATATCTTACCGGAGCAACACTTCCTTGGTGTCTTGATCTCTATTTCTTTACTCTTCTAAGCATGATATATTTCTAGCAAAGATATGTGTTAAAGGAATAGCAATCACTCTTACGCATACTTCTTCGACTCCTCCGTTTGCCACTTGTCCATCAACTGATCATCTTTAATGGACGCCACATAGGCGCTGATAGCCCTCAAAAAGAAGTTAAACCCAAACTTTTCGTGCCGGGCGTAGAACAAGGGCTCTGAATCGTGTCCAAATGCCGGAAATCCGTCCAACTTCTGCACAAATTCTCGCTCCCCACCGGCCCGAATGATAATCGACGGGCAAGCAAAAAGTTCAAGCTTTCGATCAAGCATCTGCAAGGGGTTCTCAGCCGAACTATAGTGCGCCTCCTTAATGATCGAAATGACCTTTTCGCTGGTATCTCTTCTGCTAGACAAGAAAACGGTAAGCTGGGCTATTTGGCAAGCAATTGGTGTACAGACCCCCTCAGTAAGTGCCTCCGGCGCATCGATAGTAGTGTGGTTCTTATACATGTTACCTCTGGTGGTGGCAAGGTTGTAATCTGAAGTTGGGGAGGCCACGGATTCACCGGAGGGGATGATGGCATAGTCACCAGTTTGTCTGTCTACAATTTTAATCGACGGAACTCTTGACAAATCCCCGTATAGCGCAAAACACTCAGCACCTACAGTGCTGGATATATCGCTCAAGTTTTGCCAGAGATTGCCGCTTTCCTCATAAACCGTGACGGTTCGAATTCCCGAAGCAGCACTCCAGGTGATCAATCGTGCGAGTTCAATGAAAATCCGAACTTTTTCTGCGGAGTAGTGGGCGCTTTTCATGACCAGAAACTCTGTTTGCTCGCAAAGAGAGCGCCGGATATTCTTGGTTTTTGGTACCACAATCTGCCTATCCTTGCCAACGTACGGTTGGGGTAAATCTTTGGGACGAGGAGTCACGAAGGGATGTACCTTAAATATGGCACCCAAGTGGGTCGGGATGAGTTGCCTGTTGGGTAACGAATTGAGGAGTTGAATCTCTGAAACGGGTACGGTTTTCCGAGTAGGCTGGGATATGGCATTCCTAAGCTGGCCAGGGCCAATTTGCAAGATTAAGCGGAGTCTGTGGATCCGTGCGAAAATACCTTTTCGTTTGTTTCGAGGCAAGATTTGAGATCCGTCATTTTCCTGGTGGGTTCCAATTTCGGTATCTACCGCCATTTTGACGTCAGAGTGAGCCTTATTAATAAGCGCACTGAAAGTTTCATGCTCCGTTTTAGTGATAGTACTGGCATATATATACCAACTGAGGAGTAGATGGATAAACCGGAGCACTAGTTGTGACATTCTAAACAATGCCGTGTCTTTATTGGAGGTATTTTGAGTCGTTTGAGGATTGGCGCCGGCCTCTGGATCCCCTGGGCAGAAATCGAAAGCCGGGCTAAAGCTCGCCAGGAGACCCAACTGTGATCTCAACTCGTTGATACTCTCACCTGAGAACCTGGCGCAATTGAGCTCCGATGAGGGCACAATGTGGTTGTACGTTCCGCCGTTCATGATACCGTTGCTTGTCGTTGTGAGTTTGAGAGGAAATATGAAGAGGACAAGGGTCGGTGCAACAATGCCAATGTTGTAGGCTAGTGAAATTCTAGTTCTAACCCAATTGGTTACTTATATTGAACAAAACCTGTTTGCATTTTGTTTATTTTTTTATATAAAAGTGAGGTTAAATAGAATAGGTGGCAAAGACCCGGCGGTTAGTTTTGCGTAGCCGCCAGCAAAACCGAGCACCGTTTTGCATGCATGATGCATACGAACAAAAGTCAACCCTCTGAGCGTGCTGAAAATCTGAGTTGCAGCCCCTTGGACATCACTCTTGAGGTACGAGTACAGCCATAGCTAATTAAACCTTCTGGTCCTTGCGCTATTTTGCCACCCAACTGTGTTTGCTAGTGTTCCCCTACAGCTGCCACACCAGCATGAGCTCCGATAAATGCTCCGACCCATGCAAGCCTCAGGCTTGCCTTATCCAAGATTGTTTGAAGGCTAACAACTACAACGAATCCAAGTGCACAGCCTTGATTGATCTGTTGTACTTGTGCTGCAAATCCTTTTACGAAGCAAACGGTCCAACGGCCCTGACCGTGTGCTGTCCCAAGTTGAATCTTTTGACGTTGAAGTTGAGACAGAGGGAGCTAGGAAAAGTCGATGCCGAGTTACTTGAAAACCATCATTAGAGATCTAATGTCCCTTGTATATACATTAATGAAACGCATGTTACGATAATCCTGCTAGGAGCAATGTCCGAAATCTGTACTACGAAAACAAAAGTAGGGTTCAATGTTCTTAAGCTATATAACTATACACTAAGTGACTGTTTGTTTAGAACCGCGATACACAATTATTGAAAACTGAGTACGACATTATAGGCTGGAAAAAACGGGAAAGCTTGCGCAATCCACAATTGATCTAAGGCTAACCCGAGCACTATGCGAATACTGAGAATAAGACTAACAGTGACTCTAATGGGCGCCTAGAATTAAAAACATTGTATGAAGAAGGAAAGCCATAAACTGCCAAAGCGTGAGCGGTCCGCCAGTTTTTATAGTTTTCCAAGAGTTTTTCGCATCCCTGGCTCTTAAAGTCGGGTAACGTACACTCAGCCAAGCCCTAACGATTTTTCTTAGTATGGGAAAATGCCCTGGGCTCATGCGGCTCACGTACTATCTATCACCTTTTAAGACCCTAATAGGTATTTATGGGGCCCCAGCTCATAAAAATGGTGGGAACCTTGATGCATTCAGAGATCGCCTTATATATTGGCTACCCAAATTTATTAATACAAAGTGAAGCGTATTACCTTGCGAGTGAAATGTGTGTATATCCGAGTTCACGCTTGCCGCTCGGGACAGCATCCTTCTCCGCTAGAAACGTGGTCTGAGCCTTCATCCGTGAAACTAAATCCCCACGCTTACGATCATAATGTTTCCCGATTTGAGGGAATTTAAGAAACAGTCTAGGCTACTCGTATATGGCCTAGATTAAGCTATTTCAACAATTCTTTCTGTCCACTTGAAATCGTATACGAGTATTTCGCTACATGGCTAGGCTCGTTGTTGATGGAATAAATTAAAGCCTTCTTAGCGATGCATATGACAGTCTATATTTAGATGAACCGGTTATCTCACAGGTTAGCGATAACGCTACCCCTAATGGTTGGGACCCTTCTTTTCATAATCCTTGAAATGGGGCACAAACGGCCTAACCGTTGATGCGTCATCAACCCACAACAACGAGCCGTTGGTTAAGGTGCTTCCAATCTTCACGTCTCGTTCATATTGCTCAATGGCCTTCTCGATTGACACCGGGTCAATACCGGCCTCCTGCAATTGCTTGCGCAACAACCCCACGTGGATGGACAATTTCATCTCCAATTTCATATGCTCCTTGTCCTTCTTCATGAATAGCATGTCGCGTTGCTTCTTGTGCTGCTGGTATTTGTTGAAGTTCTGAATCAAGTTTTTTTGGTACGTGGTTTGCTGGTCTGTCAACCTTCTCTCAAACTCCTTGCTCTGCCTTTCATACTCGATGTATAATCCAGACAAGGCAGCCACAAAGAATACCAATGTAAACAACTCTCTAGGTTTTATGTTTCCGGCACTGCTGTTATCGGATGAGGGAGCAAACGGCGTGGTACTTGTAGGCGCAGCTGGCGTGCCGAATGTGTTCAACACAGAGGGCGAGGGATTCGCCAGGGTTCGGTCAGAGGAAAATTCCGGACCTTTGCGCTCAAAGCCCTTGTACACGCTTCCCGTCGTTCCTGAAGGCGGCTTAGAGGCCTTGGGGTGGAGGTCATTAGCGAAATATGTAGGCGGCGGTGGGGTATTGAATTGGGAATTAGACAACCGTCTTAAATATGAAAGATCGGACCTTTGTAGACGTTTGACACCAAGAATATAACGGCCGATCATTTTCAAAATATGGTAAATTTCAATTTAAGATCGCAATTGTTTAAGTAGTGGATCTTTCCAGGGTGTATATCAGCGTAAGGAAAGCTTAGTGTCTGTTTTGGTTTGCCTCCTGCGGATTGTTGGGTACTCGAAGTTCACGCAGTATAGCGGATTGGCTTCACTATTTGAATGGTTCCTTCCTATAGCCACGTACTGTCATCCCTACTCAAAAAAAATGACCGATTCAAAGCCATAGATGGATCATTATTGGAGGGTATCGGCAGGCCGCAGAACTACAGAGGGAAGAACCTCAAACCATGGAGCAAACGTACATACCATCTATATTACAGCCGATGAGAAAAATGACATCAATATAAAACAAAAGTGTATTTCTTATAAACGTGAGGTGCTAACGAGAAATTGGGAGAATTTAGTGTCTTCTGGTTTCAGCAATGACCTTGTTCATTTCTTCGACCTTTCTCTTCGCTCTCTTGTGGGTCCCCAATCTTCTCTTGGCCAACTTCTTGGCTCTCTTTTCACCAGCGTTTCTGATCAATTCAATGATACGTCTCTCGTATGGAGCCAAACCGGCAACTTCTCTGACGATCTCACGAACGAAAGCGGTTCTCTTGGACAAAGCACCCTTTCTGTAAGAAATCTTTGGGGCAACAGTGTTTTCAGTGGTCTTGTGACCCTTGTTTAAACCAATAGCAATACCTAGAATGGGTGTTAGAATGAGCTCGAGGAGTATATTACGATGAGCTCCTGGTAGGCCGGTCTGAATGAAGCTTGAAGAATCTGTGTCTCATGGGAGCCGCTATAGCATCTGAGCAGGAGCATTAAAGCCTTTGTTTACTGCAGTTTAGTTCAACGGAGTCTGTACGGGTATAGCAGCCTTCTTAAGAGGGCTTCCAAATGATGCAACTCAGCGGTCCTGGAGCATCCAGTACGATCGGCTCACTGAAATGTGAGTTATTTGGATTGGGTCGCTATATCATGCCCCATCGATGATAATTTGGAGATTTGAATATGGAAGCATTCGGCGCTGTTCAGAGAGGTCTGGATTCTTCGTTCATTTTTGCGGGTTCCCCTACTAGGATGGATATCATCGCTTAAATGCTAAGCGTTGTTGGTACATACCAGACTTAGCCATTTTGAGATGTATAGTTTGTACTAGATTATATCAGGAAACTACTAACAAAAACATTTTTCAGTTCGCTTTTAGTGAGCTCGGTTTTTCTCTCATTCACCAGTATGGGACACCATCTGGCAGCACACAGTCCGACTACCGCATACAGTAAGTCTTCTCTCCCTCACTATGGTAAGAAGCGAATGCTAAGTGAAAGTGGGAAAATGGGCACGGGGCCCCAGGGCTCAAGTCCTAATTCGGGTACCACCCGCGAAAAAAGAATTATAATGGAAAAATTTTACTAGGTGGACGCCGAAAATAGGTGCCGGATAAAAAAAGAAATTTCTTACAATCGACGACTCCCTGTCAGAGCCTAAGACTTCAGAACGGATATGCAAAATTGAGTTTTTCACAAAGGACGAGTATCCCTTTTTGGAAAAATGGTTTGTGACTGTTTTTAAGTCTATTCTCCCGTCTGGTGTACGCACGTCCATATCTGGCTATATTGAACTTTGCCAGATTAGACAATTAAGTCATGGAAAAGATAGGCAAACATACGGGTTTTGGTTTAAATCGTAAATATACATATTTGTTAACTAGGATTCGGTTGGTACTATATACACTGACTTACCATAAAAGAAGTTTTAATGCGAGAGAAGGGAAGCGCTTAGGCGGAAGCAGGAGTAGCCTCAGCGGAGGCAATTGGAACAGACACCGTCGAAAAGTCGAAGTGGTGCTTTTCCATCTTCTTGCAGATAGCGTCGATGCTTTCGCACTGCAACGCCTTCTTGAAGGTGGCTGGGCAGAGCTTGTTCCACGTAGGGTTGTAGACCATACCGCAAAACTTGGAGATCAACCTCTTCTTGTTGTATCTTATCTGGTGACCATTGTAGGTGTGGTAGATGGTATAGGTGGTGTCGCCAACGGTGACGGTTGGCTTCTGGTTAGAAATCTGGGATTGTAATACCCTATATCTCAACTTCCAGCCGAGAGGGCCCAATTCCTTGATTCTAGCAGACTTGTCCTTGGTCAAGTACTTGTCAAGGCCACCTTCCTTAGTCACAGTTCTCAAGACCGAGGTGGTAACTTGCAATGGGATACTCTTCTGTAATGCTTCAGACCACAACGTCTTCTTCTGTACGTTTGGGTGCCACTTTCTGCGCATCTTGTTCTTCATTTCGGAAACCTGGTTACCGTACTGGATAAATTTACCACCAAGCAAACCTCTGTTGGACTTCTTGTAGACGGTTCTGTCACCCCACTTGTAATCTGGGGTGTCAATTTTTCTTTGTGGGACATAAAGGTTGCCTCTGGCGTCACCAACATTCAATTCAGGCTTCTTGGCGACCTTACGGGACTTTTCTATAAGTCTCCATTCCTTAGAAGCAATGATGGATGTGTGAAAGCTTCTAGCAACAGACTTTTGGGTCTGAAGGAAAAGGGATGAGGATAACATGGCGTCACAAAATTCAAAGCCGACCTGATATATTTATTTCCTGGTAAGGCCGATAACAACGTTAACGTACAACTATATGCTGCCTTTAAGTTTGATGTATAATTCTCACACTGATTCATTTACAGCATAATTGGGTTGTAATCCGCGATGGTTATGCTGAGCCGCACCAATGCCACAATGAGTGTGTGATACACCAATCTTCTATGGGACACGTACGAGGCTCTAGCTATCGATATCCACCTTCCAGCGGTTATGTGGGAATCTGTTTTATGCGACTTAATTAAAGTGTACGGTAGGAATGTAGAGATCCTCGGTGGAGTATACAATAGATTGCTAGCAAGCCCGCATGTACAAACTGCGGGTTGTTCGTAAGCACCGGCTGCTTTAACAGTGTATGTGTATCTACTACGAGTACCGAGGTTCGAAATGAATCACAGATACATGAATCAAATAAAAAGCGCCAGCAGAGAGTATAAAGAATTATCCTGACTTTCAACCATGTTCCATGGCATCCGTTAGACAAATATTGGAACGGGGCCTTTAGGCGGCCCAAAATGGTTTCTTGGTAAACCACCCCTTTTTGTCCTGGGACAGCAACAATTTAAATTCATCGTCCACCTGCCTGTATTCATCCTCAAGCATCATCAATTCCTCCTCCAAGGCCCGGTTGGTGTCCATGACCTTTGTGTTAATCTCCATCGCCGCCTGGATTTCTTCTTCGATATTCGTAGGTAACTCGGTGTACGGAGAACCCTCGAGCTGGATTTCATCCAAAGTCTCGCCAGGTCTGGACGAAGCAGGGAGTTTAGACTCTAAACTCACAAGTTTCTCTTGGAGCTTCTTGATCTCGAGTTCCAAGTCGTGGTTTTCATCACTGTTGTTCGCTCTCTGGACTTTCGTGTGCACCATCGCATTAACCACGGCGATATTTTCCCTGTCCAACATGACGTAGTTGGATTCCAAAATCTTCACCTCACTTCTCAATTTGCCATTCGCGTACTTAATCTTCTTAATCTCAGACTCCTTTGACTTTTCGAGTTGGAGAAATTCGTCAAACTCGGACTGGTACTTCTTCAAATAGAACGGTAAGATGTCGATGGTGGCAGCATCTTTAACGAAGGCGTTCAATCGGTACGACTCGCTGTTGTTGTTGATACCAGATTTCTTACCCGCCATAAACGAGAATCGCTTATTCATGGTGGTGAGGTTCAGTTGGCTGGTACTCGCCGCTTCACCGTACAAGTAAAAGTTGAACAACTTATCCTTCAAGTACTCCAACAACTTGTCGAAGCTCAACGGAAGTAAATTTGACTCATTCTTGATCATAAGATTTACCGCAAACTTCAAAATGGACTCCATACCCTCAGTGATGACAGCATCGTAGATTCTCAACACAATATCCAACGGGAACTTGTAGGCAAAGAATGTTAAAAACCACTGGGATGCATACATTGAAGAGCGGATTCCTTGCTTGATCAAATGGTTGTACAAGAAGGGGCTCTTGTCTTCCAATAATCTATCGAACTGGTACAACAACAAATGCAAGCCCCTCATTTCCGGCATAAACAAGGATCTGAGGTTGTAGTCCTTCATCAATGTCACAAGCAAACAGAAAGCCTCGCTATCGTTCATGTTCATCAACAATGGAACGGTAATGAAGGCCATCCCTTGCGTGTACCCCACCTCCGGGTCGAAAAGACTGTATGCCTTGATGACGTGGAATAACGAATCCATCTTACTGGACGCTTCCCCGGAAGTCACAAAGCTAGTGCGAGATAGGTCTCTCTTGATGGCCTTCTCATGCTCCGATGGTTCGTTCTTGATAGATGCGTAGAATTCCTCCAATTGGAAGTTCTTGCTGTTGGAGATCAACTGCCAGATCATCCCTCTAACCTCGTTGGGAATCCCTTCGGAGACCGCTTCTTGCAAAGTGTCAGGTTCGTTCAACACGATTTCTTCGTAGTTGTTCACCACCTTCGTCCACAACTCCCAGTCAATCTTGTAGCCCAACATGTGGTCCCCCATCATGGCAATGGAATTCTTGATTTCGTTGAACGTGGTCCTGAGCGCCTGGCATGCGGTCTTGATTTGCTCCTGGTCCTTGGGGTTCTTGGAGTTGAATCCCTCGTTGAGATTGTGCAAACGGGATACCAACAAGTTGTTGTTGAAGTTTCTGTCAAATTCCACCACGTTGCCAAAGAGATTCTTGTCTGATTCGTCCACGGTCGGAAGGAGCGGGAGTACGCGGGCTGCATGTCTGTCGACCGTGATAGAAGAACTGGCATCAGAGTGGTTGTCAAGCGCAGTGTGTTCATTGACAGTTGTGTCAGCGTCAATAGCAGCTACCTCCGCAGGTTCTTCAATGGCGTCTGTGGCAACCGCTTCAGCGTCTTTGCTTTCCGGTTGATCTAAAGTTACAGCCTCAACTGCGCTGGCCTCCTCCGTTGTCTCAGGGGTGTCTGTACCGGTCTTGTTATTTTGCTTCTTGCCCTTCTTCTTCTTCTTTTTCTTTGATTTCCCGGACTCCCCTGTCTCATTTGACGCGGCATCACTGGCATCCTCTGGTGACGCCATTTGGAGAACTTCTAGAGTATCTGTATGTGTGGGGTTTGCTTCTGGTAGCACTTGAATCGGTTCTGTGCTCACTTCGTCAGCGATTTGCTGCACTGGTTGGGTTTCATGTTCGGACATTGCGGCTCAGGTCGTAGCTCTTTGGCGACTGCTTTAATTGTAGATGGATAGAGGATCTCGCCAATTCCGTATCGCAAGATTGTATTATACCTCAAAAGACGTGTATTTATTGTGTTGGGTGTTACAGAACAGCTCGGACCGTATGCGTCGCCTTTCAAAACCTGGCTGTCAGGTGCTCCGACTCGATCGCCACATGAGGCGAAAGGCGCGAAGTGCCTCACTGTATGCACATCCCGGAAACGGAAGTCGAAGCGTGTCCCAAAACTCTAACTGGCCAAAACATCGGACGAGACTCACTTAGTAGTACCCCAAATTTGTAACCTTTATTAGATTATACCGGTAACTGCACCAACGTCTATGTTATATTTTATTTAAGCGAAGAAGCCCCTGAAAAGTGTACCATGATCAAAGATTGATGTCCCTGTACTGCGTACGTACCTTGCATATCTTACCGATACATACACCATTTACGGTGAGATGCTTCAGCTGCCCCAAATGTGTACGCATACGCTGTTATACATCGGTCGACTACCAAGCTAGCCTACAAGCATGTGTCGCCCACTGGCGTGCCAATAGCCTTATTATTAGGGTGTGTTTACCTGGAAAGGAGTAGCCATCGGTATGCCTCCCGATCCTTTTATCGGCTTATCTAACGGAAATCGGAACTTCCCGGATGCCTCGTTGTGCAAAAAGTATAATTGGGCCGCAAAACTGACCTGGCTACACTGTTGTAGGTATATAAAAAGCATAAATCGTTCACAGGATAAAAAGGGGCCACAAAAAAAATTCCATCACCAGCATAAAAATATCATCACGTCGTTACACCGGTAACGATAAAGAGCAGACTAAACACTAACCCAGGCACCACCGGAGGTACGAACTAGCACTTCATTTGGGTGGTACCCGCCACTCGAATGAGAGATCGACGACAATGACATTTGTGCCATTTCAGCTTCATCGACTGTAGCGACATCCGGAGTCTCACCCGTCGCAAAGGGGAGGTAGTCCGAACTCAAAAGATCAGAGTCGGTGTCGGAGACGGACGAAGCTGCCTCCGTCATGGATTCAAGGCTCAAGCGCTCCGAGGGAGACGACAAGACGTCAGAGTAGTAATAACCGTCGGAGTGCGAAGAGACCTCGAGATAGCTCGAGGTAGCTAGGCTAGGAGTCTCCGCTTCCACAACTCGGAGCTCTAGCTTTTCTGCCGCATCCTCGTAAACCACCCCGCTAGTGATCTCGTAGTCCTGTAACAACCGATCCACCGTTTCCTTATCGGAGTTAGGGAAGTACACTTTGAGCCGGGAATTCTTATAATCAAACTCTATGGGCAAGCTCCCAAAGTTTTCTATCCTCCGCAAGTCTTCCAATATGAGGGCTACCTCGCGCTGGTAGAATTCGATGTCACCGGCGATGTTCATCATGACATTCTCGTCCAAGAAAGTGACCGTCGGGATGGTCAACTGGAGCTTAAACTGGAACTCGGCGTAACAGCCGGTAGAGATGCAGTTTTCTGACTCGGTTCTGGCCAACATAATGGTTTGGTGGGTAAACTCGGAGGTCAAGGAGCTGTTGGTGCGGACATTGGTGTCCTTGGCATTTCTGTTGGCACTGTTCAACAATACATTGCTGGTGTGCCCATTACCACCGTCGAGCTGGTTCAACTTTTCTGTGGCATTGAACAAGGTTCTGATGGCAGTGGTTAAGTTCTTCACCGCCTCGGCGGTCAAGTTGTTAGAGGCCGCGTAGGTGGAAAACATTCTGGCCCTGGCATTCGGCAAGTGGTTGTACAAGGAGGAGGGGAAAACACCTCTGCTGCCAAATCTGGTGCTTCTAGCAGATCTGAAATTAGCCTGAGTCCAGATACTGTTGGCCAACTTGCTGCCTTGTCTGGAGGGAGTACCGTACCTACCAGCACCGTAAAGTGGGCTCTTGACAGCAACCGTTGAAAAGTGTCTGATGATGGAGTTATTGTTGAATCTAGGAGGAGTGCCAGACCGTACCGGTACCCGGTTGAGCGCTGGCTGAGAAGCGTGGGTGTTAGCCAAGTTTTCGGCTATCTCATCGAGCTTCCTCCTCAACTGCTTCGCAGTCTGCCGAGGCACGGCTAATAGATTTTTCAACCTATTAGCTAACATAATGTAATGTGTGTTGTATATAGAGAGTATATATAAATGATGTTACAAGTGTGGATCAATTATGGGGAGTGTTGATATATTGTACGATAGCGCGTTGTGGGTGTATCGGCTGCCTGTCAGGCAAGTGAATCAGTGGCAAGGGGGGGGATGGAACGCAATTAATTAGGAATGACATCACTCATAACGTAGTGTCTCGTGCCGGTCGCCGATCTCGCAATAGGTATTGGCACGCACAAGCCTCTCCTTTTTGTGGCTGGTAAACCAGGTGCGGCAGTAGCAACAAGTCAGGTAGTCTCTCAAAATGGCGAGCTCATGTATCTCAAATTCTAGATTTATCTAAAGGGACTGGGTAGTACCGCTGGGTTAAAAGTTTCAGAAATAACCTCCCGGGCCACCGATATGCTGAAGAGTGAAAACCTCGTAGCCTGGCTTGTGTCCTTTACACACTGGGGTGGTGGCCACAAGGCTATATATATATATACGAAGGTCGGTGAAACCACACCACATAAAGATAGGCTATGATATTTTTGCAAGCATATACATTGAAAAGGATAATAGTGTCTGAAATGGGACCAATTGCCCTGAAATTACTGGCACGTAACTATACGTGCTTACAGTCTGACGCGTTAGTTTCGCGTCGCGTCTGGTCGTTTTTTCTTTTGGCTTTTTCACAAGGCGTAAACACTTTACCTCTCCTTCGCACACCATAACCTAGACCCTAACTTCAATGCCAACGATTGAAATCGAATACAGCCAAGCTACCCAAAGGCTTCAAAGCGCCGACTCCTCGGGGCCAGCAATCATCTCCACCCCTTCCGGCTTGGCTATCCTCGAGATCCAGGGCGAGCTCACGCTTCCCAGTGACGTTCCTCTGGACGAAGCCGAGAAGGCAAAGTATTCCCTTGACAGCGATGGTATGGATATTGTCAAGTTTGGTAAACTTGAATTGGATGGAAAAAATGCCACCTTATTCATTGGGCAATCCCAACGGTTGGTTGGCTCCTTAATCAAACTTGACAAGCCGCTCGGAGTCATGAGATTCCCAGAAACTACCGAGACTGGAAACGTACCTGAGAATTATGCTGTTAAATTTATGGATGTTATTACTCAAAAAGTTATCTTCAAGCAAAGACCGTTGCCGATTATGTAACTTAGTGCTTGTTACTTCCACCATGTGGCAGTTGTGGAACGGTTTGAATGTACATCTTGGTTTCACTGGTCTGCCCATATAGCCGAATTTAACTGCCCTGAAACCGGTTATACATCCCAGATAGTTGTCGGTGGTCGAATGTTAGGTGAGATGCGTGTGTTCCTGGCACAGGTGTCTGTGCACCGCTTTTGCCTCTTTACACTGACAGAGCTGAAACAGCGAGATGTAAATGAATCCATAGGGATTATCTGCGTTTTTCTCCCAAGGTCTATTCCGAAAAGCGGAAAATAGCGGGGGAAAAACCCCCTTGTGCGAACCTGCTACGTCTAAAGCTCCTTTCAAGTCCCAATTAGGCAAATTTGCAGACGAAGCTTGGATAGAAAATTTCATATTTCACCCATGTTGTCATCAAATTGCCTTTTCAAGACGCCAATTGGGTTTTGTCAGTGCATGAATTTCCCCTTACGTTAAAGAGGCTACAAACCTACCCGGCGAGCTTGGATCCGTGTAAGCATGAGCTTTATGTTTGAGGCCACGCCGGGCAATTAACGTGATTTGAGGATTAGGACATCTTGTAGTAAAATTCAGATGGTAAAATGCTGGAATCCACCTTACTCACTTGGCACTATTTAAGAAACGGTATTTGCCCTATTTTTCAATTCAAGTTATTTCACTTTCTATCAATTTCACCCCTACAATGAAGCTTTCCACTGTCGTAACCACCACTGCCCTCGTCGCCTCCGTCATCTCTGCTGTTCCAGCCAACCCAACTGAGTCCAGTGTTCCAGCTGCTACTTCCAGCGCCGCTGAAAACACTATCAACGTCCCGGTTGAGGCAATCAACAATGCCATCTACTTAGCCTCTGGTGAATACCCTCTCTTCATTGAAGAAAATGGTAAGCCAATGGTCTTGATTGTCAACGCCACCTTAGCCGCCCAGGCTGAGGAAGAAGACGCCGACCATTTAAACAAGAGAGATGCCTCTCCTGAGGCCAAGTGGGGCTGGTTGACCTTGAGATTCAACCAACCACTTTTCAAGAGACAAGCAGATGCCGAGCCAGGGGCCAAGTGGGGCTGGTTGACCTTGAGGTTCAACCAGCCGCTCTTCAAGAGACAAGCAGATGCCGGGCCAGAGGCCAAGTGGGGCTGGTTGACTTTAAGATTCAACCAACCTCTCTTTTAGGCTCCCACCTAAGGCTTAAATCTTACAGCTTTCTATGCTCCTCACTTTTATCAATGGCCGTGGGGTCTCCCCGTCCACAGATATATCTTAACCCTTTTTTTAACATGTAAACAATTGGAATTAAATAGCCAGAGCTCTGTAGCAGTTTCAAAAGGATCGATACCGTGCATTTAATCAGCTGGTCCCTTCAAGCATCTGTAAATATCCTCTCCAAAGCACGCCTAGTCCGATTTAGCCTCCCGTGAATCACCTTGTATCATCGCATGCAGGGCAGGATAGGATAAATCGGAGTATTATGTTCTGTGTGTAATACTTAGACCAATCTTCCCTGTGGAGATTTTGCTCCCACGCCTAAATTGCTTCTGTGCGCACTAAGGGGACACGTCTAACAATAGGCACTAGCATATGAGCAGTAGCATCCGCCCGGGTATTAAGGTTCTTGGTAGAAAAAAGATTCCGTAAAACATCTGTAAAATTCCCAATTGATCTCTTTCTCTACCGTTCGTTTATATCCCCATTTTCTCATTATCTCTGCTAAGGGAAATCGAGCGCTGCTAAATAACCAACCAACCAACGCACGATTCAGCATACGTGGTACTGGAAAAGTTGGAAAAGCTGGATCTAAACCATCACATAACCATCCCTCCTCAGCGCCACCTCCTCCATGAGTTTTCCGTTGAATACAAATTCATCACTTGGGGGCTCGAAGAACGCGTGGACGGCGAAGAAAAATAATACGTCTGAAGCATTACCACTCTACAAAGATAAGCCACGGTCAGGTCCGCTAAACTATATCCAACTAGCCAATCTAGCCCAACGAAAGAAAAGAATGTTGCTTAAAGGCTTCTTATTGTCCATTGTCTTGTACATTGTCTACTTGCTGGGTGTGGGTTTCAATCAAGGCGAAGGCCATCTGAATATCAGCTGGAAGGAGGCACAGAACGAGGTCAAGCAAGCCTTTGTTGATTCCTGGCATTCGTATGAAAAGAATGCCTGGGGTGCCGATATATATCACCCAATCACGCAAACTGGAGAAAATATGGGTCCAAAGCCCTTGGGCTGGATGATTGTTGACAGCTTGGACACCATGATGATGATGGGGTTGACGGATGAAACCGCCAGAGCCCGCAAATGGATCAAGAAGGAATTGACCTACGACTTTGACTACGATGTCAATGTATTTGAAACCACCATCAGAATGTTAGGTGGGTTGTTGTCCGGATTCTACCTCTCCAAGGACGATGTCTACCTTGACAAGGCTACCGACTTGGCCAACCGATTGCTCGGAGGCTTCAATACCCCAAGCGGCCTTCCATATGCGTCGGTTAATTTAAAAACTGGTAAGGGGATTAAGAACCACGTTGACTCTGGCGCTTCGTCTACGGCCGAAGTGGCCACCCTCCAGTTGGAATTCAAGTATTTAGCCAAGTTGACCGGTGAAAAGATGTACTGGGACAAGGTTGAAAAGATCATGGAAGTGTTGGAACGTAACCAGCCGGAAGCCGGGTTGGTTCCAATTTACGTTAATCCGGATACTGGGAAGTTCAAGGGTAACTTGATCAGATTGGGCTCCAGGGGTGACTCGTACTACGAATACTTGTTGAAACAGTTCTTGCAAACCAATCGACAGGAGCCCGTCTATTACGACATGTACCTCGAGGCGGTACAGGGGATCAAAAAGCACTTGACGCGCAAGTCACAGCCTAACGGTTTGACCTTTATCGGCGAATTAGAAAGAGGCATTGGCGGCGAGCTCTCCCCAAAGATGGACCACTTGGTCTGCTTCATCGGTGGTTTGTTGGCATTGGGTGCCACTGAGGGTTTGCCTTACAACGATGTGAGAAAGTCTGGCTGGTGGAGCTCCTCCCGCGAGTCTGAATTGCATTTCGCCAGAGACATTACGCACACCTGTTACAAGATGTACCAGGATGTGTCATCGGGCTTGTCACCTGAAATTGTTGTCTTTAATACTGACGCAAAGAGCAAGGAAGACTTTTACATCAAGCCCCTTGACAGACACAACCTCCAGAGACCTGAAACCGTGGAGTCCTTGTTCGTCTTGTACAGAATCACCAAGGATCCGATCTACAGACGCTGGGGCTGGGAGATTTTCCAATCGTTTAAGAAGCACTCCCAGTATATTCACGAGGACGGCGAGGTTACATACACCTCTTTGAAGGATGTGACCACGGACCCACCAGTGAAAAAGGATGAAATGGAATCCTTCTGGCTCGCTGAAACCTTAAAGTACCTCTACTTGTTGTTTGACGACGAGGACACCATGCCGTTGGACAAGGTGGTCTTTAATACTGAGGCGCACCCGTTCCCCAAGTTCGACTTGGGCACATTGTTCGAAACTGGCTGGAGTAGGTCCGTCGTGGATGAAAGTGTCGTCAAGGCGGCGGCTGGTAAGGATGTGGCTCCAAAGCCTCAGGATGTTGCGCCTGTCGGGGATGCAAACGACCGCCCTGATGTCAAGCCAGCTTACAAAAAGCCTGTTGGTGGCGACAAGACCGGCGAGACCAAAAAGGGCTTTGTTGCCGACACCGAAAAGTCCGTGAAGGAACAGCAGAAGATCATTAACGGGCAAAAGTTAGCGAATGTCGGTAGTGGAAACGGCAAGCCAGCAGCTGCCGCCCCTGTTGAGGTTAATCCCGAGGCTGGCCAGCCACTCCCAAGGAAGGCTTTGGACACGCCAATCAAGGCTATTCCTAAGGCCGCTGAACCGGCCAAGCCAATTGACCAGGTTGCTAGAGAAGCTGCGTTGGATAATCCGGAAATCTTGATGGGCCCGAGGGATGATGCGAAGATGAAAGAACTTGAGGGCGATTTGGAAGATCTAGCAAAGCACGACGCCTAGTTCGTGTTCCATTTCGAAGTTCAAAATTATTGCTTGCGTACACTAATCTTTTCATTCGCTTCTTAAAATACTAATATGCTATATTTTTAGCCTTGGAAAGCCACCAAAATGTAACATGATTTCCATCCCATGAATAATCAGTCCTGTTTCGGGCTTCGGCCCGGATCATACAATACGTCGTATGCAGGCTACGCACCGGTATCTGCCGGGGCTCGCATTGTGATGCTGCCCGGCCAATAGTCTGTACAAGTATCATGTGTATTGGCCTTTGCGTGCAGGAATCTATGACTGACTCATAGCTTAAACGCTGGTGCATCTTATCGATGCACGGTGAAAAGTCCAATGCCCATGCTCCAGATATCGGCCACTCTCAACTACCATAACGTTCTTCTCTTAGTTCTTCAACCCCGAGATAAAGCCAACGGCTTGAGATAACCTTACGAAATCCGCTTATCAAAGAAGCAAAAAAAAACAATGTCCGTCTCACAAGAAATTGGTGCCTCCATTCCCAACAACACCGAGCACGCCGTATCGGTCACTTTGCCTACGTGGAAGGCCACTGTCGGCTACGAAGAAGGCGAAGACTGGGTTGTTAGCAAGATGAACTCTGGCTATCCAAGATTTTTCATCCACCTGAAGATTAAAGAATTGGCCCGCTACATCGAGACTCAGTACGGTCGCGACGGTGAGCAATGCATGATATTCCCAACCCCAAACGTTGCCAAAGAGTGCCGTGACTTTATCAAGGCCAAATCCTCTTGTACTTCTGTCAGGGTACTTAGATTATCTACTCCGGCCCCTAAGTCTGAAGACGAGGCGATGACCCGCATTGAAACCAGCATCGGGGTTGTGTTCTTTCCAGAAAGTGAGTTCCCCGTAGCCAAACAATATTGGCAGCACGCCGGTCAAGGGATTAGTTCCAGAATGGGTGAATACTGTTTGTCGGAGTTTCAATATGCCGATAAGTTGAAGAATGGCCCTTCTCCATCGGGGTCCACCATCTCCGCGTTGAGACCCCAGACTCAGCACGCTCAGCCAGAAAAGCTGGGGGTTGTGAACTCGGAGAAGGAATCTTCCATGTTCATTGAAGAAAAGTTCGGCCGCAACTTAAACTTTAAGGATGCCCAAAATGCGAAGGATATCATCAGAAAGCGGATCAGTGGTAAAATTGATGCCTCTAGCGAAAGCGCCGCTGGCGAACTGCATGTGTCGGGTAGAGACGTTTTCTTGTATCCATCTGGTATGGCAGCGATCTACAATTCCCACAAGGCTCTTTTATCCACCGCCACTAATCCCGGAAAATCGGTGTGCTATGGGTTCCCATATGTTGACACGTTGAACATTTTGCGTAAATGGGGCCCTGGTTGCATTTTCCTAGGCTTTGGCGATGACGCTGCGTTCCAAGAATTGGAGACCCTTTTGGAAACTGGTGGAGATGAAAGCAAGATTTTGGCGGTCTTTTGTGAATGTCCGTCCAATCCTTTATTGAAAACTCCTAACTTGCCGGAAATTCGTCGCTTAGCAGACAAGTATGGCTTCGCTGTTGTGGTGGATGAAACGGTGGGTAACATTGTGAATATTCATGTGTTGCCATACGTGGATATGGTGGCTTCCTCCTTGACAAAGGTCTTCTCTGGGGATTCTAACGTCATGGGTGGTTCGTTGGTCCTCAACCCAAATGGTCCGAAGTACGCTACATTGACAAAGTATTTTAGCGAGACCTACGACGAAAACTTGTTCTTTGCTGAAGACGCCTTGTATTTGGAAAGGAATTCTCGTGATTTCGCCGCTAGATCCGACAAAATTAATGTCACGTCCGAACTGGTTGTTGATTTGTTGGTCAACTCTCCATTGATTAAAGATATCTTCTATCCGTCTCTTTTGCCGACAAAAAAGTACTACGATTTGGTCAAAACCCCACAGGGGGGTTATGGTGGCTTGATTTCCTTTGTATTCCATAACCCGGAACACGCTATTGTCTTTTTTGACTCTTTGAAATTGTCCAAGGGTCCTTCGTTGGGTACCAACTTCACGTTGGCTTGTCCCTATGCTATTTTGGCCCATTACGGAGAATTGGATGAAGTCGAAAAGTGGGGTGTTGATAGAAACATTGTCAGGATCAGTATTGGTTTGGAAGATCGTGACGAATTGTTGAAGGTGATTAAGCAAGCTTTAGATGCAGCCCAGGATAAGGTTTGATTCAAATACGCAAGTAGAAAAAATAAATAACCTACGCATAAAATGGCATTCTGTGATTCGCCTTTTTTCGGTAAGTAAATCTGAGGAAGGATAGCCTCTAGGTGACAAGGAAACATCCAGACCTGATCCCACCTACCATAGATGAGGCAATTTATTTGGCTACCCTCTCCCTTGTGTTATGCGTAGACCCATCGCACATAACCAGCTCTGACATGATTGAGCTATACAAGCTCAGTAAATTTCGATTTACTATGTAGACATATGCGTCAACGTCTTATATTGTTTCACAAATGTGGAATACTGATTTCACATTGGTCATATTCGTATGTAGTTGGATATATATGTATTAGCCATTCAATATTTGTGTCCCTCGGTCTATATGTAGTGTCTATGCTAATATATATACTTTATCACACTTTAATATATGTATCGAATACTTTAAATTTCTAGTTATAAGTAAAATGTTAGTCAAACTTACATACCGTATAAATTCAAACATATATTAACATAATCGTCTGTATTACCTTCTGAAACATCTTTCGGTACTCCTATTATATCTATATGGACTGTATAAACCCTATAATTATGGTTCAGGCAGAGGTTGGAGCTTAAAATAAAGCACTTGATCTAGGAACGGGGGTAAGCAGGACAATGGCTAACATACATAACAGACACATACAAGTATCTGCATGTATATGGATGACTGGAAATACATATTTCAACGCCACGGATTCAGGGTGGGATTGTACCTAGCTACAGGACATCAACCGGTGCATCTATGAGTATCATTGTATTGCAAAGAATGGGTAGATTGGTTTGATGTTACAGCCACCCTTGCGGACCAATACCAACACTGTCCCATCTGGCTGTTGTAAATTTTATACTTGTACCCCTATGTAAGTGTATAGGTAGGCCATGTAGATACTCTCTTTTAACCCCCGCTTGAATTTGAAAGCCCTCATGCATTCAGTTACATTCAAGCAAGTCTGTGGGGGAAGAAGGGGCATCTACCATCCTACGAATATCCATAACCTTAGCGTTCTGCTCCACAAAGTTTCGCAAGGGGTTTTTTCTGGCTGCTCGGAGACCAAAATTTCTCGCGGAAATGTTACGAAAATGCGCTCAGTTAAGCGGCCAAGTCCGAGAAAAAAAGGTTAAAACCACCCTGCAGAGTTATCAGACAGAGAACTCCGAAAGCTTCTACCTGCCTATCCACTTCTCTCGTCGCACCGAAGGCCATTCATACAAGTCTGCCCATCAAACGAAAGTACACGAAAATAGGTGCCTCATTTGGAGAAATTAACAGCTTGGATCGAGTTTTTTTTTTTACTTTTCGCTGGCGGACTAGAGTCAAAATCGGTACTACTTAAAGCAGCTTATTTAGCTGTGCTAATAAAAACTTAAAAATCACCTTAACAGGCCCTGGTGGGTTTGTCATATTCAGCCTCGAAAAATAGCTTTTAGAGCTACCAACCAAAGTGTACCAAATGATATATGCCGGATAATAATGAATATCTGTTGGGTGGACATGCAGACATTTTGGGTTTTTTAGTCAGCATGGCCAAGGATAATTAGGTTTGGAAACCAAGCACCCAGCTGCTTGGATATCCACTGAGGGATCGAATCTTGAATTAACCATGTCCTAACAAATACCACCAAGCTGCAATCTGCCAGAGCTTGATTTTTAACCTCGGAAATATTTTTGTACGGCGGTTTTACGGTCCGAACAGCGAAAAGGGGATTTAGGTTATTGTGCATGAAGCGAGGCACTATTTGAAATGTTGATGCACTTTGGATCCCCTCTCTACTGGGCGTCATAGATATTAAGCAGAACTTTTCGTTTACACCACTTAAAAAAGCTCTGACAGCACGTGATTCCTCACGACATATGCATCCAGTCCTAATCGGGAATTGCTAACTCTAATTATACTGTTTTCGTTGCAGCTTGGGATATTCCAGATTGTTGAGGTTGCGTTAGGGTTTAAGTCAATGTAGTATAGACATGGGGTTTGCTAGAACAGAGACCATCTTTCGAGGGCTCCGATTCCTAATATCTACAGTAATTTACACAATTTCTAGCAAAAATAACCAATGCTTTACTGCATGACAGACCCCATGCCTTTAAAGGCTTGGACTCGGAAAAATTTATGGCCAAATATCCGCACGTCGTATGGCGGTAACGCATCCCGGGAATCACCGCCATATGCGTGGGTGTCATGAGATGCCTAAAGCTACGCCTTTAGTTCCGGAACATCAAGGAAGCAGCCCTGAATGCTCTGGAGTTTGCCACAAAGCATTGATTTATGGCCAAGTTTGTGTGTCTGGATGCAGATTTCCCCCTTGTAGCGTGACCACACGCAGGAAAAGGACAGACATGACACTTCGCACCCTTCTCCTCTAGCCCCACACAGGTCAAGAACAATAATATCGACTTGACAGAGCTGGACCTGGAATTACAAAGTACGCAGCGAACGTTCTGTGGAATTTTGCCGGTTATCATTTTTCGTTTCCCGTATTGCCTTTCACCAGGAAACCTGCGAGTACGAATTTGGCGTTTTTCTCCGAAAGTACAGATCTGTCCGACGTCGAGCTTTCGTCGCTGCCTGATGCATGCAAATCCTGTATATAGCAGCTTGACCTGCGAGCTCGTCTCGCCGTCCTGCAATTATCAGCCGTTTAAAGAGGGGATAATGTGCGGAAGACTTGCCGTAGGTTGAATGTGTAATCCAAACAAGCTCCCCTCTCGCGTACTATTAGCCTTCCTAAAAGAGGGGTTGGTACATGCGTTTCTTTTTTTCTTGTGTTGACCAACATCCTCACAGTGCAGGATACATAGCTCACAATTAAACCCAAAAAGAAACGTTTTCTCCTGTATTTACTATGTTCGATGTAATAACTCCGCGTCTACGTAGACCTCCCTCGAAACGCGAGGGATGGTTTAGAGTTGTACATTAGCAGCTTATATATGATGCGGTATACCCCCGTAAGCCAAGCTTACTAACTGGCTCCGTCTTAACCCTTCAAGACTCTTTCGCAAGCGCCGAAACATATCACCGACTCCTCCGTTTAGCTACCAGTTCATCCTACCTAAACGCCGATACGCACCAGACGTACTATTTTTTTTTTCATTTGCTTTGACGCCATCAGTAGCTACCGTTTTTGTGGTTCTCGCCCCTGTATTTGACGCTTCCCGTACCATCACTAGATATGTCTTTTAACATGTGCCTAGATGATTTGAACAACCACAAGGATTTCCTCATGGAAGACGATGATTCCTCTTCACCCCAGGACCCCGATCAAGACCTAAAGGATGATGCCGGCATCGAACAGGCTGTACGTACCAACCTTCTCTTACTGCCTGTGCCTAAATACTAACTAGCCATAGTGTGACAGCTGCCGGAAGCGCAAGCTTAAATGCTCCAAGGAGTTGCCCAAGTGCTTCAAATGCATCCAGCACAACTGGTGTTGTTCATACTCCCCTAGGGTTGTGCGCTCTCCCTTGACCAGGGCATATTTGACCAGTGTGGAAAAGAAGGTGCTACAGTTAGAGAAGATGTTGCGAGAGGTACAGGGTGGAAAGGCGGTGGGTGCCTCTGAAAGCCACGAGCAACGTTCCAAGCCTCAAATCCAGAAGCAGCCCCTTTCTCATAAACAGGCGAAGATTTTGAAGAAGTTGAAAAACTACAATGGCGGGGCAGATGGATGGTTTGGCGAGGATTCCATCATTCGAATGTTTGTCAACTTGGACGTTGACTTGCAGTTTGATGCAGTCCAGTTGCACTACACACCCGACGCAGGCGTAGCTTCTGACAGCGATAACTCCCAACGCGCGTCGCGGCAGGTTTTGGTTGACGCTTACTTTGCGAATTTCCACAAGTACTTACCGGTTGTGGACAAGCACCAATTTTTGGAATTTTTTCTGAAGTTCAACAGCTCCGATATAACCGAGTTTTCCTCACCATCACATGGTAGCACCGAGAATGACTCCTATCTCAGTATGCTGACCCTATTATCAGTTGTACTCCACTTGGGTTCCTGGTCAATTGGCGACTGCCATCACGTGTCTGCTGCCTCCCTCCCCACCCTTGCCCAAATTCCCTCACAGATTCTCATCGGACAGCAGCAGTGTCAAAGCCAACAAGTCAATCACACCGGGATCACCTCCTTGTTGCTATTGGCATATTACTATGATTTGGTCAACAATCAGTTGTCCAACCAGCTGTACAATTTGGTCAGCATGATTGGAAACATGCTTGTTCAACTCGGGTACCACCAGAACTATGAGCTAACCGACGACTTGCTTCCAGGTGTTGCCAAGTTATCCGATGCGTGCTTTGGCGAGACCAGAACCACTAAGAGACTTGTGTTGGTGAGTGGGTTCTTTAACCTTGCCGTTAAGTTGAAGTTGAAGTACGACAGACCGATGTCTTTATCAGTTTGGCTGAAGTCTAACCAAGAGAGAGGCTCGATTGGCGCCCTCGATTTCATGCTCAAGGACCAGTTGGCCAAGTTTCCGCTCTTGCTTAGTGGCGAATACTCCGGCTTGATCCAAATGACGAAGCTATCCCAAATTTCTTTGTATATCCAGGACCAGCTACGCCGGGAAGCAAACGCTCCGTTGTCCATGAAGGAAATCAACCAGTTGAACGATATCGTTAATGTGTATATCGACGAATTGCCGAAGATTTTCCACGCCAATGAAGAGACATTCCAAGCCGAAGTCACCAAGATGAACAACCTCAACTTGAGTGCGTGCCTTACCCCGATCACCGTGAAGCAGGAGGAGAGGGAGTATGAAAATGACCTTTTTGCTGTTTCTCGTGAAATTGCCGTCAAAGCTGCTGCTGATACCACCATTCCGAACTGGATGGCTGTCCAACGATTCAACATTATCTGGGGTTACTCCAACTTGAAATGCTACTTATTTAAGACGTTGATCGACCAGCAGCAGGTGCAGTCAGTTGGGGGCGATTCCAACATCTGTCCGAAGGATACCCAGATCTCAGATTTGAAGCGGTGCTACGAGATGCTTATTCAAACCTGCGTGAAAATGACAAAATCGGTGAGAAAGTTCACCCAGAATTTCACAACTGATGTTACCAGTTCGAACAGAGAGCTCAATTGTTGGATGGTTATGAACTCTCTTTTTGAAAATTGTTTGTATGTGACCTCCACCTTGAAATGCGCCTCCTCTTCCTGTTCCTCCGCCACTGGTATTATCCAGGAAAACTCTCTTTTGTTAATTGACCAGGAGATCAAGAAGTATATCGTGGATAAGGTGACTGTCATCAAGTTGATGGTGGCCAACATGGGTTCCAAGTTTCAGAAGTTTACTGACGTGTGTCATAAGTTGTTGGATGAGTTACTACTCCGCGAAGCTTTATTGTTACAACAACAACAGCAGAACCAGCTTGAAAAGAATGGTACCCCCAATTCGAAGAAGAAGACTACCGGTGATGAAAGCATGCCGGTCACGGCTAAGAGGAGCAAGAAGACTGTGGCTGCTGCCAGCGAATTCGACAGAACTCCGCTCCTTTCAGCCCAGAATTCGACCGGTGGCTCTACGTCCAGCAATTCTCCGATCTTCTCAGCAACCACCAACGGTGCCAAGAAGCGTCCTTCACCGACGGCTTCTTTTTCCCTCCAAGATCCGGCCATTGCCGCGACTATGAAGCTGTCCATGGATTACTCTGCGTACACATCCACGTCGGCCTCTTCTCCCGAAAGCTTGTTTAGCACCCACCACCACCACAGACCGGGCATGCATACGAACCCGCTTCCTACCCACAACAATAGTACCCTTGTCAGCCGTTCTCACTCTTTTACGTCGTTGTCCTCTTTGAGTGTTCCACACAACAACCATGCTGTTCCTTTGATGAGCTCGTTCCAAGAGAAGGACGATGAGTTAGTTGCCGAAGATTTGATGTTTTACCCCCACAAGAACAAATCGATCACTTCCTACGGGGCTAGAAACCAGACCAAACCCACCGTTGGATCGTTCCCATGCCCTTCTAACCCCTCAGCTGTTTCCTCGTCTGCCTCCTCCTACGAGACAGCCCTGTTCATGCCATTCTCCGGTATGAAGATGGTCAAGGAGGAAGAAATGGACGATATCCTTCTGCACCCTGTCCCAGTGCGGATGGAGAGGAACGAACCGGTGATGCTGGTGTACTCTGAGAACAACCTGTTGATGCAGACTCCGATTGAAGTAAGAAAAGGAAGCATGATGCCCCAGGAGGAGTATGATTTGGAGTTTGCGTTCATGCACACCCAACCGCCTTCTCCTGTTTCAAACGCCGTGTTTGATACCCTTGATGACTCAAGAATACAGCGTCACAAACCGTTGAAGAATTCAAACCCACTGATTAAAAACGCAATATTAACAGCTAATCCATTCCCCCCTCTTCCTGACACTGACATTCCTGGCCAGAATGCGTATGCGAATAATCTCAGCAACTTTACCGAGGTTGAGTTTGACGATTATAACATGATTTTCGGCGAAGTTATTAACGAATCTGTTGTCTAGCTTTGCTACTTTTATATGGTAACCAATATATTGTAATCCAGAGCAATTTTTTCTGTCGTATAAAAAATAAAACACTCAAGTTCATATTAGAGACGCCAGAATACGTCATGTACGGCACACTTGAAAAATCAAAGCGTTGCGGCACGGGGATTTACTCGATCGAACCAGCAAGCCAGATAAACGTCCAAGCCAGCTATGACAGGGGAACACTTGTTCGATTATCACTTAATTAATCACACAACTATAACCGTTCCTAACCATGGCATGGCTCAATATATTCAAGTCTCGGACTGGCTTTGACTCGATTGAATTCGAGAGACAGTTGAAGCAAATCACAAACTCCATCACCCTTACTGAGAGGCGAATCGTCAGCACACAGAGCAACCACCGCCGCTTCCGTTTGTTATTCAACATCTATTCCTGGTTGGGATACATTGTGGGTGTTTGCTATGTCTTATTCACTACCAAATCACTTGCTAAGATTGACTTGAACAAGGCTGTGGGCTGTCTTGTATCGCCCTTGTTCATCTTTATCTTGCGATTCTTGATCAACAAGTATCAGGCCTGGACCGCGGTGCGCTTGACTGCCAAATTAACCACCTTGAGGGAACAGCATGAATCGAAAATCGACGAGTTGAAGGAATTGACCAATTTCAATACTACCCACGATTTGTTAAGAAAGTTCGGTGATGGTGAAGATTACGACTTAATGGCCCAGGAAGAAGCCGAGTTGCTTGCCCAGCAACAGGAGCGGTTGGTGAGATTGAAACAACTACAAGAGAAAGGTGCATTAGACCTTCAAAGCTTCCAAGATCCTTCATTAACGACTAAGAAGGCGTGGTCCGATAGGGCTATGGATCTTCTTTTGGGCGGTGAAGAGGCGAATCCTAGTAGCCAGTATGCATTGATTTGCTATAACTGTAAGAAGCACAACGGGTTGGCCCCACCAAAATCCTTACCCCAAGAGGTTGAGTACACCTGCCCCAACTGCGGGGCCTTTAACCCGCAAAGGGTGCCGATTTCCGACGATTCCCCGGCGATTGAAGCTACTACCCCAGTTGAGGAGGTTCTCGCTTTATCTGAAGATGCGCCGGGTGCCACGGATATCATTAACGACGAAGTGATCTCTACTGGCGTCGAAAAAAACCAGGAAACTCTTCGAAAGAGGTGAGTATTAAATATGCAGCTGGATATGCTGTAGTCACTTAATAAACCAATGTTAAATATTAAAAGTATATAAAAAAACACTTTACACTTGATCCTTTTTCACTTCGATAATCACCTTCCCCCTGGCTCTGTTGGTGGTCGATCTATCCACGGCCTTCGAGAAGTCTTCGAGACTGTATGTCGAGTCAATGATGATTTTAATCTTGCCTTCCTCGAATAATCCCATCGCTCTCTTGCACCATTCCGCGGTAGGACCAGACCTGCTGATAGTGTAAGTAAATGAGCCTAAACCCAACTTACTCTTGACAACCGTTTTGATTAAACTCAATGAGACAGTGTTCATGAAAGTGGTTGTGTTGTAGTCGGCCTTTTTGTTGCCCACGATTGTCACAACAGCGGAGCCCTCTTTCTTAGACTTCAAAATATTATCCATCTCTGGGAATAAATCGGAGTTACCAACACAGTCGAACACAAACTGGAACTTTTCACCGCCCAACTCGTCCTGCACAATTTTCGCCACGGGTCCGGCAATATTCTTGTGCTTGGTGTAATCA